GACAATAGAYATATAAAATTAGAAGAAGTACTGATGAAATAACTAATAAAATACCGTTTATTACAAATGGTATTATTAATCTTGAATTATGTATTAAATTATTAGTCATATTTGATAATTCAATTGAATTGAGTTTCGGTGAAATATCGGCTAAAAACGGATTGTCAATGAGTGGCGCCAAACATATTCCCAGACCAAAGAAAACTTGATATCCGGCCAAATAAAGTCCTGATTTATCGCCCCATAACTCAACCAACCAAACCACATATGCTGTGTCTACACCTATTTGTGAAATAACATTATATTTTTCACACAATCTTATTGATTGATATGTAAAATTGATTGACTATTACTTCCGGCTCCAAAACCACAAAGTGCTGCCACTGTGAACAATGAGCCCAAATTAGGACAGACAGGCATTACTRATATAGTTATTGCCATTAAAATGAATATACAAACTAACATTAGCTGCCGATTAACATAATTAAATAGTATGCCACCTATATTATAGTGTATAAGACATTATAGAAATACAAATTTTATTTATAATAAAAATTATAACTAACTAAATATAGAGCCAATTGTGTAACCGATGTAAAAACAGAAAAATATAAATGACATGATTTTAGTGGTTGTATTCAATTTGATGGACAATTCATTGAGTGCCGGACTTATGATACTTATAATCAGTCCCTTAAAAATCATTTAATAGTATTAAATTATTTTTTTAAATAAACAATACTTACATAACTAAATATTGAATAAAATATAACTACTGTATAAAGTAATTTATGTTTTTTATCCATTTCTACATTGCAATCATTATTTTTTTCTCGATTATTATTAATAAAATAAATATTTTTCATTTTGCAATCAATTTTTGTTAAAACTTAAGCACTGAATGTAACACAAGTATTATCTATAAAAACTCAAATTGATATAAATGTATTTAAATGTTATTAAATATAATTCCTTGATTTGTAATCAAATAATTAAATTATAGTTTTTATTATATGATTTGACAATTTCTTTTAATTTCATAATATATTATTAAATTAATAAATTCTAGAAAATAATTGAATGTCATTCTYTCTCTCTCTCTCTCTCTCTCTCTCTCTCTCTCTCTCTCTCTCTCTCTCTCTYTCTTTCTTTCTTTCTTTCTTTCTCTCTCTCTCTYTCTTTCTTTCTTTCTTTCTTTCTTTTTTATTTTTAATTGTTTTTATTATTATAATAATTTAAGACAGTTATATATATATATMTKTATATATATATATATATATTATTTATATTTTAATGTTTATTTATAAATTGGTAGGSAATATTTATTTATTTAGAATTTCTCTAATTAAAATCAATTGGCAAAAAAGCAAACTATAAAACTTTAATATAATTTTAATAAAATTAACTTGTTAAAAATAAATCTTTCAAAAAAACATTAAAAKTTACATTATTTGACAACAAATAAATTYGCAATTATTTATTTATTTATAATTTTATTTAATTATTTATTTCATGATATGTGAATTCTACATTATAGTATTTATTGGTTAACAAATTAATTTAATATTAATGCAAATTAATAACTAATACAAGTGTAATAGAGATAATATTTTTTAAATCACATTTATAACAAATATATGCAATTCATAAATTAGGTAAAAGCAAAATACAAATTAAATAAAAGTAATTTTATTTGAAGGTTTTTAATAGTTGTAATTTGTTTATATTATCATTTTTAATGTATTGAGTGGAAGTGTTTCGAGTAATTTTTTATTATATATTGGAATTATTAATATATTACTATTACTATTCAATTATCAATAAACAACTTTATAAATCATTTTTAAATTATTTCTTTTTTTTCTTATATAGATATATACTGTATATACAGTATATAGTATATACTATATACATATGTACGTATTATTAGTTATTAAAACATTTTAGCATTTTAGTTGTCAATTTTTAAATTTTGATACCAGATTCGGATAAAACATTAAATAATAGGATAAAATTGTCTGAAAAATTAAGTACCATGGTCAAAATAAACGATAAAATTAAGTACCATGGTCAAAATAAACGATAAAATTAAACAAGATAAAAAATTTCAATTTTTTATTGATATTTATGTTGTGGTGTGTGATTAAGTGTATACAATGGATGAGTGAATGAGTTATTATTTGCTAGTAATTTATTTGTTTAATTTATTTTAACTGTAAACCTGCATAAAAAATAAATAGTTCAAAAATAACAACAATAATAACAACAATTAGTTATAGTTTCTACAATTATGTTCCGGCAATGCTATCTAGAATTATCAACCGATTTACATTTATTATTGAAAATTATCATGTTAAATATAAAAAACAAAACTAATACAATTGATACTATTAAAATATTCATATAGACAAATGAGATTGGTGATTTATCGATATATTGGCCACAAACAGCCGGAAATATGGCACCAATTAGGCCACCGGTGCAGACACATAGTCCGGTAATTGTATTAGTCATTGACAGTTCTGTCCCTAAAAATGCATAAATGGACGGATAGGTAGTGGATAATCCAATACCCAAAACAATAGCACCCGTTAATAGTACTGTCTCCGAAAGTTTAAGGCATTGAAACACAAAAAATATAACATTTGCTGTAATTATCAAAATAAGATTTAAATAAATGCTATTTTTTGACCAAAATTTTAACGATACTATAAAATTGATTCCGCGGACAGCCGTAAACGTAACCGTCATTACGGCCAATATAAAGGCACTATCATTGGCTGACAGTGCCAGATGTGACTTCTCCACAAATGTGGGCAACAAATGAAACACCGTTAACTCGAAACCGGTAAACAAACCAATAATTAGTACACCAAATGTATTGTAAGCGACTTCCCATTTATCGGCACATTTGAAAACACCGAATCCTGTGTTTGTGCTGTTAGTGTTTGTCTCAATGATCGGTGGTCTATAGTGACGATAACAATGCAAAACAAGTAAAACTATGGCTGATATCATCAGTAATAATCCGTTTATGGCAAACGGTATCTCAATATTTGATTTATAAATGTTTGTTTCATTGAAAACAATTTGTTGTGAATTTKTTTCTAAAAAATTATAATCATTTTTGTTTAAACTTTCGTTTAGTATTAGACTAGTGTTRARAGTATGAGTGGATAAAAATGGTCGTGAAATCAGTGGTGAAATGCAAAGACCAACACCAATGAAGAATTCAATGCCTCCTAAATAGAGATGAGATTTTTGACCCCATATTTCAATCATCCAAACAACTATTGCTGTATCCAAACCTATAATAATATTTATATATATTTATTTGAAAAATATTATTGATTTTTACAATTTTGTTTTAATTATRTCTAACCTCCAGCTCCAAAACCGCACAGTGCTGTGACAGTAAAAATACTGATGAGATTAGGATAGTTAGGTAAAGTACCGATAGTAATGCCCATCAATACAATTAAAGCTACCAGTGCTARTTGACGATTAATAACATTAAATATGAATCCATCTGTAAAGTTGAAAGAAAAAATTATTATCAATAATTACATAATATATTTTGATTTGAATAGTTTGCAAGTTTATAAATATTAATGTATAATAATAGCATAAAATTCAATGTTTATTACTTATGATTGCGCCGATAGTATAGCCGATTGCGAAACACGAAAATATAAATGTTATCTCATTTGTTGTTGAATTCAATTTATGTGTCAAATCACTGAGTGATGGACCGATTATGTTCAATACAATTCCCTATTTAAATATATTATTTATAATTAAAACAAWCAAATTTAAGTCAGACTAAAATTAAATTAAATTAAATAAACAAACTAAATAAGACTAAAATTATTTGCTAATCTAATTTCTGCCTGATATTTATATTTAAGTGCAGTATATAAATGTTATATGCATTTATAAATAGCAATATTTCTAAAAATAAAGAAATAATAACTGGAATTTAATTTTATACAGAATATTCTRTAAATAGTTATTTACATAAGAAAGAGCACAAACAAACAATGTCCAGGAAATCAATTTCTTGTATTTATTGTCTAACTCTTCAAATACTTGCACTTCAACATCAATGTCCAACTGGTTGTCAATCATTGTTTTGTTGATATTATTAAATCTATCGGTGAATGTCATTATCAGTCAACTCTAACTCTAAAATTTGGCACAAATTCTTGTATTTTATTTAAAAATCAATATATTTCATAAACAAATGATGTTTTTTTTAATATAAAATTTTCTGCAAACAAAATAAATTAGATTATTGTAGAAATAAAAAATGAAAATATATAATAATAATAATAACTATAAAACATTTTAAWAAGTCACGATCAARAATTTACATTAATTAATAATATTATTGTTTTTTTTAAATGTTATAATTTATTTAGATTAACATGTCAAATTTACATAATTGCTTAATAAATATTTGATCAAATAATAATATAAATAAAATTAATTTAATTAATAATTGCTATTTTATATTATAAAAATATTATTACAATAAACTACAATATTCATGGTGAAATTAAAATWAATATAATTATTACAACTTTTTAATTTGAWGTTATAWACATTTATTTGACTTTTACGATATTTATATCGTTTATAAATTATTATTGAAATTATAATACTTATAATAAACATTTATTTTACTGTATTATTTATAATACCGGTATTTAAAAATTCATAATATATAAAATATTCTTAATAAATATACATCTACCTGTATTTTTACTAAAACATATGGGTATAATATATATAATAACAATAATATAAAGTTAATTTTTAAAAATTTCCTTTTAATTATATACTAAAATTTTTAMAATATATTTAACATTCATAATAATTATAAAAATGACTTAAATAGATAACAAATATTAAAATATCATATCACAGGTTAGTATTAYATACTAGCATTTGTCTTAAATAAAAAAAACTYTTTTAATAACAATCTATTGTAGCAATTATTATAATACTTGTAATTTTGCCCTAAAATAGACAACAATTTTAAATGTAGTAAATGATATGCCAATAATTATCGTACAAATTAGGCTCATATAGATCAGTGCCAAAGGGTGTTCCTCAATAAATTGACCGCAAAGTGTGGGCAATAGTGCTGCCATTAGACCACTGGTACAGACAAACAAACCGCCGATTGTATTRCTAATAGTCAAGTGTTTCTCTAGAAATGCATAAACCAATGCATAGATTGTGGAAAACCCTGAGCCGACAATTATGACACCAATCAATAGTACAATCTTTGAATAATTATAAATTTCAAATAATAGTATCACAACGTATCCAACAATTATTATAATAAAATTAAGGAACAGTAGATTTTCCGACCAAAATTTGAAGGAAATAACAAAATTGATGCCTCGAAATAGTGCAAAAGCACCGGCCATTATGGTCTGTACGAGTGCACTGTCATTGCCGGACAGTTGCAGATGACTGTACTTWGCAAATGATGAGATCAATTGGAAGTTCATTACTTCCATACCAACATAAGGTGCCAACGATAACAAGCCCAGTACTATGTAGATGACTGTCCACTTGTCAGGACATTTGCAGCTAAACTCTTCTTGTTGTTCAATCGGCGGAACATATCGTCGATAAAAGTGTAGTATTAATAAAATCAGTGCCGACGAGATCAGTAGTCCGCCGACAATCCCAAACGGGATCTCTATATGAGACTCACTGTAGACGTCAATTGTTTTTGTGGTATTAGTTGGTGTTGTTATTGATTGCAATGATATATTTGACAATTTCATTATATGAGAGCTTAGGTCTGTAACCATCTGACTATTTGTAACATTTTTCTTGGATTGTTTGGCCAAAAACGGACCGGTCATTAGTGGCGACACAAATGTTCCGACGGCATTGAAAAACTGTAGTCCCTGTAGATATGAACTCGACTTTTCGGCCCAAATCTCAATTAGCCAAACAACTTGTGCCGTATCAAAGCCTATATCAATATAATTGGTAAATCAATAATTAATTACTAAAAAAATACTAAAAACTATATATTTGAATACTTTTCAATCAATTTCCAATTACCTCCAGCACCGAAACCACATAGTAGTCCAACGAGATAGAGAAGCCATATGTTTGACACATGAGGTGCCGAACTGATAGCACAGGCCATCAAAATGAGTAAACATGTTAACACTAATTGACGGCTTATGTAGTTGAAGATTATCCCATCTGAAACATAATAATATTATATTTAATTGGGATATGGGATATATGGGGATAGGAAACGATTGGGGGATGGTTCAATCTACAGTTATTAAACATATTAACAGTACTGTATATGCAGTAGTATTATCACTATGGGTTTACATTGTTATTTATGTCTGATTAGATTAATTATAATTTATAAACTTTTTTTTAAAAAACATGTATAGAAACCGGTAACTAGTGCAAATTACATAACTCAATATTTTTTAAAATAAATCGGTAAAATTAAATATTTAATGATAAAAAAAAGAGTTCATATTGTTTTGTGATAAACAAATGTCAACTTTGATTAAATATGCTGTATATTGTACTTAAGTACAGTATATTAATAAAGTACAATAAATTCAACTATTTAAAAAAATTAAATAATAATAATTTTATGAAAAGTTTAGCATATGTAAAACTTTCTTAATATTATCAAAGTTTATAAAAAAAATATATCAATAAATAAAAAACAATAATAATGTATAATTACAGTATTATTATTACTTACTGATAATAGCTCCCAATGTATAACCAATACAAATGCATCCGAGAACTATCGTTATACTATCAATGCTAGTATTTAGTCTAATAGTCATATCATTCAGTGCCGGACCTATTATATAGGTTGTCATTCCCTGTTATATAGTGTTTGTATTATTTAATTAAAAAGGATAAATAAAAAAAATTTATGATAAATAAAACTAATAATAATAATAATAATACATACATAGGTAAAAGCACCGTAAAATAGTGTCCATGAAATCAATTGTTTATATTTATTGTCCAATTTATTGCTATTATTATTATCGTCAACCAATGTATCGATACTATTGAGATCAATCTCATACGGRACTATCCATTTGTCATCTGAATGTTCACTTGAATTGGTTGTCATTTTATTTAAATAATAGTTATTAGATTTACACGTTATAGCAGATGAAATTTTTTACAATTAAAACAATTTTTTGTAAATTTTGTTTTACAGATAATTTTGAAAACATAGACAAAACACCATTTAGTTTATTATACTTAAACAGTGTATCATTAGTATTGTCACTAAAACCTAAACCAAACTGATATCCATTGAAAGTAATACCTAAAGGGGAATATGTTTTTTCAAAGCACTTGAATATAATACCTTAATAATTGATTAAATAATAGGGAATAATATATATCGATATATCTATCAAATAAATATTATATAGATATATAGATATAAAAAAATACAATAAAATCATATAATTGTGTTGATATTGTTTTTTATTACATGTATAGTATAGTGTATTATCATTATCAGTGAATTTTTATTTAAAATGATTTAAATGTAAATATTAATGAAATAAATTGCTAACACAGTTGTCATTATAATAACAATACAGTTTACTTTATAAATATTCAATAGTTATGTTGAAATTACATATACAGTTGTATTATATTACACGTAAAGTTCGCTCAACATTCCCAGGAAGTGAAGTTCCCTAAAAAATCCCTCCAATTTTTCCGGAAAATATTTTATTTTCCCTCCCTTGATCGTTAGAAAATGAAAATATATTTTATATTATTTATAATAAATAGTATAAAAACTTAAATATTTTCAAAAAAATTATTGAAATGTGACGGAAAATAAAGCGTTTACCCGTCAAATAGCTCTTTAAAATATACTTTAAAGAAACTATGCATAAGTTTTATATAAGGGTAGACAATAGAGACTGATTTGGGTACTAACTTGTTATCAAATCATACGGTTCTTAAAGTAACTTTAAGACAGAACCCTTTTCGGTTTGGTTTGAGAGTCAAAATCTAGTTTCGAAAGCCTATACCCGATCACACTAAGTGCCCGTCCGCGAGATACGGCTTAATGACCCAAAAGTAATACACCTAAGGCTTAACTAACTTCAATCAATTAATAATCAATTGTTTCAGTTTTAAACTCTGATTTTTTATTCAAAATAAATAGCATATGTCGATAAAACACATGTATAATTAGTTACAGTATATTTTAACTATTTATAATTAATTAAGTCATTTTAGACTTATAATAATGTGTCAATTTACAAATTATATAATTCGATATAATATTAGGTAACTTTAAGTTTATACAAAATTAGTCGAAAACAAATAGAACATAATCAAAATTAATAAATTTTTATAATTTAAATGGTTAATAATAGGCTTGCCACTACAAAGTATATTTTGTAGTGTGCAATTGGTAACGCTAGAGGAGCTGATGATGCCTAAATCATCACAGAAATATTTAAAAATAAACAATTCAATAAATTAAGTGAGACTATTTATCAATATAATTTAAAGTACAGTTTAATATAATATTAGTTTTTTAAACATTATAATAAAATGTGTTGTTTAGAGTTTAATAGATTGTAACACAAAGAAATAAATTCCCTATGAATTCCCAGAAAGAAGGGTAGATAAGAAACATTTGGAAAATAAAACGAGGGATAGGAATCTGATGTAACCCTAATTACACATAATGTAATAAAAAAAAGTCAGATGACTACTTGTTTATTATTAGGTAAATATGTTTATAGTTAATGACAATTATCAATATAATACAACATATAGTATTATTAGTATTATTATTATTATTATTGTATGAAAATGTTTTATATATTAATTTACAAATAATTAATAATAAATATAAATCAATGACCTTACTTTTACTATAAGTTAATTTATTAAACATAACAAAAATGTTATAGCATTTAGCACATATTAATAAAGTTAATTTATATTATGATACAGTAGTACAAAATGATTTTAAAATAATTGTCATAATTTTTAGGCAGTTTTATAATTAATAATAATAATAGTTTAAAATAATTAATTCAATAGATAGAAAATATATTATATTTATTCTAAACATACACATTGTATATATTAATACTATTTGCTATTTAAACATTATCAAATAGTTAAACAAATTTAACTATTTTGATAGTCTAAATACAATACATTGAATAAATATAAACAGTTCAAATTGTAATTAACTATCTATAACTTCTAACAATGACTTAATGTTTATAAAATTGTCAATTCAATAATACCATAAAAATAAATGTTACGTTGAAATGTAAATAATTTCACAAAAACCAACAAAAATTGATAAAAATAACATTTATAAGTATTAAAATAATCTGATTTTTCTCAGTTGGAGAGAAACAGAGAGTTTAACAAAAAAATAAGTAATAAAAAAATGTGTTTATAGTTATAGAAATTATATTGTCTTTATCGCAATACCAACGCTGGGGTAATGCAATCAATAATTCCTTATATATATATATATTAAAATATATATATCTAATAAGGTTTTATTAAATTGATATCAAAATATATTTATAATATATTTTAAGAGTTTTAATTCTAAGAAAAATAAAATAATGAAACTTTTTTTTTATATTGAATTTTTATTAGAACTTCTATTTAAAAAATAATTTAAAAAAACTTATTTGACAACGAAAAAGATGATTAAACAATTTTACTATTGATTGTGTATTTTAATTATATTTTTAATATATATCAGTATATTATGTGATATGGATATAGAAAGTGCTTTGAATGCATCGACACATCATTTACATCCACAACACGACGATTATGACTATTTCGACGATAGCTATAATAACTTTAACTTTTCGGCCGTCAACTATACGGACGCCACACATACAATATGGGTCCGCAAACCCGTATGGGAAGTGTTCATCAAAACAATGGCTGTCCTACCGATTATGACTATCGGTATATTTGGCAATTTAGCCATTGTTTGTCTAATTTTAAGATTAAAGTCATTACGTAAATCGCATATCAATTTATTTATTTTAAATATGGCACTGGCTGATTTATTAACAACATTGTAAGATCTTAAAAAACAATTTTTCTATAATGATAAATATATTTTTTTTTAAATAATTTAGTCAATCTTTTTTTTAAAAAAATATATATTATATTAGATTTTGTCCATGGATGGGACTGGTAGACAATGTTTATCAAAACTATGAATTGGGACCAGTGTTTTGTAAATTAGAGGGATTTTTAAAAAGTAATATATTTATCTGATATCAATTGAAATAAATAAAACAAATATATAATTACAAAATAATATCGTAATATATTAGTAACTATTATATCTTTATTCTAGTGTTATGCCTATTGGCGAGTGTATTATCATTGGTGACGGTATCATTTGATCGATTCATTGCAATTGTTTTCCCATTTAAACGCCATCTGAACCGTAAAGTTTCATATTTAATAATATTTGCCATTTGGGCCATTGCTATTATACTGTCCAGTCCACTAGCATTTTGGCGATCCTATCGCCAGAGACAGTGGTTAGATTATCTGGAGGTTTATATTTATTAAAAAATAATTTGTTATATTGATTCAAACTAACCGTTCAAACTTTAATTACTAGAAATGGTGTCCCGAGGATAACGTAGAGACCACCAAATTTTATTGGCTGTTCCTAATGCTGCCACTCGTATATCTGCCACTGTTTGTAATGATAGTCGTCTATTCAGTGATTATCAGACATATGGATAAATATGAGAAAACCATATCAATAAACGAGACACCCGTCCGCATAAAACATAGCCAAACATTAATCAAAATGTTGTTCCTATATATACTGACAACTATTATATGTTGGTTTCCATTGCAAGCGGTTGTCTTCTACCGGCGCTTTAAATCACCCGTTACTGTAAGTTTACTAACAAAAAAAATAAATCTAATATATAACTATAATTTAAGCTAATTATGTATTTTTCCTATTTATTAAGGAACTACCTTTTTGGTATCTGGATTGTTGTTTTTTAGCACAAGTATTGTTTTTAGTATTTATAATTAAAATGTTTTCTACATATTTTGTTAGTTTATTAATTTATTTTTCTTGTTGTTGTTGTTGGGGACAGTTGTTTGCATCGGCCAACTCAGCCATGAATCCAATCATTACATTTCGCAAAAGTTTTGCCCATTTGTTGCCAAAATTAATATCACCGAAGAAAACGACAGCTCAGCGAATGGTACCAATGGATGTAGCGATCATACAGTGTCAGCTGGATATGGCTCATCCATCACTGGCAACGGCCAGTGCCGAAAAACAACGACAACTAATGTTAGCCAATATTAGTAACGGTTTGAATACAAATACAACAAGTTTTACGAAACAAATTCTTATGAAAAGAGTGCCACAAATATTCTTAAGAGACGACACTTAAGAGAAAAAAACAACAATAAATCATATCATCTATTGTTTACTAAATTGTGTCACAAATTTTTGTTTGATTTTATTATTATTAGTGTTTTGACACATTAAATGATTAATTTATAAAAATATATAATTACATAAAATTATGTTACAAAATATTGTTTAATTATTATTATTTGTGTTAATAGTAGTATATTAATCGTAATATAATTTTGCCGATAGTGTATGTCATTGAAAATATCACTTTTATTGTTTTATTTTTTATTTTTTACTATTTCATCAATCATGTAATAATTTATTAATAACAACAAAAGTTTTGATTGCAACAATAGATTAGCTAAAATATTTTTGTTTTATTTTATTGATTATTAAATAAAAAACAACAACAAAAAAGTTTAGTTTGTTAAGATATAATTTTGTTTGAAAATAACACTTTCACTTAACTTTTACAAAATATCAAATGTTTCGCACAATAATTAATGCATTATTTTTTGTTGTTTCATACAATAGTGTTATTGAGTATTATTATTATTAATAACTATCCTTTAATATTAAATAAAGTTTGCTAATTATTTTTTGTTGTTTATAAATCCGTGTATTTTTAAACAAAAGGATAATGAGATTATTTTTAATATTTTATTTTATATAATATTATATTTTATAAAAATTAATTTATTAAACAAAATACAAGTAATTATATTTTTATAGCCTTAAAGAGTCTTAAAAGTAATTTTTGGCAAAACATATTAAAACGTGAATTATATTCTAAAATGATTTTATTTATTTTTTTTAATTTTTAGTAAACTATAAATATTATAATAACATGATATACTGTACGCTGTTTTTATATTAAATAAATTTTATTTTTGCAAATTTAAATATTTCTTAAGATTAGAGTTGTGAATTAAATTTATGATAAGTTAATATCAAAAAATTAAATCTATATTAATTTTTTATTAATACATAGCTATAATTAATTTAAATTTACTAATTTTGATATTTTGATACTAATAACAAATATATTAAAGAGTAGTTTCATAAAAAAATCAAATAAAATTTTATAATTTATAGTATTAATTAAAGCTAAATTGAAAAATGATAACAATTTTAGTACAATTTTATTAAATAGTATAAAATTGCTCCAAATGTTTGACCAATTTGTCGGCCTTTTCTGTCTTAATGCCTAATCGTTCGGCCAATTCATGAGCTGTCGGACTACCGTCGGGTACATTACGATAGGGTTCGGCATTAGTACCCAACAAAAAGTCCGGCAATTCATTTGCCGACACATATTCATTGATTGTCTTTTTGCTAATCATATAACAAAACTTTTCCTGTTCTTCATTGAGCCACGACTTGACTACTTTGAAAACTGCTTCCATAACTGTCGGCAACTTATATACCAGTCCTGCGTTGACGAGTCCGGGATAGTAGTCATTGAAGATGTGATGAGCAAACTTCATAAAGTCTATGTCAGCATTTTTGATGCCCGACTCTTTACAGTCCAACAATAGGGTCACACCTGAAAAAATTGTATTATTTGTATTATCACATAAAAAAATCAAAAAATAAAAATTAATTAACAAACCTTTTCCTGAATCAGCTAAGTCTGCCTTTTCGATCAAATAGATGAAAAACTTTTGAGCCATTGGTATCCAAGACTTGATTTTTCGGGTGACTTTACCCCTCATAATCATAAGTTGGGCGCCATTTAAGTCTTTGCCATACAAAAAAAGTGGTGCGCTTTGAAACACTTCTCGCGGGAAGTCTTTCTCTGACAACTCCAACACTCCAAACGACTTTCGCCACTTCATAGCCGAGTCCAAGCCGTCCAATGCTTTGTCGACATTTGATTTATGGTGATTCAGAAATCGTTGAATCGACCAATTTTTCGACTTTATTTTCTCGATATCTTTATCATAGTATAGTTCAGGGTTTTTAGCAACCAATTCAAGAAACTTTTGCCGTAATTCACTGATCAATGAATCGGCTATTTTTTGTGACACTTCGTATGAGTTCAATGTTGCAAATGCCATATTTTTTTGGGATATAAATTGATTTATTAAAAATTAAAGTAATAAATACTTTTAACAAAATTTATATATTTTTTAATAAATGATATTTTCAACAACTATATATCAATATATTAATATAATTGCTAACTTTTTACACCCGTAATATAACACTAAACAAACTAAAACCTATTTTAATAGTGATCTCAGATTTTTGAGAAATATAAGACAACAATCGTTTCGGTGATTGTCTCTCCTATTTAAGCGATTCGTTACAAATTTGACACAAAAAATAATACTTTTTTATTTAACATTTACTATAATGATTGCAAAAAATAGAGACTAATTGACATTTTTTGTCAAAAATAACATAAAAGGTATTTTGAAAAATTAATTGTTTTTTGTACACCTATTGATTGTTTTGTGATTAAAATAGATTAAAATTTTTAAAAATAGTTTTATAACACAACTAATGGTTAATTGTTAAGATATTGTATATTTGATAGACAATGTATTGATAGATACATTATAGTTAACTAACAACAATATTTTTATTTTTAAAAATACTTAAATATATTACTAACAGTATTTTTGTAAAATTCTAGTTAGTTTTATTTTTTTATAATAATTTTTATGTTTAAATAAAAAAATATTTTTTATTTATAATGAAACATTATCAATTTTTGTAATGCATGAACAATTTCTTTTAAATATTTGTAAAATTATACAGTTTAATTTATACAATAAAGATATTATAATAGTATAATTAGTAATATATACAATGTTAACAAACAACAACAACAACAGTAATAATAAGTGTAATAAATATTTATCAGTCATAAAGTATATTAATTTTCAGTTTTGAATAACAAAAAACTACTTTTTTTACTTTACATGTTTTTAAAATTTAGATTTTTTAGAATTGCAAACTTTTAAATAAGAGTACATTTTGTTAGTCTATTAAAAAAAATATATTTATTTTAGTGAATATATATATATATATATATATCAAAGTTCAATAATTTTTTTCAAATAACAATATCATTGGTGTTGGCCTCTATGCCCACTCATATTTATTTTGAAGTTATTAATATAAAATCATTTTTATATTATAGATTATAAAACATTATTTAAAAAAAATTATCTAATAATTGAAAGTACTTATATATCAATAACAAAAAAAAACAATAATGCCATTATCATTGGTTATTAACAACGATAAGATAATAATCAAAATTATTAATTTTGTTTCACTTATTATAAGTGTTATATCGTTGACCGCAAGTTGAAGGTGTAGTGCAGTTATCTTTTGTTTTGTTTTTATATACATAATAATAGGGCAGTCCATCATTTTGATAACTCGATGGGTATTTGAAGGTAACCAGCAATTAGTTGTATATGATATTTAAATAATAATAATAATAATATAAAGCAATGATAAAACGTGTTATAATAACAATTTAAATCATTATAATATTATAATACCATATAAACTGTGTATTTATGAAACTATGGTTTTTCACATTTTTATACGACTATTAACTTTCAAGGCTTACCACATGCATTGCCCACAGGAGAGCCACTTCTCATCACTTATTTATTAAATATGTTTTACTCATTCAAATGCCAGACAATTAAACTGAAATAATTGCTATAATATTATCGTAAATAAAAAAAGAAGACAATTAATTGATATTACAGTATTATATTTAAAGTAAAAAAAAACTAACAATTTGTGTTAATATCAATTTTATATAGAAATATATCGAGTTATGACTCAATTTAAGTTAAAAATAGAAAAATTGGAAAGTTTTTTAAACAATAAATTTATAACAATTAACTTCATTTTAATGATTAGTTTTCTTTTAAATGTTGAAACAATTAAACCAAGATATTAAAAGTTGATAAAAATATTTTTATTTTTCTGGGGCTTTATGTATTTTGTGTTAATTTTCAAATAAAAACATAAATAATATTACCATTGATATACAGTATTACCAGAAAAAATGTATTTTCCAAAAAAAGATATACTATTTTAACAATAAAAGCGTTTAATAGAAATATTTTTATTTTATTTATAGCTAAATAAATTTCATTTGCATTAAGCCGCAAAAATTTGCATTTTTCATTTGATTACTTTATTTTATTATGTTAGTTAAAAAAACTAATGATTAGCAATTTAAATATTGTCGCCAAATAACTGTTGCTGTCGTTAAAATATTTAAAATAAAAATATTATTGTTAGTATTTATGTTATTGAGCTAGATTTTATAGATTAAATAATAATAAAAACCAAACATACATAATATATCGTAAACAGTTATTTTTATTGTTTTTATGTTTAGTTGCATAAAAATCTTAATTGTATTAATTTTTTTTAAAGAAAGTATATCTAATAAATTTTTATTATCTAGCAATGCTTTCAAGCATTTTTATTATTTTTTATGTAATATTTTATTTATTATGAATTGTTATTATCTAATAATTAATTAAAATGTATAATAAATACAATTGAATTCAATGTTGTCTGCATTTTTGTTAATTTATATGAAATAAAATTTAATCAATATATTAATTTTTAGATTATAAATTTATCCAAAACATATTACAATAAAAAAATATTTGGCTAAACGTCTGTATCAACCATTTCAAAAAACATCAAATAATTTAAAATAATTATTATTCAATTAACGAAATGATAGGGCACTTAAATATACACATAAAAAACAAGTAAATTATATTAAATATCTAATTTTGTTGTTTTTATGTTGATTTTAAATATTAAAATTTTTATAATTATTTTTTTTAAACATTAATTACTACAAGTTTTGAATCTTAACCCCAACTAATAATTTTAAAAAATCAAATACTGTTAATAGGTATGAGTAGTAACAATGCACTCTTGGTTAGGATAGTTATGGAGAGCTCAGGTATTATAATGGTGTCAATGTTAACAAAAACTTACAATATATTCATTTGCATTTGAATTCATTAAGTTTTAGTAGAGCTTTGACCACAAAAACATAAAAACAAGACAACAAATTAATTCATTGCCAAAACATAATTTTTAAAAAAAAACATTAATATTATTATTATTATAGTGTCTACAATGTAATGCAATGTGAAAATGAAAACAAACTTAATTGTTTTAATAAAGTTTATTAAAGAGTCTACAATAAAATTCATGGATAAGACAAATATAATGAGTAATTTGTTTATATTGTGATATAAACAAGTGTCGGGACTGACAAAACAAAATYGCTATTAATTTGTTATTATATATAATATTTGTTTTTGTTTATTAAATAAAAAATTCTCTTAATTGGTCTCTCCTTCTCTCTCTCTCTCTCTCTCTCTCTCTCTCTCTCTCTCTCTCTCTCTCTCTCTCTCTCTCTCTCTCTCTCTCTCTCTCTCTCTCTTGAATGTTGACCATCAATGAAATGCTGGTGAGAGAAGTGGTTGTCTAATAGAGAAGAGGAAGGACTTAACCAAAAGAGTCTCTCAACTCAAGTACATCTTCTTTAGTTATCTTTCTCTTCTTCTTCTTGTTTATAATTCTTCATAATTTTAGTCTCGAGAAAAAAACATTTGTGAATCATAATAGCGATTATATTATTATTATTAATAAAATCATAGTTTTATGTACCGAAAACCTTGAGAAATATAACAAAAATAAATTATATGTATATATCATATATTTAAAAAAAATTAAAACCTTTATTAATGAAAAGGTAATAATAATAATAAGAGGCAGAAAAAAACAAATAATTATTAATTTTATTATTATTTTAGTGATGAAAACGACAAGTATTTAAAGGGAAAGCATTTTCCACTGAATCACTAAATCATTGCAATTGATATCATAAGAAAGTCTTTGAATTGATTTTCATATCAAATCAAATATTACAGTATATTATTGAAAACATGAAGAAGTGTGTAATAGTATTAACATTTGGTTTTCTAATTGTTGTTTCAATTAATTTCGATATTACCGAAGGAGGCGGTGGTGGAGGAGGTTTGTATCATTTATTTATATAAAAATATCTTTTACTAAAAAATAATTTATCAAAACTATAGGTTGGGGCGGTGGAGGATATGGAGGTGGCATAAGTAAAGGAGGTTATGGTGGTGGGGGTGGATGGGGTGGCGGCGGCTATGGAGGTGGTAAAGGAGGTTACGGTGGTGGTAGAGGTGGTCATGGAGGTGGAGGATGGAGCAGTGGTGGTCTGAGTAAAGGAGGTTATGGTGGTGGAGGATATAGTAGTGGCGGAAAGGGAGGCTATGGTGGCGGCGGATGGAGCGGTGGTTATGGAGGAGGAAAAGGTGGTTATGGTGGTGGTGGCGGTTATAGCGGTGGCTATCGCAAGGGCGGTGGAGGTTATGGAGGAGGAGGTAGAAGTCATGGAGGAGGCTATGGCGGAGGATATGGTGGAGGTAAACGAGGCGGTTATGGTGGAGGTTATGGTGGAGGATATGGCGGTGGAAAACGAGGCGGTTATGGTGGTGGTCATGGCGGTGGTAGTCGGGGAGGATATGGTGGTGGACATGGAGGCAAATGGGGTAAATAAAACTATTTTAACTCATTTAACATGCCATCAGTGATCCAAGATTTAAAAAAGTATATTTTTTTGTATTTAAAACTTTTAAAATTAGTTTTTTTATATTTTATATATATTAAGATTTTATATACAATTGTAAACTTGTTTTATTATAAATTAAATTATATAAAATCATAGTAATTGAAGCGTTTGGATAAAACATTTATAAATGAATCGTTTTGTATCACATTTTGTAAAGAAATATCACTATTTAAAAAGTTTGTGTAACTCTAAAAATATCAATTATATTAACAATATTTAATATAATAAAGTTTTTTGTTGTTGAAAATTAATTTGTTTAATTTAATTTTTTTCAATTTAATATCTTTAATTTTATTATCTTAATATAGTATATCATCATATAAGTAAAAAATGTTATAATTGTTAATTTTAACTAATTTGATTTTTWAAAATTTCTTTCAAATAAATTATGCAATACCTGTTTAATATAACGTAATATTAGTTATTATTACATAAAAATTGCATACCTGTGCTGGGGATGTTGTGTTGGATGTGATGGGGGCTCTAAAGTGTAGCACAAAATTTTTTGATCACATTATCAGTGATACATTATATTACGAGTGCAATACATGCGCAAACATTGACAGTATCACCATATGATAAATAATAGTGTATGTGATATAAATAATAAAAATGTATATAAAATGTATTTAAAACTATCTTAAACACCAATTTGTTTCCACATTATATTAAGTGCAGTATAACTACTGTTTTATAAAATATTTACAGTTTGTTTGTATCGTTCAAATGTTAAACATTCATTTAAAATTTTAATAACTTAAAAAATAATTGGAAACTAACTGTCCCCTCGCTATCATGGAATTTGAATGGTTGTCCAAAATGTTAACACCAAAGCATTTGCTAACATATTCACTGTTTTTCTGTTATTTCGGAAATGTATGTTTCGATGATACGAACCCTAAGTCTTTTTAATAACATTTTGTTTTATATATTTAAATCCATAGGCCATCAACTATAGTCTGGTTGGACCTACACTGACATCACTGAGCGATATCTATGGTGTAACCTATGATGACAACATGATTGTCACCATAAGAACCGGGTTTTACACTATCGGAGCGCTAAGTAATATATTATTCTTTATATATATAACAGAATATTCCCTAATATTTTTATATTCTTTACTGAATAATCATTTTGTATTCACTGACAATCTATGCATTGATTTCATTATAACTATTAATATATTACTCATTGCATTATTTTAATGAAAATATTAAAAATATTTATTAATTTTTAAATAGGTTTTTATATCTGATATATTAAATCTAGTAATTTTAATATATTAAAATTTTTTTCATATATTTTATTAACAAAAGTGTCATCTATTTCATTAAAATTAATAATAGACTTAATTTACATGACAAAAGTTTTCACATATATAATATATTTAATATGTTTATCAATATAATAGTTGTTTTTATAAATATTTTCATTTGTCGTTTATGGCAACAATATAATTGTCATTTTTTAATTATTACTTTAAATTACTATTGAAGGCTATATTAATTTTTTAGACTATATGTATTGAATATGTAATTTTGTATTTAATTTTATTACTTTATTATATAAAATATAGTATTACATAAATTTGTTTTAATTTATCATTTAGTAATTTAATGCAAATATCATCAAAAAACAAAAATATTAATACTAATAATTTCTATATAATTATCAGTCTATTAATTGGTGTCAAAACAATTGGTAACACTCCAGGGGTATTATATAAATACTACTTAAGTAGTTGTTTTTTATAATCAAAGATAGCAATTAAAGTCAAATAATTTTTTTATATAATTATCACCTGATAATTGAGTAATCAGAAATTTATAGTTTTTAATTAATACACAATTTTATATATTTTATTTATATAATAATTTAACATTTTATTTTAGATTAACAATTTGTTATTTATAATTATAAACATTTTATATTTACTTAATTTAAAATCAAAATATTTATATTAAAATTTTTAAATATCAYTTTTACTACTTTTGAAAATCAAAATATTTTAACTCTTGAGAATAGTTTATATTTAGTGTCTCTTATACTCTATTATTCAAAAATTGATATTTAATACAATAGTCATAAACGTAAACTTAATTTCATATCTTTTATTAGAGAAATGTGTTTCTTATCATAATATTGTATAATAATAGATGTCATACAGTATTGAGGTTTTTGAAAGAGAGATATTTTAAGGTTATCACCCATACTATAAACTTAACAATTTGGACAAACATCAAACTTATTTGTTTTTAAACCAAACATTTTGCATATATTAATACTTTATTGCAGTAGCTTTATATAAATTTTTATCTATTTGTATATTTTTATTGTTGATAAACTATTTTTTAATATATCGCATATGTTATCACTTATGACATTTTGATATAATTTTATTGATTTTAGTACAAATAATTACTTATATAAAATTAAAAATTAATATTTTTAATATACAATTGAAAGATTGCTTTATAAAATTACAGAAAATATAAAATTAATAAATTAATAATGACAATATTTATATTTAAAAAATGCCAAATCTCAACTATTAATAAATACTATATAAATTTAAATTACTTTATATTTATATCAATTTTCTGCAATTTGTTATTAGTTTTACAATTATCTTTAATTAATCAAAAATTGTAACTTTTAGCTGGTTTTGGCTACAAATATGTGAGCCGACAAACATCGCTAATAGTGTCGATGATAATAATGGGCATAACATTAGGTGTATTGCCTTCTGTTAATTCACTGACCATCTACTATGTAATCGGCGCTATAAATGTATGAATTTATACAATTAAATAAAATTAAAAATTAAAAATTTATGTATATTTTTTGTATAATAGGGCATAACTGCCGGCTCAAGTGATATGGCTATAACGGCATGGATTATAGAGTTATGGGACGAAAAAAGTGGTCCCTATTTATTGGCCGCTCATTTTTGTTTCGGAACCGGCAATATAGTGGGTCCACAAATCGCCCGACCATTTCTTCTGGAAAATTTGTCTCAATTGGTGTTTGCCTATATTATCTGTGGCATTATTTGTGTGATCAGTGGCGTTATCTTAACTTTTGTTGTATTTGGTCCTAAAATCAGAGACCAATCGACTACTCCCGATGAAACCGTACCGAACCAAACACAYCGGACTTCTATTTCCGAGGATGTCATACAAGAATCGCGACGACGCGAACTCAGACCCATATTTGTTGTCATAATTGTGATCTTCGGGTGCCTTCTATTAGCTATCTATTCATCAATGGAAATGTCATACTTTAATTTGCAGTCAATTTTTGCTCAGACCTCAAGTTATAATATGAGTGAAGCCGACGCCACTTTGCTATCATCGACCACTTACGCTGTCTATACTATAACTAGAGGTTTGGCTATTAGTTTTCATATTTAAAAAAATGAAAATAATTATAAATATTTTTTATATGATAATTAAGGTGTCGAAATACTACTGGCCCTCAAAATACCGGTTCACTATATAATGTTAGCTCATTTTGCAGTCATTATTATCTTCAGCATTGTCTCAATAGTGACATATAGTTTGCCTTTAATATGGCTGTGGATTAGTAACATAGGCATCGGTATTGGTTGTGGATCAGTATATCCAACTATATACGCATTTCTTCAGCAAAATTTCAATATTGACGATAAAAAGACAGCCATTTTATTGTTTGTCAGCGGAGGTCTCGGAGCCACTTATCCTTATATTGTGGGAAAATCGATGACCAGTTGGCCACTTGTCTATATTTACATTAATATTATTAGTATTATATTGTGTGTCCTCTTTTTGTTTGTCATACGATTCATTAGCTGGAAGTGCGGTCGTATGGTTAGACCAGTTATGGTGATGACCGTCTCTTCCGACGGACCTCAAGAAARCGATTCATCGCTAACTAGACAACAATCAACTTAAAACATTTGCTCACAAATTTTATTTTTTTAAATTATACATTTTAATATTATCTTTTAGTTATGACTTGTAAATGTTGACCAAATTTCATCTATTTTTTATAAAAAAATATAATTTATAATATAATCTTTTTAAAAATTATAATATAAATTGTATTTTTTTATTAAAAAAAATACATTACAAAATTATTTTTACTGGTCTATCTTAAAATTATAAAAATTAGTACTCTTAATAATTATGAGAAWATATWTTATTTGTACTTTTATTTTTTTTAAAAATTATAATATATAATAATATTTATAAATTAGCATTACCGGCACATAATTTAAAACATTAAATTATTTTGATTAACACTTAACTAGTGTACAAATACTATCATTAAAGGTATAAATACAGTCTGTGATAGATTAGGTCCGTAAATGTTTTATAGTATATACCATACCATAAATTGATGGCATTTACAGGTGCGCTCTATTTTAGCCATTTTATCACTAAAATAATTTAAGATAAAAACTATTATATAATAATTAAATTATTATCATTATAATCATTGATAAAATAGCAATTTTCTGATTATTGTGATTAATGRGTTATTTTCATAATGTAATCATTAAATTCTTTAATTTGGGTCATTAAATATTATGGTAACTAAAATTATTATACTTTTTATATTGATTTCATATTATTTCATTACTTCACATTATTAATATATTAAATACAATTTAACTTATATAATTTGTAAACGAGATTAATAAATAGATATTAAAAAAATATTTATACATTTTATTTATATTTATATTAATTAATTTTCTTGTAATTGTTATTATATTTTTAAAATTATAATTTAATTGATTTATAGACTATATTAATATTTAAATAGAACTATTTGATTTATTATTATAATAATAAAATATAAATATAAATAACAATAATAATTTTTGTATTTTTCATGTGAACTATTTTTATATATAAAGATAAAGTAAATAAAATAATGAAATAGTTTTTTTTAAATAAAATACTATGTTGCATAATAAAATTACAATTAAACTAATAACACTGAAAATATTTTGTTATCAATTACAATTGTATTTTTTTAATGAATTTTATATTATTTAAAAAATATGAATATTTTTAAATTTATTACATGTATGTTGAAAAATATTTTTACAAATTATTTAATTGTTTTATTTATTTTATGATATCTTTAAAGGAAATTTTGACAAAATTAGTAATAAAAAAGTTATGATTAAAGGAAAACATTTTAAATTGATGTTTTATAAACTTTATGGAAAATAATTACAATAAAATATTTAAGTTAAGGTTAAATAGTAAAACCGTGAATAATTGTAATATTAGTTTATCTTTAATTATTTAAACTTTTTAATATTTATTGATAATAAAAATATTTTATTACATTTAATATTCTTTTATTTTAAAAATCTAATCTTAGTTTTTAATTAAAAAAAAGTTTCAGTTATACTATCATTGATCGATTTAATTGTGGCCAACTGTCCATCATTGAGAGCACCGCCTAACGGCTATTTGGACCGCAATTGTGGTACACGGGTTGGCAATACTTGTCGTATATATTGCAAGAAAAACTGTCAATTGATTGGCGACGCCGTTCATCATTGTCTGTCTAATAACACATGGAGTGGTACTCCAACACGCTGTGTGTCTAAACAATATCATCACAACCATCACCAACGGTGCCCTTATTTAAGTGCACCCGACAATGGTTATCAAGTGGGAGAGTGTCATAATAAAGGTAATGATTACCACACAACTCAAGTACTATAAGCTGTGATAAAAACAAATTCAATGATTATCTTATCTGAATTTGAACCCAAATAGCTGGCTGTGTCTGTGTGTTTGCCTGTAATAACGGCTATACACTTATGGGCTCATCTAAAGTGGTTTGTCAGCGCAACTGTCGTTGGTCTCCAAGACCTACCTGTGTGCTCACCACCACTACTACCCCATGCAAGACACCAACCACTGCAACGACAACTGAAGAGCTCGACGAACAGGTCTATTGCCCATCACTACCGGTCCCTACAAATGGTCTGATAAGAGGTAGCTGTCGCATTGCCCCTCCGGGTGCTGTTTGTAGGTTTGGTTGTAATGCCGGATATCAATTAGTAGGCGACTCGACTGCTGTTTGCAAAGCTAGTGGGAAGTGGACGTCAACAGGTGTCCACTGTATAGCCTCTCACACTAGATGTGCGACATTGCATCCACCAGATAATGGTGTCATAACTGGGTATTGTGCCCCAGGTATCCAATAGTTATTTTAATGACATCAATTTAAAACAATAATACAATAATAGTCACTTAATTACAGGCGTATCAGGAAATACATGTAATTTTTCGTGCAATAGTGGCTACCAATTGATGGGCTCATCATCGCTAACCTGTCAATCAAATGGTCATTGGTCTGGAGGGACACCAGTTTGCAGTTCAAACAGATAATTGAAAGCAATCAATATATTACAGTATATACTGTACAATACCAATGATGTAAAACTAATTGTACAAAAATGTTATCAAATATTATTATAGAAAATTTAGAAAAAATAAGTGTATAAAATGTGGTTCAGAAAAGCATTTAATAAAATTTAATTCAGAAAAGCATTCAAAGAAATTAATAAAATAAAACTAAATTTTGGCACTAAATTTGAATTTATATCTCTATATTACAAAAATTGATTGTCTTTATAGTAATTTATCAGATAATTAACAATATATTGATTTGAGCAAATACAGCAAAATTAATACATTTCTATATTAATTAATAACATTTAGATTAATATATTGATTTGTAATAAGTTATTTGATAATCCTATCGTCGGGTGGGAGCAGTCGACTGGATCTCAACGTCAGCGGGATTGGCGTTAGCAGTGCCCGGTTCGTTGGTGCGGACGGTGGCACGGAAACCGGCGCCGTCGGCAACGTACTCAACAACTCTCTGGCGACCATCGGGATCGACAAGACTGTATGAACCGGTGACGGATCCGCTACCATCGGCCTGCTCTTGACGGCTCTGTTGGGTTCCGTACTCATCGGTTGAACTGAAACCATAGGTATATGGCTATAATATAGAGTGAAATGAAATTTAAGATTATTAATAAATATATTTATATTTTTTTYATTTATATTTGTCGTTTAGTTGATATACCTGTGGTGGGTATGATTCCTCTCTCAGAATAGGCTGTGACAGAGCAATGGGAGCGGGACGGGCCAGGATAGCCTGTCTTTGCAGAGGAGCGGCAGCGATGGCAAAGTGTTGTGGGGCAGCAATATGTTGGATAGCGGGGGCGGCCACAGCAATTGGTGCTCTCAGAGCAATGTTTGGTCGGGCCAATGCAACACCCGATGGTCGGGTCAACTGAATGGTCTGCAATTGAGCGGCACTGGACGAGCCCAATGTGAGTGGACTGAATTGAAGTACCTGAGCCGTGGCACCGGCGACGATAGCCAACAAAGTAATGAACTGCAAAAAAAATTATCCGTTATATCACAAGAAAATAACACATTTTATCGTTAAATATAGAAATTTTTGAGTTTTGATGATTTTTAACGTTTACCTTAAACATTGTTTTTAGTTATTTTTACTGATTTTTCTTATCAGACTTGAAAGTGAAATYGAAAGTGATTTGAAATGAAGAGCAAAATCACAATTTATATGATTTTGGTTTTCATTGAAACCTAACGATAAACAAGTAGTTTTTGGGCATAAAAAACCATTTCTCTTATAAAAAGCCCATTGATTTGACAGTATTAACGAATAGGGGATGAGTCGACCTATAAAACGAAAAAAAAGAGAGATTTAGAGATGAGATCTCTTCGACAAATAATTTATTCACTTTTTAAGCGAAATAAAAAAAATAAATTCATTTTTGTGCAGTTATTTTCACTACAAAATTTCGTTTTTTTTAAATTAATTTTATTATACACTACATATAACACGCAATGAATAATAATTAGTTTAATATCAATGTGTTTTAATTTTTAAAATAACGGGTAAATTTAAAATTACAAGATCATTGAAAATTAAGCAACAATTTTTCAATTAAAAAAGGTTTATCTAATATATTTAAAACAAATGGTCTGATAGTTTGCAGATTAAAATACTGTAAAAGGTTGCGACGCGTCTACTATAATATATGGGCAAAAGTGTTAGACTTATTGCTGATATGACCCCAAAAATGCAATAATTGCAATGATATTTGTGATATTACTGATAATTGTGATATTATCATATCTAGTAATCTATAAATTATTTATATAACTGTATCGGTGGTAACAATAGTAGTCTAATATTTATTTTGTTTTAATTTAATTTCTTTAAATGTCTAAAAATTTTCTAATAATAAATTAAGAATTACAAAAAAACAAATATTTATTTATTATTATTATTTAATTAGTTCAGATCTAATTATGTCATAACAAAGAATTATTGTCATTGAGAATAATTACATTTAAAATTAGTTTTCATAATAATAATAATAATAATAATAAAAGTGAAAACGYTTTCAAATAAATTTATAGCCTAAAGTCACTGATTGTCCCAAAGACTGATAAATAGTTTGCATTTTATTTTTTTTATGATACATCCCTGACATCACTAACTGTAGAGACACTATAAATGATTGTAGGCTAAGGTTTTAACTATTATCTATAAAATTATATTTTTATGTACTCTATATCAAACATCTATCTGACTCTATGGGAGGCAATAGACTTAGTAAAAAGGGAGTGTAAATAATATTGTACACTATTAGTGACTTTTTAGTGACAAATTTTAAAAAGAAAATAAATAGATTTAGTAATTGATTGAAATAAAAAAAATAGACAAAAAAGAAATAGGAAGAGAAAGAAAAAAACTATTTGAATATTATTTATAACTAATAATTAAAATAACTTAAAAATGTAATCTAAAAATTAGTTTATAAATGTATGTGTTTGTGTGYTTGCAATTGACTTTAAATTAATTTAACAGTATTATATGTTATTTATATTAATATTATTTTTTTTATTTAATATTCATTTAATAAATAATTAATCAAATTTTTTTATGTGTCATACATTTTTAAATTTATATATATATATTAATATACTAATATATATAAGTTTTTTTGTATTTATTTTTTATGTTTTTTTTAATTTTTTATTCATTAATCATTACCGAATGTTTTTTGTTGTTTTACATTTTAAAATTTAGGATAATATAATAAGATTATCCATATAATTTTATAATTGATATTTACCAATTTTATAAAATTTATTTTATTAAAATCTTTAAATTTATTGAATTGTATGACCTCAAATAAAACAATTTTAGTATCATTTATGTTATTATTTGTATGATTATGTCTAGTATAAAAATTTTTAATTTATAAATATAGCTAAATGTGTTGTGCTTATAATATTTTGAAATAATATTTAATTTACAATAAAAATACACATAAAAAACTGAATTTTAAAATAGATGACAATTACTAATTCAAAATTTATAATGTAAAATATTAATAAATATAATTTAGAAATTTTACTAAAAGCTTTGTTATAAATCAACTTTTAATATTGAATAAAATAAAATGATAATCACTATAAAAATCTTATTTGTTTAAACATTTTAATAAAAAATATAAATACAATATTATAAAAAAATAAAATAATTTGCTTATTTTATAATTGAATTATAAACTAAATTTAAAAACTCAAAAAATAAAATACTAAATTATTGTCAAAAACTTAATTTCATGTTTTATCTAAATAACTATCAATCCGTAAAAAGTTTATATCCATATGTGTCTTAATCATGTAATTGTTTTTGAATGTATTTTATTTATTAAAAAACATTACAGTACTTAGTTTTTAATGTTTAAAATATTTTTTAATAAATCACAGTATATTGTTGTATATTTTAAATCTAAGTTTATAATTATAATATAATAGTTATYGTAAACAGTATAAATTTTTATATTGTAAATAATGGAAATCTTAATTGATTTATTTAAAACAATTGTATTAACTATGATATTAAAACAAAACATTTGTTAATAAAACTATTACAAAACAGTTGCAATTTGTTAATTATAATGTGTTCTAATTAAAAACTGTATATTTTTTGTTAATTGAATTTTTGTAAAAATTTCAATTTTTAATTCACTGTCATCTGAAAAATTAAATTATTTAATAATATAAATTCTTAACACATGAACTAAATCTTAGATTTTTTAAAAAAAGATAAGCTATGAGTAAATGTATGTCTTTTTACTACATATTTAATATTTATTTTGGTAATTATTAAGATTTCACAAACACACACACACACACACACACACACACACACACACACACACACACACACACACACACACACACACACACACACACACACACACACACACACACACACACACACACACATATATATATATATATATATATATATATATATATATATATACATACACATTAAAATATGATAAGACACATATTTTTTAGCAATCAAAAAATCCTTGATATATTATAATATGTATACAGTCGCCAAAAAATTTTATTATAACACTGTATCGAATAATAATCATTTAATTAATTTTTATGCAATTTATTTTAAATTTATAAATAAACTAGACTGTTATCAAAATCATCAATTTTGAACATTAATAAATTACAGATATTTTTAAAAATTTAAAATTTTAATATTTTTCTATTTCTTTCAAAAATGATCTTGTGACTTAACATAAATTATAATATTTTAATTTTATTTATATTATTTCAAAGTATTTTAAAGTATTTTATTCTTAACTATAATTCTCAAATCAATAAAACATAATTTAATATAAAACAAAAACAATATATAAAATAATTTCTATTTTCAAACAATAAGTACTATTTAGTGTAAATTATTACTAAAATTTAAATTAATAAAAACTGATTACCATAATTAATCAAAATATTTATTTATTTTAACTTTATTTTGAAAAGTGATAATTATAAATTGACCAAATATTTATATTATGAATTTTAGATATTAAATGTTAAATTTTTTAAAGTTTTGCACAATATATAATTTTATTATACATTGTATTTGATATTTCAATTGACATTAAAACAATAAAACTTTTATTAGTAATTACTATTAATAGAATAAGTATAAAATATTAGTATTTAATAATGTTTGAAAAATTTTCCCAATTTCGGGCTAAACATATATGCAATCTGAATAAAAAATATTCTAATAATCTCTATTATGTATAGATATTATATATATTTTTAGTTAATTTTATTAAAACAAGAATCAGGTATTAAATTTAATTTTAAATTTATTAGAATATCATTTACTAAATAAAATTATTTTTTCTTACTATTGTTTATTAAATTGTACATGTTAATTTCAAAATTAACTTATTTACTAATTAATTAATCTAAACTAATATGTATTCAAATTTAATTTTGTTCTAATTGTTATATTGTTTGATTAAATTGAAATTTTACATTTATATTATTTAGTTATTAAGTTATTTAAATACTAATGTTATTTATCAATACTTTTGTTTAAACTTTATATAACGTTAAATGTTTTTGTAATCAATATTATGTAATCACATTATTTTATGATTGATTTTTCATAATTTTTTTCACAATTGTTTTATTAGTTTCAGATATTATTTAACTAAAATTGTGTAAAATTAAAAGATTGTAGTCAAAAAAATTAGACATAATATAGATTAAAGTTGATTAAAGTTAATAAAGACTTAAAAAGATATTTATAAATGAAAGAAAATATTGTATAAAGGCTTATTTTTATATAATATAGTCATATATTTAATATGAGCTCATTATCCGATATCTGTAAAAATAGTTAAATAACTTCAAATGGATACCATAGTAATAATACTAACTTATAAAGAATCCTAACCTATAGTCAAATGTCATAAAAGTCTGAGACTATATCCGAAAGAATCGAAAAACACGTGAATTAAAACTTTTGGACGGATTCTGGAATTTTATGGCCATTCTGGTCGACGGCGACCACAATATCGGCTTTACTGACAAATGGTATACAAAACCATTAAATCTATTAAAACGGAACAACATTTAGGTTTCTCATACTGTTATCAATTCTAATGTTTTTTGCAATTAAATTATTTATTTAATTTTTACAAATAAAATAAAAGTTTCTGATTTCAAGTATTAACAAAATTGTATGATTTTCGTTGAATAAAAAAATAAATAATTGTAATTCAGTTATTTTTTACAACAACAAAAACAATTATAATTTGTCCATAAAATGCAAATTCAAAAACTATTAAATTTATATAAATATAACTCAATCTCCTTATAATTCTCGTTATACAGTATTATACTGTAGAGGTATAAAGTATTCATTATTACTAGAGTTCGGGAGAGAAATTCACTAAAAAATCTGTAATTTTCCCGAAAAATATAAAAAATATTTTATTTTCTCTCTCTTGATCCGTTAGAATGGGAAATATATTTTATATTATTACAAAAAATAGTACAAAAACTTAAATAGTTTGCAACAACAAAAATATTGAAATATCAAAAAAATATTTTCAATTCAATGAATTAATGAGACTATTTATAACTTAAAATACAGTTTATTATAATATTTGTTTTTCAAATATTATGATAAAATGTGTTGTTTATAATTTAATAGGTGGTACCAGAAGGAAATAAATTTCCTAAGAATTCCCAGAAAGTAGGAAACATAAGGTAATTTTGGAAAATAAACCGAGGGATTCAATCTGATCTAACCCTAAATATTAAACACAAAAAACTCATAATAGATCTCTTAATAAGGTTTGTGTTAATCTAATGTCTTACACGTGTCGTTGTTGTGCTCAAACTCAGTCAATTCAACCCAATCTCCCGGTCCAACAATACTACAGTAAATTTATAATATAATTGACATTATTTTAGTATTGATTTACACTGTATTTAGAATTTGCTTCAAAAGGATTCTTTGATTGAATTTCTATTAAATAAAACTTTTTGCTTACAATAGATGTCTGTAAAGTTGTATAAACTTTATTATTATATTTTGTATTATACATGTATAAAAACTTCAATAAGTTTGCAATAAATGACAGAAAATAATTTAGCTAATTATCATTAATATATTAGTAATTAGTTAATAATATTGTAAATATTTATGATATATCAATCTTTGACTTTGCAAAATATTATATTAACCTTTGAATAACTTATTTTAATAATTGCACAAAAAATTCATATTAACATTTTAATAGCATATTATAGTTAATTAAAATAAGTTTTTAAATGTTTTATTAAACATTTTATATCTATTAAATAAACTGTTAATTTTTTCATTTATGTTCTCAATTTAATTGCTGTGAATATATATTGTGTAGAAATTTTGATAATTAAATATTTAAATATATATATATATATAAATTATATTAATTGCAATTAAAAAATTGTGAAATATTATTGCAAAATATTCATAAATTTAATTTCTTGAGAAATAATTTTATATTATAATATAAATAAAAATATTTATTGTATTAAACATTTTGTAATGTATAATTTGTTTTTAATAGCTATTAATTTGTAAAAAATAAAATTAATTACAATATATCATAATTATCGAATTATTATCATTATTACTATATGTATAACACTTTTTTAATAAATTATTTAAATTTTTAGTTTAAAACATTAACTTTAATCACACTTTATATTATAATCTATTATTACATAAAATTAAATAAATTATTGGTGTCTCTAATTGTATACAACGGTGTATATAATTGTCATAAAGACATTGATGAATACAATTATTAATATAATTGTTTATTAAATAAATAATGCATCACAAAATGCCATGCATTTTTAAAAATGTCTAAAAATTATAAATGGTATTTAAATTAAACAAATGTGAAAATTGGTGAAGTGATAGTGCAATATAAATGATTATTAAAATAATGATTATAAAAAATTGAGAAATGAGATGCCTAAGAAATAGTTAATATACAAACAATTAATTATATACTGTATAAATATATAATATAAATTATTATGTGAAAGCCTATTATGTAGTGTTGTTATTAAAATTATAGTATCTTTTTTAATAAATACTATTTATAACAATAAACTCAAATAAATATGAGCTGATATGTATAAAAAATATATTCAACAATGAATATAATGAACACTGAAAAAATTATATAATAATATCATAAAAAAGTCAATTATTATAATAATTTTCAAATATTAAATATATAGATGGATTTTAAGCCATCATTATCATCTTTTTGAGACACTCGTCATCGGTGGTGGCAGAAGTGTCCACCACTTTGGCCTGTTTTTGGCGATTTCTGATATAAATACTAAAGTGTATTACAAGCAAAATTGAAAGACAGATCCCAACGCAGATCAGATTAAACCAGATAAGTATCAATGGATTGGCCTCAATATATTGGCCGACCAGTGATGGAGACACTGCTGCGGTCAGACCGCCGGCGAAAACAAATATCGATCCGATTCTGTTGGTTACACGAAATTGTTGTTCTGTTAAATAATAAACAATAATTTGTTAATAATATTCAGAATATTTTGGAAAAAAATTTCATTAATTATATATATATATATACCGAGGAAAGCGTAAACTGAAGCATAAACGGATGATAATCCGGCGCCCAGTATGATATTGCCCGTCCACATCATTACCATAGATGTATTGGCATAGACTACGAGAATCAACATACCGGCGATCATCAGAATATGGTTTGCATAGAGAATCACTTGTGGTGTTAGCCATAGGGACAGAGGTATCGACAATCCGCGGCCCACTGTAAAAGCTGCGGCGGCTCCGGAAGTCACCAAAGCAGCAGCCGATGGACTCATATTGAGGTCAGTGTTGACAGCAAATGTTGGCAGAAATTGTAGATGCATTTGCTCCATACCCACAAAAAATGTGAGAAACAATGCGCCCAATGATACCAACCATATAGTATTGAAAGAAGGAATGTTGGTTTTGATAAAATTTTTCAATTGTGATATTTTGTTGCCATCTAATTGTGCATCAAATTATATAAATGTATTAATATTTATGTTTTTCTTTATATATATATATATATATTTACTTTTAATGAGATCCTTATTATCATTGTTTGCAATTTTGTAAACAGTTTTCTCAACTGTTGGCGGTTCGTACTTCTTGTAAGCGTAGAGAACAAGTACGGCAGCGGCCGATGCTATTGTCATTGCGCCGGCAAACGCATAGGGAATATATATGAGAGTCGGGTTGGATCTGATCTCATCATCGGTTAAGAATTGTGTTATATTGACTCCAGTATTATTTGGATCAAAATCTTGTGTAGCACTGGTATTGATGTAATCTTCAATTTTTATATGATGTCCGATCATCACCTTTGAAGATAGGAAAGGTTCGCAAAGTAACGGTGCCACGAAAGAGCCCAAACCATAGGTAAAGTGCAGGGCCTGCATGTATGGACCACTTTGTTCGCCCCACATCTCCAGAATCCAGACATTAATGGCTGTGTCAAAGCTGCCAATGGAGAAGCCATTGATGGCGCCCAATGAGAACAGTTGGAACAGTGATGTGCAATGAGGCATCAGAAGAAGACTCACTCCCATCAATGACATGAAGAAGACAAAAGCCAACTGACGGTTGATGTAATTGAATAGAAATCCGCCTAAAAGTGCATTAAGTTTTGCGTTAACATTGATTTGACCCAATTTTTAACAGATCATCAGATTTATGTATTATGTGTTTTATATATACTATGTTATATAAAAACAATTACATAATGTTAGTATATGTTTTTGTGTGTAGTTGGTCTTAGACTTACTTAGACTGCCTAATGTATAACCGGCCGATCGGACCGTATATATGAAACATATTTTTTCAATTGTTGACCGAAACAGAGCCGATAGTTCAATAAGTGTGGGACCGACCACATAGAAGTTGACTGTAAAAAATTAACAAACAAAATACTTTATTACATAAATTATTACAACAAAATATTATATAATATAATCAGATAGTTATATAATAATTATATATATATATATATATATCTGGGGAGATATCGCATGTTATAACTTATAACTACTTATGTCATAGGTTTGAGTTTATTCCGGTATAAACCGGATTCAATTCTGGATGAAACCAGATAAATGAGAGAGTATGGTATATAGCACTCGTAGTTTTTACTATTACTCCTCAATACTATTGTGCATATACTACTACTACTACTAATACTTTATTTATATATTAATATATACAAACTGCTGGTTTCTAATCGATAAAAAAGTTTATTTAAAGACTTGAATGTATTGGACAATAAATGCCTTATATGACTCTGTATTTGACCCAACAATTTTTAATTATCATATACTGTATTTATTTATAGTACATTAGAATTAATCAAATTCAATGATCATTTATTTATTTTTATTAATTTTTTTTTTTTTTGATAATTTATTTGTAAATGACATAAACTATTTAATTCAACGCATAGTGTTTGGGAGTTATCAGAGGACAAACAGTCTGTCTATACATAACTTATACATTCAGTGTAAGTGTAGAATCGTATAGTGAATGACCTAAACATCTTATATGAATATTATTGATAATAAATTCTGTACTAATTATTATATAAATAGTTTATACAAAAATTATATATACAGTATATATATATATATATATATATATTATATCTATATATATATATATATTATATCTATATATGGATAGATAGATATAAGAATATGATAATTTTATATTATTGTATTCATTAGACTAAACAATTTAATAAATTTATAGGCCATTAAATAATTATAAAATTAAATTTAAATTATCATTAATTTTTTAACATAAGTAAATACTGTAGTAAATCTGAATAAATTGTTATTATAATAATTATATTGAAAGTTATTTTCAAAAAATCTTATAAACATAAGATAAAAACTTTCCAATTTACGTAAATAAATTTCCAATGAATAATAATCAAAATAGTAATTATAAATAAGGTTTTAAATAAAAATATTAAAAAGTGATGAATAAGAGCAACGACTAAATTATAAACAAAACTATTGGTAAACATCGGAGATATCAAGGATTTCTCTGAACAAGTGTCTTAAAAATATTTTTTGTTTATCTTTTTAGTAGTATTTCTATAGTATATAGCAGTTTGTATACAAACTGCTAATATTAAGTCATAGTATGCATCGATTACATCATATGATCACAGAGTGAAGTGAGAGAGCAATAGAGAGAGAGAGAGAGAGAGAGAGAGAAAGAGAGCACTTGAAACGTATGCTCTCTTTCACAGACATCTCTTGTTTCCCTCTGTTTATAAATAGGTATAAAAGCCTACTTTCTAAGAATCCATACAATTATATACAGTATTATATATATAATGTGATCATATGATGATTTAATATAAAAATAATATATTTTAGTAGGTTTTCTAATGATTTATTTGCCAAAACAGGTTGAATCCAGATCCTCAACAATGCACACAATAATTGACTGAATAATTTAGTTTGAAAATTATATTTATTAATAATTTATAATAAAAATTTCAAAAAAATAATAAATTTTTCAGTTAGCATGATCAAGCATAAAATCTACTAGGTCAATTAAATACAGTACATTCTAGTAGTAAATTTATATTATAAATATATCCCTTATATTATCGGTGTTTATTAAGAATACAATATTAATAATATATAATATAAAAAAATAAAAAACAATTAAAAATGATTTATAAATACCTCCGTAAAAGAAATAACAAGAAAAGAGTGCAAATGTTGTGATATATTTGAGTTTCAAAGACATATTGATATTGGTCTTCATTTTGCTGATCGATTGGTATTAGCGGTCAAAATAAATGATTTTATTTTGTTAAACAATTATTAAAATAAAACTTTTATTATTTGCTTGACTCTAACTGAGTAACAATTTAATTAAAGCAACAAAAAAGTTATTAAATATTTATATATTTTTTGCTGTTTTCACTATTACTCTCAAACACCAAACTGTCTGTGAGAGTGAACAGCGATTTTCAAAACTTTTATAGCAATTGATAAGCTTTTCATAAAACAAGAAGTTTGTTGTTAAGTGAGATTTGATTTCAAGTCATCGATAAGACTATACTGACTGATGTCATACATTCATATTTAATAGTAAAAATCGACAATTTATTTATAAATCAAAAAACAAAATTCAAATACACAACAATTAACAGAGCATATGATGTAAATATTTTTTTTAATAGATTTACTATATTTTTGTTATTGTAATGAATCGGCTCTTTTGGTTGTGTTGTTGTTAAAGTGATCCCGAGTTTATGAAATAACTATCCGTAAAGACATGAGTTTTATGTATTGAGAGAGAGAAAGAAAGAAAGAGAGTTCATAGGAGTTACCATTGATTTAGCTATATTTTCAAAGCCATAGATTTAGTTATATTATTGTTATTGTAGTTTCAGTGCGCTTTCGCCGTGTTATGCACTGCGCGGTCGACTTTTCCCATCCCTTAGAGTGTGTGTGTATGTAATGTTAGGCATACTATAGTCTATATATGAATTTCATACGGTATGAACTCTAGATTTTTTTTGGGTAAATCCCGACTCCTCTATCATTACAATGATAACACCTGCATATGTCTATTGGGTATACTATGTGTATGAGATGACATGCACTTTGAACTTTAAATACACATTATTTTATTGTTAGATTTTTTGTGTATGTAAACAATATTTAATATGTTTATCGCTTTTATAAACAAAAAATCCCGTTTTTTCAAAAATTTTATTGACCTATGAACTAATCACTGCCGGTCTATACAATGTGTGTTTGTATATATAAATAAATTATCTCTCAATAATATAATCAATTTGCCAATAATAGATACTATTGACTATCAATATTTTTTGATATTTATTTTTCACATAAAGATGTTTATTGTGTATCTTAAATAAAAATTTGTTGATAATATCATAGAGTATTTATTTTGATGACTATTTGTCTCACACACACACATATGACATGTAGTCATGCAGTCTAACAATTTCTCTCATTAATAATTAAATACAGCATTTACTGTATAATATAAATTTATATATAAAACTTATGTAAGCAAACATTTCATTTGAATTATTATTAGTTAAAATGTTTTTCATTCATTAATATGTTTGAAAATTGCGATTTTTTTGCTTATTTTAAACAGTACTCAATATATTGGGAAAGTGTTATTGAAAAACTTTTTGAGGACATAAAACAACATTTACACTAATATTATACAGTATTCAGTGAATACTATTCACACATAGTAACAGAGTGTATAACACGTTTCTTGATTCAAATCCAATTTTTATTTAATTAATATGATTATTGATTAATGAATATATAAATATTAATGTAATTTGTTTTAGACTAACTATCAATTTATTTATGCGGTATTTAAAACAATTGTTTTGCCAAAAAATATTTACCAAAGGAAAACTACTATTTATAATTAATTATAATAATTATTAGTCAAACATCAAATTAATTATTATTTTATTTAAAAATTTATTTATTTTTATTAAATACCAAATTAGCTAAGAGACAAATATAGTATAATTTATTTATTTATAAAAAACAATAGAAGTTTCAATGAAATTAGAAAGTAGAACAAATTTAAATATGTTTAACAAATTATTTGCAAATTATATTTAGCAAAAATGTTAATTTAGTAAAATTTACAAATAATTACTACTCATCATTAAATAGTTAATACTAAATGATATGTTTAATAATTTGTAATACAAGTTCAAATATTTTCTTTAATGTTTTAATAATATCTACAGTAATTGTCTACCAATACACACAATACCAATATTTTGTTTTATTACTAACTTGTTATTAATTATTTGGATTAATTTGATTTTTATTTAATATAAAAATTAAATAGTAATAGTCATTATTGTAAAACAATAAGTCATTAAAATATAGTATACATATTGGTAGTTTAATTTAGTTCAATATCAAATAATTATTATTAAATCAAAATTATTTACATAAACATTTTAAATGTACTAAACTTTTTATGAAACTTTTGACAACATTATATTATAAAAATTAAAAATTTATATCTAATTTATAGGTAATATAAAAAATAAAATAGACATACGATATGAAATTCATAGCCTATGACTACAGTATATTACTTACTACAGTATTTTATTTATTTATTTATTGAATATAGAGTCTACTGTAGATCAAAAAATTTTAGTTTTATTAAAAATTATATATATATTTCTAAAGTTATACTATTATTTTAATAGAAAATATCAATAATAGATAAACCCATTTCCCGAATGAACTAAATTTATCAAAAATATTATAAACTATATCATCAGGAATTGACGTCTATAAGAAAAATATAGTTTATACCATATTAGGAATATATTTATAATTTAAATTATAAATTATTATAAAAAAAACATTTGTCTTTTAATAAAAATCAGTGATTGACAGCGTGTTTACAGCAGTGGAGATACAAAATTGTATCAAATATCTAAGTTTTCAAATAAAAAAAATTATTTTTTTGAATAAAACAAATTAATTCATTGATAACTTATACTATATATCATTGATAACAAAGTAATTTTCCATAATGTTGTTTTTCAATAATAAACACACATAACATAAATCGTGAGATAAATATACAAATATATTGAGAATATATATATAATTTTGATTAATAAAAATCTCATCTCACTTTAATTACTTATATTATATATATATATATATTTRTATATTAAAAATCATTTCCGGAGCTTATAAATAAAATATTTGATTTTATATATCAAATAAATTTCATTATTTACGTATCATTGGGTAACCTTTGATTGACATCGGCTTTTCAGTTGATGTCAATGTATAAAATAAATAAAACTAAAAAAATAAAGTTTAAATTTGCTACTATCATGATATACTGTAGGCGACCACAAAAAAAATAAATCGGGTCAATGGCACAGTCCAGTGTACACGTGCAAGTGGTCTCATATGTTATGTATCAACAAAATAAAATTATCAAGCACCTGTACCAACCAGTACCTCGATTTAGATCATGTTTGGCATTGGCATTGGTATCAAATTAATAGTAAATATTTTTATGATACAATTTATGTGAAGTAAATATTTTAAAGTTAAATAGTAAAAATGTTAAAACTAACCCATATTTAGTTTGATAAATAATGTATTTACTTAATAATATTTGTGTAAATGTAATAAATAATTATATTTTATTATATTTATGTTCAAAAAAGTTTCCATTAAATTTATTTTTAAAAAACAAAAAATATTTTTTTTTGGTTATCAATTATAATCAACATTCATTTAGTATAAATATTGTTTAACGTATGAAATATAGGGTTATATAAATATTATATAATCATTTAAATTATGATTTAATAAAAATGTAAATTTGTTAATATATAATAACATTATAAACATTTTCATTATAATAATAGATAACAATTTATAACATAAAAATCAAAGTACATTAAATAGTTTTGTCAAAATAAATAGATATTTTTTTAGTTACATTTATGCAACACAATAATAAAATTGTTAAATTAAAAAATAATAATATGTTAAATCACATATAAATACAAAATTAATATTTATATTTAAAAAAAAACATAAGCAAAAACATTGGTATTATATTTAAGTAATTTAAAAGTCAAATATTAATACATTTATAATACAAAATAATATTAGATATCAATAAATTTGAAACTGAATAGTAATGTCACTTATTATTGAAATATTTGGCCAAAAGATAAGCTAAAACAATGGCCACCAAAATAGACAACAACTTTGTCTTCAATGACCAATTGTTTGTCCGCTGACCGCTGCTGTTGTCCGCCGAAGTCGTTGGCGACGCGTTTCGTTGTAGTTCGCGGTCCAGTTGGTCGTCGCTGTCGGCCATCAATTTGTCCATCTCTTCGGTCATCAAACGTTTCAATAGTCTTATATATAACTCACGGGTAGAGTCTGGTGAACAACAATAAAAAATCGGATTAATTGACAAAATATCGGGCAATAAATAAGTGGACAGACAATTAGCCACAAAAAAAACTTACCGACAATCGGTCCGACCGACTGTCCTCTCGATTCCAGTTCATAGCGAAGAGTGTCATCGTTTAAACAGTCGTTATCAGTCATGATTTGGACGGAAAAAATGTACCGAAAAAACTAGTGGTCACAAATCAATGTCAACCGTGATATACAAACACAACAACAAACTGTCAAAACGTTTGCAAAACAAATAATATTAATATTTTTATTATTTTATATTTGAATTGTGTTTACATTTACTGTTACACAACAATAGTGACACTCATTGACCGCTATTTAAACTAAATTACTAACAAAATAGTTGTTTTATTTGGATAATAGAGTGCACTGTCTCTATGTGTGTGTGTGTGTGTGTGTGTGTGTGTGTGTGTGTGTGTGTGTGTGTGTGTGTGTGTGTGTGTGTGTGTGTGTGTGTGTGTGTGTGTGTGTGTGTGTGTGTGTGTGTGTGTGTGTGTGTGTGTGTGTGTGTGTGTGTGTGTGTGTGTGTGTGTGTGTGTGTGTGTGTGTGTRGATGTAGTGATAAAATATTGATTTTTTAAATTTTATTATTTTAATTAAAAAATTTATCACACAATTTTGATTGCAATTTTATAATAAAAACTTATTTTTATTAATTAAATAATATTTCATATGTAGTTATTTTTCAGGAAATTATATTATGTAATATGTTTTCAAAGATTAGATAAGTATATAAATATTTTACTTATTTGACAATTTTAATAATAATATTGATTTGTAAAATCTTAGTAAATATCAATAAATAATTTTTTTTTGTGAAATATTATTTTGTAATAAAATTTATATGAATGGATATATTTATATTACAGTATATTAAGTGCATTTTGTACTGTTTGAATAAATTAATAAGAAATTGATTAAATATATATATATATGTTTTTCATTTAAATATTGAAATAACATTTCCATGTAAAAGCTTTTAGAAAAAAATTATATAAACAAATAGTAATAAACATCAATTAGAAAAAATCAAAATTATCATAAAATTGTTTGCAACCAAAAATTAGTGTTTGATTTATTAGAAAAATAAAATTATCAAATAAAGAGTGGTTTAATAATAGTATAAATAACTATTAGTTGTAAAATTAAATTTTTGAAATTAATTTATTTGAATGATTAGCTGTTGCTCTAAATTGTTTGCTTAAAATGTCAATTTCCTGTTATATTTAAATTGATTGCAATTTATTATTAAACTAAATATGACAACTAATATAATGATACCGTATTATGCATGCATAGCATGAAACCACTGTATTATTACTGTATATTAGAAACGTTAGAATATATATTTAAATTTTAATATGAATAAATGCTAAGTTAAATTAATTGTATCTTAAATCGTAAAATAAAGTTTCTATACGACAACATTACTGTTAAATAATTGTATTAAAATTTAATTAAACATATAAATATAAATTAGTTCATAATTTGTATTTATTTAAAAAATAATTAATAATTAAGCTTATATTATAGATAGAAAAATCTTATTATTATTGTCTTTAATATATAAAATTTACAAAAATTAATTACAAATGAACATATATTTAAACACAAATATACAATAGTGTGTAAAAGTATATTTTGTTATATAAAATAATAAAACCAACACTATTAATTTTTTTATAATTTTTATTTATTTTAACAAATTCATACAAAAACCTCCAAAAATATAAGATAAGAAAAACTCTTTATTATTCTATACACAAAAAAATATTATATTTATTTACATTTTTTTTAAATATAAAATTTATTTAGTAATTGTGAAAAAATCATGTGATAAAACTATAGATTGCTTTTATTTAATTGGTTGATTTCCAAATAAAAAAAAACTGTTGGCTTTGGTTTAGCCACAAAAAGGTAATCTCATTAATACTTTAGTGAACAAAACTGTCGATTGCATAGTAAAATGTCATAAAATTTTCCTTATATTAGATGTGATTTGATTTCTAAAATTAAGAAATATATATAGATTTATATGTTTATACATATGTATATATACTGTATTTATATATTGTATTAAGCAGTTTAACACTTTGAATATAACAGTGGAAAGGGAACAGAATTGATATTAGTTTAGGAAATGCAATACATTTTGATGACAATAATAATAATATTAAATAAGAGCCGTCTTTTTAATGATTAGTTTATATAAATTGGTAATTGAATCCAATCGTCGCGAGTGAAGGACATCTATCTGTTCTCTGCGTTACAGAGTATGACTACTGAGTGAGATATACATTATATAGAGGACTGTTAGGCATTACATGGCATTGCATACAACGATTATATCACACATATATTATGATATAACATGTGGTAGCACTCGATCTTCAACCAGTGATTATACAGTGAATGTTGTAAAAACCATAGCATTCAACACATTGAATACATACATCACATCACATATACATCAATCAATTTGTTGGCATTAATTAACTGATATTTCTGTAGTCAGTGTTGTTGTTGTGTGTGTGGGAACTATCCTTTCAGTGCATCGGTATAGCACTGGTTAGTGCATCTGTATCTCTGTGGTAGCTATGGCTCAGCATTTAGAAGCCAATAACACTCATAACTCATCCAAAGTGACCACAAATTCATTTATTAGTGAATCAAATGCCAAGAATATTAGTGATAACAAACCGGTTATCAAATACCGGGAACGGGAACAATGGGGCAATAAGTTTGAGTTCATACTGGCCCTCATGGCCTATGCCATCGGTTTAGGCAATGTTTGGCGATTTCCATACCTGTGCTATAAAAACGGTGGAGGTTTGTATTCATACGATTCTCTATAGAAATATTATATTTATTACAGTATGYCTTAATAATATTGATTGCATTTGTATGACATCAATATAAATGTGACCCTATTTTACGGATATAATCTATTTTAAGAAACTTAATATTATTTTGATAAACAAATAGCATTTTGTGCGCTATTTTTTAAAGTAATCGTTAATTTTTTTTATTGTTTACTGTTTAACAGATTATTATAATTACTTAGATTTATTCAATTATTTATTTAACTATATTTATGTGAAAAAATATTATATTATTGAATTACTCATTAATCTAATTTATAATTAATATTGAAATAACAATTAATATAAAAATTATTTAATTTTGAATATAAAGAATTTTTTATTGATTTATTGATAACAACTTAGTTTTTCTTATTTTTAAAAACTCACTAATATTGATATAAAATATTTATTTTTTATTTTCAATATATTAATAAAATAATAATTATCATTATAATTATTAAAGCAAATTCATGTAAATTTTTAATGTAAGTTAAAAAAAATGAAATAATTTAATTAAACACAAATATTTTTAATGCTCAATAAAATTATTTAGTTTATTTAAATAATATGATATTAAACAAATATCATTATTCTATATAATAAACTATACTCTAGTTAATAAAAATTATAATCCAATATTATTATTATATATTGTACTGTATTTACTCTTTGCTTAGCAAACAAATAGACAGTATTTTAGTATTGTTATTAACAATTTGTTATTAAAAGAGTTCAATAAAATAATGAAATAAAGACATATGATATTAATAGCAATATTATTATCACAAAAAAATATTACAGTTGATGGCAAATATTTAAAGTAATCTATTGATATAAAAAACGACTGTTTAAATGAAACAGTTAATATTATTTTGATTAATTTTAACTGTTTTTAATAGAGGAAATACTATACATTTATAATGTACTGTATAAATAAAATCTATGTTTGACATGAAATAAGGCATTAATTTATTTGTTAGTTTTTTATATATAAATWTATATATATATAATATACAGTATATCTTTGAAAACTACAAACATTAGATTTATTTATGATATTTATTATAGAGCTTTGTATTAGATTTATTGATTATTTTATATAAAAAATTGTTTAAGTTTTTTTTCAATTGATGTTTTACTAATTATTTACAAAATTATTATTTAAGGTATTCTGAAAAAATAATATTACAATAATAAGAATCTTCTGAATTAATTAAATAATATATTTATTTATTATTTATTTATAAAATTTTCTATTACCTACCAATGGTAGGCTACCATAAACTTTGACATTTAAAATAAAACAATTTTGTTTAAAAACATACCAGCAGTCAAATATTATTTATCTAATTAAACAAACAGATAATATATTTATATAACTTTAAAATTTTAATAAATTATAATTTATAATAATCTTTATATATTATAAAATATAATACCTTTACATTGGGTTTAATCGTCTTAAATATTCAAGAAATATCTTAAAATAGATTGTTGTTTAGATTTTATGTCTTATTTTTTTGACAATTTGCACACAATTTATACAGTATTATTAGATTGACTGTAATCTTATCATTAAAAATTATAATTAAAAACATTGTAATTGGTAAATGACAGCGTTTAAATCATCATCAATAATAATCATTAAAAAATCATAAATTATTAATAAACAAATTTCTCGTTAATTTCGATTTAATGATTAAACCTTTAAATCTTTATGTTTTATTAAAATACAGTATTACCTAAATGTTATAAACATTTTATTTTTATCGATTTATGAATTTGTTTTTCATAACCTTTATTATAAACACACACACATTAGAGATATAAATATAAAAAACTGTCAAAAGTTTATACTGTATTATATAATTAAAATAATAATACAGTACCTGTACGTGTTTTTTATAATAGTTTAAAAAGCAAAGAAATTTGTTTACAATATTAAATTATCATTTTTCTATATCAATATTATTGTATAGTAATATCTGGGAAAAAAATATTTGATTACATATACCTTGAACTTGATTAAAATCTCGTACATTCAATCGATAAAAGCGTATAAATATTATATGGAAACCGAGGTTTTAGTACCACGAAAAAGGCATTATATTTATACTGTAGTAAAGTATAGTATATTATATTATTATATACAGTATAATCAAAAATCAATGTTCAATGCATTTGACCCATTTTCATAGAGACTTATTGTTGATATAATCATTTAATATTAGAAAATACATCAATTAGCAGTTTGTTTAGATATTTACAGTATTTTGAAGTATATATAATAATAATAATAATAATAATTATATACAAATAATGCATTCAATTTTACATGTGTTTGTTAAATTCACGTGTGGTTGCCATATGTGACCACTATTTCTATATAAAAGATTAAATTTTTAAGTAGATATTAATAATTAATAATATTATTTTGATTAAATAGATATCAATACCTATGAGAGATGAATAAAAAATAGTTTACAAAATGATTTTATTGTATATAAAAGTATATAATATATTTGTATGTGACTATCTATTTAGCATATTAATGTGATATTTATCAATTAAATAATATTTATATCTTAGATCAAATTTGATTGAAATTTAATTAACATTGAGTTAATATTTTTTCACAATTTTTTTTTATCTCAAAGAATAATCGTAAAAATTTATCAACTTTAAAATGTCAATAAAAAATTATTGAAAATAATTATAAAAAATAATTAATAGCAATATGATAAAATTTTGGATAAACATAATAAATGTAAATGTAATAAATATAAAGTATTAAATACATCTAAATATAATTATAATTATTTACAAATAACATGTTCATGTAATTGTAGTGTCTATACATCTACATTAATGTAATAGTAAAATGATTATTATATTGTATAATAAAAATACGGAGAATTAGATTTATTTATAATAAAAGCATTGTTTTATCATCAATCTATCTTTTATGCTATTTTAGTACAATTTTTTAGCAATACTGCAAACAGTATTTTTTCAATGATAATAAAAAATATTTTATACTGTATTTTATGAAATACTAAATTCAAATCTAATGAGATTCTTTACATCATTGTAAATGTATAAATAGATTTGCATACCAAAGTAAATCAAACTAAAATAAAAGATATAATAATTTGAAAAGTTTTTATTAAAATATATAAAAATAATATACCTTTATATACTTTTGTATTTATTTCAAATTGAATTGTATTTAGTATTATGATATTATTATATACAATAATAACAAAATATAATAATTTTATTCAATAACTGATACATTCAACATTTAAATGTAAAACATATTAAAAGATGACTTTTTTTTTAAAATTATTTTTATGTTATTAAAAACATATAAATTTTTAGTAAATCATCTAAAATAGTCYAAAAAAATATAAGTTAAATATAACTATTTATAGTTTTTATTTTATCTAAATGTCAACCTAAATGTCAAACCAAAAAAAATTAATTTTTAAAATTAACATAATTTCTATAATACTTAATATTATTAATGATAAAAATTAAATTTGTCAAATTTTAGGTGCATTTTTTGTGCCATATTTTATATTCCTATTTTGTGGAGGCATTCCCATATTGTTTCTGGAGGTAGCAATTGGTCAATATTTTCGTAATGGTGGTATATCTGTCTGGCAATTGATTTGTCCCTTTTTTAAAGGGATCGGCATCGGGACATTGATGGTCAACTTTATACTCAACGTATACTATATAATTATCATCAGTTGGGCACTGCTGTATCTGTACTACTCGTTTGCGTGGGTACTTCCGTGGTCTACGTGTGACAATGCCTGGAATACGGCCCGATGTTGGTCAGCCAAAAGTAACCGAACCGCCGATGAAAATTCAGTTAATTCTGTTATTGAATTTTGGGAAAGAAAAATACTACAGGTTTTTATTTTATTAAAAATAAAAACATTTACATTATTATAAAATTATTAACAAAATACAGTAATTAAATTCAAGACTAAAGCATATACTATAAATAAATTATGAAAATTGCAGTTTTCTCAGACTATTAATAATAATTTATAATAATATCACATTACTTAAAAAATATTAAAGTTTAACTCTGTTTTTAATTAAACAATATTTTTTTAAGAAAAAGAGATTTATTTATATTATTAATGTTTAACTTATATGAAGATAAGCGATGGTGTCGACCATCCGGATGGTGTGCAGCCCGAGTTGGCCATCACTTTGGCCATCGCTTGGATTCTCTGTTTTTTCTGCATCTGGAGAGGCATCAAATCAACCGGAAAAGCTGTGTACGTGACGGCCATATTTCCCTATTTTGTTATGACTGCACTGTTTATCCGTGGCATAACACTTCCCGGTGCCAGTGAAGGTATCAAATTTTATTTGCTGCCCGACATGAGCCGTCTGAGTGACCCACAGGTGTGGATGGATGCGGGAACTCAGATATTCTTCTCGTATGCAATTGCTTTGGGATGTATGACAGCACTCGGCAGTTATAATAAGTTTAATAATAATTTTTATCAGTAAGTTATTAATGAAATTATTTATTTATTAAAATTATTAGTTAAAGATAATTTATTTTTCTTATATTAAACTATTTTATAGTCAATTATTTTTCTTGACGGCTATGAACTCTGGGACATCATTTTATGCAGGTTTTGCCATATTCTCTGTACTGGGATTTATGGCCCACGAACAGGGACTCAGTGTTAGTGAAGTGGCCGAATCGGGTCCGGGATTGGCGTTCATAGCCTATCCTAGAGCTGTGGCCCAAATGCCCGGATCTACTATATGGGCCGTTATGTTCTTTGTAATGGTTTTGCTGTTAGGTATGGGCAGTCAGTTTGTCGGTGTCGAAGGATTTATTACAGCTGTTGTGGACGTATTTCCCGGTTATTTACGTGTCGGAAGACGACGGGAATGGTTTATATTGGCCACATGTATTGTCTCATATTTGATTGGACTGTTAATGGTTACCAGAGTCAGTAATATTTAAATTTTAAATATAAATCTAATACTTATAACTAATAGTTTTTATTATTATTATTATTATGTCATATGGATAGGGAGGTATGTATGTTTTCCAATTGTTCGACTACTACGGTGCGTCGGGAATGGTATTGTTGTGGTTCTGTTTCTTCGAGGCCGTTGTTGTCGGTTGGATATATGGTATGACTCGCACCCACTAAAAAAAGACTACTAAAAAAAGTCATATTTTTTTACAAATTTGTTCCTTTTTTTAGGTGCCGATCGGTTATATAAAAATATCGAGGAAATGATTGGCTTCCGTATGTTTATATGGTTCAAACTGTGCTGGAAGTATTTCACACCGTTACTAACAGCCGGCACTTTTCTATTTTATGCCACCACTTACAAGCCTACTAAGTAGGGGACAAATAAACTTTATAATAAATATCTATTAAAATTAATTTTATTAATTACTGTTATCAATAATTGCAGGTATAATAACGTATATGAATATCCATTGTGGGCCTCAATGTGTGGCTGGAGTCTAGCCATTGTTTCGATGGTAATGTTACCCCTTTATTGCATCTATATTTGGTGGACCACACCATATACATCAAATGTATGCCAAACTAATCATTATTATGTCATCAAATATTGATATTAACCATTGATTTGTTTGTTTTTTTTCTCTTAAATTATTACAGAAATTACAAAACCTATTCACACCAACTGAAAGTCCATATTATGATAAAGAGATCAATCAAACTGAACACAGAATAGCGGAAAATTCGTTATAAAATAAAATATATATTTTATATATAAATTAATGTTAATTATATGTCAATCATTACAACTAAACTGCAATCGACATTATTGTACATTTTGTAATTGACTCCTAACACATATACATACATTTATAATAATGTTATCCCTATTTTTTCATATAATTATATGAATTTAATGTTTTTTATATTTGTAATTTTATGCTCACACTATAAAATTATTATAATTATTATTTTGAGAAATAAAATTATTTTATATTGTAATTAACGTTATTTAGTTTAGAAATAGAGTGATATTTTTTCACAATTTATATATTTTTATCCAATTATTTTACAATTCAAAAAATGATTGACTGATTAACTGAAATAAATTTTGCATGGTCATTTTCTTTTTTAAAAAATAATATCATACGAATAGGAAAATTATTACTTTATTTTAATAAAAATTTTACTTTATAATTAACTTTGAAATTAAACATCAAAGTTATTATAAATATTAACTTCAAGTTTGTCATAATATTGAGTAACTATTCATAATAATTTTTTTATTTAGTTATTTAATAGTATTATTATTACAAAATATCATTTATTCATTTATATGCAAATCAATTATATTGTATTATACAAGAAAAAACAATTAACTAAAAAAATTAAAATTAAACTTCTTATGAATTGATTGTTTTTTAAAATATTCACATAATTAATACATTGGAAATTGACAATAAAAACTAATTTTAAATATTCAATAATTTACAAATACATCATATTTCAATGTATTTGAAATATTAATAAGTTTTAAAATAATTTATTCAATGACTTTCACATAAAAATTGTTGTTTTTGTTTGCTTATAGTTAGACTTAGATATTGAAATAATTTATTGTAGCCAATTAAAAATTATTTACGGTAATTATATATTACAAACTATTTGAAAATTTGTATATATTTTTATATATATAAAAAAAATCACACATACTTTTTCATCTAAAAATAATTATGTAGTGATTGAGCAAAATATTTTGAGTCATCCTTTAACAAGTCTATATTATTATTATTAAATTAAATTTATCATAATTATTATTATTATTGAAAAATATATAATTAATATTATTTTATTTAACAATTATTATAAAACTAAAATCAAACAAAAATTGATGTGAAATCAAATCACATTCATTAACCAAAAATAATTTTTCAATATTACTGTGACTTTACAGTTGGTTTACAATTATTATTATTATTAAACGTCTCTAACGTTGCACTTGATATCGACATCTTTAGGAACTGTGGACTCTCTTTACTATAGCTTTTCCATTGATCATCCGTTTCCGATAAATCACTAAATTTTATTTTTTAAAAAATAATAATAACGATAATGAATATCTTTTTTTTCTAAAAATATAAATATTATTAATATATTCAAATAATAAGTATTTTTGTTATTTGTTGTTATCTTTAGTAAAAATCTTTATTTTTAGCAATAATTGCAATCATATTTTATATATAATCAAAATTTTTGTGGTCACCAACTATAAGTAGGGCACCGCATAAATTAATTTCTTATTTTACAACAACTAATATCTCCAGTATAATATATGTTGTGTGTATTGCTATTACAAATAGCAATTTTTGCAATTATTTTATCTATAAAAACTATGTTTAAAACAAACAATTTAAGCCCCGGGTGTCTAAAAATCAAATCAAATTAACTTAATTGGAGCGCCGGCTAATCCAATTCAATAATAACTATAATAATATTTATAATAATAAATAACAATAAAATATAAATTACTAATCTTAATAAATCAAAATTTGATCGATAATTATATTGAGTTTTTATAAAAAATAATAATAAATATTTTTGCTAATTATTATTGTTTTTTTGTGCTGTAGTAAAGTGTTTGTAAAACAAGTGATTTTTTCCTTAAAAAATAGTAAACCACTTATTTAAAAGAGTTAAATAATAATGATTAATAAAAAATTAATGACAAACATTGAAGATAACAAATTTGAATAAATAAATCTTCAATTAAGCAAATAAAATCAATAATCACAGAAACAATATTAATAAATCAATTCAATAACAAATAAAATAAAATAAAATAAAAACACAAAAATATTTCAATACAAACCCATTTGTGGCAAATTGGGCCCAATTTTTCATAACTCTTTTGCTGTATCTGATCTCATCCGAGTCGTACAGATTCTTATGTCTGATTGGATATCCCAATGCAAAGACAATCTCGTCGTGATGGGAGGAAAACTCGTTTAACTCATAGATATATACGGTTCGGTTACTGTCGACCAACTGGTCAGCAAAYCTCAACATTGGACACAACACTCGAGACGACATTTCGTCGGTTTCTCTTTTTCTTCGCCTTCGCTTTTCTTCAGTTTCATCACCTGACTCTTCATCTCCACCCTCGGGCTCTGTCTCTGCTTCTTCACCCGACCCTTCCTTCTCTTCTTTTTCTGTCTCGTCTTTTTCTTCTTTTTCTTCTTTATCTTCTTTTACTTCTACTTCTTCCTTTTCTGTAGTTTTTTCCAAAGTTGAGCTCTCAGTGGAAGATGAAAGTGGTTTTTCTGTAGTCGTTGTTGGCTCTGATGTAGTTGTGGTACTCATGGGTGTAGTAGAAGTAGTTGTTGTTGTCGTCGTAGGAGAAGCAGTTGTTGTTGTAGTCGTCGTAGGAGAAGTAGTTGTAGGGGTAGTGGTAGTTATAGGAGCAGCTGTTGTAGTGGTGGTGGTTGTTGTGGATGTTGTGGTACTTGTTGTTGTTGTTGACGGAATTGGTGTTTCATTTGTTGTACTCGAAGTCGCCGTCGATGTAATTGTTAATATGGGTTTAGATGTTGGTCTTTCAACTGGAACTGATTCTTCTTTTTCAACTTCACTGTTTCCATCACTTTCTGAATCACTTTCCTCTCCTTCTTCTTCATCTGATGTTTTCTCTTCAGTTTCATCTTCTTTATCATTAGCCTTTGCTTTTCTTTCACTTTTATTATCACTACTATCTTCTCCATTGCCATCGTTGGCAGCTTCCTCTGCATTTCTCAAAGTAGTCAAAAACAAAGAGTCATCTTCAGAATTGATTCCAAAAATAAAATCTATTTGAAAATCAAACGCTTCTTTAGTATCCATCGGATATGTGGCCACAAAATCTGATGGTATTAGTGGTCCAAAAGCCACGGGATTGTCTTCGAGTATCTCCTGTTGTATCTCAAGAAGTCGGTCGATATTAATTGTTTTGATACACTCCTTAAGTTTGGGCGCATCGGCGCAATCAATCTCTTCGGCAAACTTCTTGGAAAACTTCAATGTTTGCGAATATAGTTCTCTGTTAAACAGTAAACCAAATCCCTGAAGAATAGTTCGCTGAAACAAGAATTTGCTCTCTGATGTCATCATATGAAGACCGGCTGAGACGGCGCCTAAAAATTATATAAAATATAACCATTTGTTTATAAGGAATGTCCGATACATATGACTTATTATTTTTTAAAACTACCGGATCCGTGACCAACAACAGTAATCAGGTCCTGATCGCCGCCAAATTTGTTAATATTTGTATGAATCCATTTGAGTGCTTCTCTCTGATCATATAAACCCATATTTCCTTTCGGTTCCTTTCCATCAATAGCCATAAACCCGAATATACCCAATCGGTACTGAATGGTCACCACAACGACATCTTGTTGTGCGGCTAACGCCACACCATCTAACTCCTCGGTGGCCACACCTCCGTACGCAAAAGCGCCGCCGTGTATATAGACAATGACCGGCAGAAACTGTTCCTCCTGTTTGGGCGCCCATATGTTCAGATACAGACAGTCCTCACTGGCCGTGGCATTCAAAAAACGAAAGGCCGATAAAACCAGTGGTGAATCAGTCTGTCATGTGTTTGAAACCAAAAAAAAAGATATTTATGAAATTAATTTTAAAAATATATAAAAACAATAATTGTTTTTTGAATAATGTATGAGATATATGATATAATATTTTTTAATTAATTATTATTATTATTATTCAATTATTCATTCAGTCATTCATTCAATTGTAGGTTTTACTTAAAAAACCACTAAATGCTTATCAATCAAAATCTATAGGCTATTTTATATTTTGTTTTATTTTAGACACCAATATGACCTTGATAAAAATCAAATAGTAAGTTTATTTTTTTAAAAAACATAATATTATTATACAAGCAATTTTTTATCAATTATCATAACTATCTAAATGTCTATTAAATTAACCAGCAATAAGCAAATAATGATTTTTCAATTACTTTATTAGTTTTCCCTTGAATATAATGATATCCAAGCAATAAACAAATTAATATACTGTAAATGTTTGGTATAAGTAATATATATATATTTATAAACTTTTACATAGTTACATTACAATAGTAATTGAATAAATTATTTTTTTTATATAAATATAATATATACTATTAATAAATTATAATAAAAAAATTTTTTTATAACTTAAGGACTCATAAACGGACTTCAACTTGAAAATTATTTTCACTACTATTAACAATAATATTTTTTATTTGTTTTTTTCAATTTATTAATTCGATAATAACTATGTACTATACATTGTATGTAATGATAGAGAACATTATATAATGTATATATATATTATTAATTTAATATTAAGAAATATAGTAATCGTATTTACATTACGATACTAATGTAATAAATAGAAAACAACAATAAAAAAAATATTTAAAGTAATGGGAAATCCAAAGTCCACAAAATTGCTCCAAAAAAAACTGATAGCCAAAGACTTTTGAACTCAAAAAATAGTCTAAGATTTATATATATAGCGTATAGTCATGTAATCAGTATTTTCAATGAATAATAATAATAATACTATTTTTCCTGTTTTGCTTAAACCTGACATTTAGTGATTTTGTGTCTATGAGAGTGAATGAATCGCTTCAATTGCATAATCAATGATCAGGTATATACTAAGTGTATATTATGTATATATTATTGATAGGGACTGTCACTCAATGAACCCGATATCTATGCTAACACTCCCATCAAAGTATAAGTTTCTATTTCTGTATATATATTTTATATGATATATAAATATATACTGTATTAAAAAAATATATTTCAATGATAATCATTTCAGCTATCGATGCAAACAACCCATCATTTGAATCGATTATAGACAAAGACTAATCTCAAAATACTTTATAATACTGTAATAAAAGTATTATTATTATTATTATTTATAACTATTTTTAATATATAATAAACAAGACATTAAATATTATGCTGATTTTTGATAATATTTATTTTAAAGATTTTTTAAAAACATTAACTCTATAATTGATGACAATATTATTTTAAATAATACTAATATTTTTCTATTTCAACATCAAATTAATAACAATAACTAACAAAAAAAATGTAAATAAATGACAAAATAGATTTAAATGTAAGATAACAAAAAAATGTTTTTATGTAACATTATTATTTTTTATTATTTAATATACTTATTACAAAATGCTATTGTATTAAAATAATGACAAACATAATAACAATACAATTTTCATTTGCAGTAATATTAACATTAGATAAGCACTTAACATGAAACAAGTTTTTGCTTGTTTATCATAATTTTACTTACTTTCTAAATAAATAATAAACAAATATAATTATTATTAATACAATAATAATACTATAACCTAAACCTAAAATTATATATATAAGCAATCACTTAAGTTAAATGTTAATGACTAGAAAACAATTAAATATAATAATTTTGTTTTTCAAATCAATTATTTGTTATTTTCGCAAAAATCAATTACTTGTCTGTTTATGTGATTGTGTTTTGTGATTATTATATTTATTAAGGAAAAATAGTAGAGTTTAATATATGATATATACACACAAATAAAATATTAGTTTATATCTAAACACACATATATTAATTTGCAAATAATAATTAATTTTTCTCTTTTAAACACTTAACTAAATAGACTGCATTTTTTGGTATAATTAAGTTAGTCGATAGTAATTATAATTAAATTATTCCATATATTATTAGTATTAAATGTTTGAAAATTTATCATATAATGGTTCTGCACTATTAAGTACTTTCAAGTTAAGGATATATAGTATATGATTGTATTTTTGATAAAAATTAATTCAATAAAAAAATATTTTGTTTAATTTTTTTAATGATATTCTTCTTTCATTAATATGATTATTAATATATTTATATATAAAGTTATATAAATATATATAAATTATACTTAAAAATCTTTCTCTCTTTAACTCTTTAAACACTTCAAGGCTTATTACTCTATGATAGCATTGATTTTATGTTTATTTTTATTATTAATTTATAAAATTATAAAATTATAAATATTAATTATATGATACTACATGTATTGTATTCATTATTTTTCTTAATTTATAGCTGAAAATAAACGTTAAAATAATAAATTATATAAAAATTAAAAGTTTATTTTAGCGAAATTTTTTTGGCAACAATTAAAATGATGACACTATAGTTTAATTAGAAATCATTAACTTATTTAAATGAAAAAATAAATGACTAAATATTTCTATAAAAAAAATTGTGGCAAAAATTCAAAGGAAACCATACATAGACTAAATTTTTAAAAAAATTAATTTTTACAAATAACTTGTTGTTGTTATTGAGTTTAATTTAATAATAAATATTTATATATATAGTTATATACAGTTTATTGATAATTGTCTACACTATACACACATATAATTTTCTAACCTATTTCTCGAGGCTCTATCGGAAACCCATACAAACATAGAGTACATAAACAACTTCACGACTTAAGGTATATTAAATAGTATTTGCTTTTATTTATATTGTTGTTTTGAAACCACTTTATTATTATTAGGTATTAGTATTTTTTTAAATTTTATTACTATTAAGTATAGTTCAGTTTATTATACTATAAATATATTTCCAATTAGAAGCCAACAGAAAATTTATTTTTTAAATATTAAAATCTTAGAAAATATATTGTTTTAATAGAAAATAATTAGAAATAAAAAATACTTATAAATATTTAAGTATTTATATATATTTAAATTAAGAAAAAAAACTATTTTTATACTATATTTATAAATACTTTATTAGATGTTATTTTTGGAAAACACCTAATAATATAATTCCTAAAAATTCTTTAAATGCTAATAAAAAATATACCTATTTTTGTAAAATATTATGACAAACAATTTGATTGCATTTTAAATGAAATATATAAATTTTGATAATTGGTATTTATTTCTAAAAATATTTATTTTAAATCATTTTTGAATTTTCTATAAAAGTGTCAATTAATATTTAGTGAATAAATTATGTTCTCGTAATATATATTTATTTATATAAATTTAGTTTATATTTCTATTTTGTATAGAAATACAAAGATTTAAAAAATATAATAATTTCAATAATTTATTATTCAATCGTAAAACATTTTTATTTGTAAAAAAAGGTAATAATTTAAAGTATTTTTTGAGAAAATTGACGCCGACTTTGATTGAAAAAAATCATAATTTTTAAACATTTGGTTGAGTTTCAAGTTTTTCTTTCAACAGTCTAAATCAATGGCTTATTTTCCTTTAATAAATAAATAAATATATTTATTTATATATAAGTGCATATATGTCGTATATATAAATATATAGTGTATATATTGGGTGAAAAATTTAAATATTTTTTTATAGTTTTAAACCGTCACTCCCAATATATATAATATAGATATTATATTTTTGAAACTTTGTAATAATTTTGAAATTTATTTTTTACATATTTTTGTCTCTGTATGTAACAGTTTCAGTGATTCAAAGATATGTTAATCTAATTTACGATATAATAAATGTATTTTTAAATAAATAACATTATCTTTTTGAGTAACTGCTTAAATAACTTGTTTAAATGATGATGATATCATATTAAAATAAACTTAAACTATATGGTTACTTAATAACGATATATTAAAAATACAAAACACATTTCATACAAAAATTTTATGATAACTGTTTGGTTAAATCGTGTTAACCATCAAATAACATGTGATCTTTTTAACGTGAATTGAAATAATTTAATTATATATTATATAAATATAAATTGCTATTCATTTTATAATATTCAATGGTAATACTTTTTCACACAATTTTTTAAAAATTATCTGAAAAAGACATACATATAAAGTAATATATTTATTACATAACATATATAATTGTCAACAATAAGTTTTTATTGTATTACTAGACATAAAAATATATTCACAAAAAAAATTTTAAGCACATTATCATATAACAAAACTCTAGAAATCATTAAAATTAATGTCCATGACTTTAATCAAACATAACAAAAAAATAGTTTAATTGTTATTATTTTGTCCAATTTTAATCCATATTTACGATCTATTATTTATAAATTAATATTTTATAGAAAAAACTATTTTTTTTGTTCAAATGACAAACTTTTATATAAATTATATACAGTATTATATCGCAATAAATTACTTAATGTATATTTAATATTTAATTTTTGAAGTTGAACTTTATAAATATTTCATTGCTTAGAGAAAGAGTGAGTGAGTGAGTGAGTGAGTGAGTGAGTGAGTGAGTGAGTGAGAGAGAGAGAGAGGAAGAGAGAGAGAGAGAGAGAGAGAAAGAGAGAGAAAAAACAAGTGAGAGGAGAGAGAGAGAGCACCTACAGTAGTGCTTAGTCTAGATTTCATAATTTTTAAAATAATCCAAATCTTTCCTCATTTCCTCGTTTTTCAATAGTTTTTCAAAAATACATTTCATTTTTAATTGAGTCCGAAGTGAAACCACAAAATTACTTATCAATTTCATCATAAGTTTCAACATATAAACTGCTATTAAAACTATATAATTATCGCACATTTAGTTTTAACTCTTTTTTTAAAAGATAAATATATGACATAATCTCAAATTATTAAGTGATTAAAACACTTAAATTTGTCGGCAATTACCTGAAGACAAGAGGCCGGGTGTTGAAGTGCATCGCGAGTTTCATCCCATTTGCCAATTGGTTGTGTCCTCTCAAATCTCAGGGCACCGATGGGTGGTTTACCGTACGGAATGGCCAGAAACGTGTTGACACTTTTGTTATTAAACACTAATTTTTGGCCTCTAATAGCTCCCGACTCGGTCTCAATCGTCACATACTCTTTCGGTCCCTCTTTTACCGCAATTTTGGCTTCACTTCTATGAGCTGCGGGCCCACCGCCTGACCTGTTGACGACACCGTCGGTAATATTTTGATCACTTTTATCATTATTAAAACTATTGAACGCCAGACTCACGATAACCAATAATATCACTAAAACACCGGCAATATAGTAGTATTTACGCTTCGCTTGATTTTTAGTCTTAAATGTTGTCATTGTCTTTGTTTAAATGATATGATTTTGTTTAGGTTTATGACAACAATTGCTCAACAAATTTGGCGAAACACCTCAACAATTATATGAACATTAAAAAGTTTTGACACAATAATTAAGCAAAAAATAGCACACTTTCTCTCCAAAAACAAAAATATAAAGTCATATAAAACTTGGTTTTTAAAGAAAGTTATAAAAAATGATAAAAATATTAGAAAAATTTATTTATATTTCATTAGAAATTAAATAATTGATTATTTTTTACAAATAAAATATAACTTTTTAATACATAAAAACAATAAATAACAATAAGACAATGTGAATAACTTTTAGATGATTTTTTTAAATATAAAAACACTACAATATTACTTGTATAGCGTGTATTGTATATGTGTTGTTGTTTTATATATAAGCACAAACTTAATGACTGCTTTCACCGATTTTTAAGATTAAAGTACTACTTATTGAATGACAAAAAACGTGAATCAAAGCTCCGGTAAGTTTTTTTTCTAGGGAGAGGGAGATTGACTAACGAGATAGAGATTTAGGAGAAAGTTTTTTAGGGGAAAGTGTTTCGAGTTTATCGAAAGCAGGGTTTGCCTTAAGACATAGTTGTTTGTAAGCACAGGGAGTATTTAGGCATCTCATTCACCATTTGCTACAAACTGGAACTCCTATTTTATTCCGATGCTGTGAAAAGGCAATTCAAGGGCAGTCCCGGCTCTCTCTCTCTCTCTCTCTCTCTCTCTTCTGGTATCTTATAATATGTTGAGTCCAGTGAGAGTCTAGTTATTGCTTAATCTTAATTGCAATTATAATTTTATACATAATTTGATTTTTATTTTCTCTATAAAAATTCAAAAGAAAATTACTAATCATATAATTTAAAACCAAACTGAAAACAGTCAGTCAGTTAGTCAGTCCAAACCCATTTGGGATATTAATAATAATAATAATTTTACTGTATTTTCATATTTGGCAACAATAATATGCTAATAATTATAATCATAAAAATACATCTCATAAGACACTGGGTATATAAATCGTGACAAAAATTATAAATTGTTTTTTTTCACTAAACATATAAGTTATCATTAAGTTTATTACCAACACTGGAAATTGATGATAGGTAATTGATCATGTATCAAAAAAATTAATTTTATGTTTTGACTAATAAAAATATATTATATGGTTATGTCTTTTAAAACAAAAACATAATGATTTTACACTAATTTGTTAAAATAAAAGTTATTACCCCTTTTTAAAATATAATAACAATAATACTGTAATAACATATAAAATAATAATAGTATATAAAATTAACATTTAAATGTCAAAGAATTGTAGAAATAATAAAAACAAAATATCAATATACTTGTATATAACAAAAAATTATTTTATTTTGTTTACAATTTATTTTAAAAGTGTATACTATAAGTATATACAGTATATAAATTTATATATCTGTGTGTGTGTGTGTTATTTGTAATTAAACTTTATATTTAATTAAATTTATCAAATATTTTTCTAGTCATTAAACTTTTGTTCCGATTTATTACTGTTAACTATAGTTATGTCCACATATTTTTGCAATTCAGTGTTCATTTAGCTATAGTCAGGTTAGTTATCCGAAATATTTTTTTTTAATTTTCATTAGAGATTGAAAGTCAAGTGCCCTTTCATAGGACTCCTTAGGGGCAGCAAAAAAATACGGGATAGCCTTCGGGTCAGACAACTGAGTCATTACTTTAAGTTTATTATTATTATTATTAAATAAATTTTTTTAATGAAACAACCGCTAAATCAGTACTTGAATGCAAAACATAACAACATTAATGGTTTCAAATGTTTTTTGAGCCCACTTTAGGCTTATTTTTTTAAATATATATACAGTATTTTAATGTGTGCATTGATTTTTATTGGCAATAAATTTTATTTTATTTATATAATACATTAAACTCTAACTTAATTTAATATGATAATCTATACATTATTGGGAGATTATTTTATTTTCTTAATATTAAAAAAATAAATAGTTTTTTTTGCTTCATTGAGAGATAAAATACACTAAACAATGAGATTGTCTATCATTTATCAAACCATATAAGTCGCACCTAATAGTATTACTGTATATTAAATACAATATTTATATATTAATATATATATTGTAGTCTACTATAAAGTACTATATTATATATATGATATATAAGTTTGGGAGTAGTGAAGTAAACAAAAAAAAGTGTGAAAAAATATTTTCTAATAATTGTTTTTGAAAAAAGACTAACTTAATTGAATTTATTATTTTTGTATTTTATATTATAATAAATACTAAATAAAAAATCAGGAAATATTATAACAAACAATAATGTATTACAAATTTTTAAAACACATACACATAACAAAACTAATTTTGTTTTTCCAATTGATTTTTAAAAATTAATTGTTAACTATATAACATATGCCCACTACTTAAACATTTTTTAGAAAAAATTATCAATAAATAAATTTAATAAATGTTTTGTTCATTTGTTATGATTTGTGAATTTACAATTATTGAAGTTAAATCATTCAAATAATTTATATTTTATAATTATGACTTGTATTTATGATTTGACTAATGATATAAATATAACAATTTTTTTGTGTAAAAAACTTGAATTCATTGAAGTTATGTTGTTTGTGGCGTGAGTTGAAAAAGGTTTCATAATAATTAGTAAAATTAATGAGTGAAAGCTATAGAAATAAAATATTAAAATAATTTTTCAAAAAACAAGAAAATTATTATTGCTTTTATAAATTATACAAAAAATACATTTCATTAATTAATCCGTAAACCAAACAATATTTATAACCCTTTACTCTCTCTCTCTCTCTCTCTCTCTCTCTCTCTCTTAATGTTAAATTCATATAATATTTCTCTCCCTATAAAACCAGGAAATAAAAATGTTTTTCCAAAACACTTTTATTTTGTAAATCTCTGCTTTTTGATAGTTTTGTTAAATATTTTTTGAATTTGTCTATATTTTGTTGTATTACATAAATATTAAAATCTTTTTACTAATAAATATTCACAACAAATATATTAATATTATTTAAAAAGCCAATAATCTGATAATAAAAACCGCATTATTTAATCTGCTGTAATAATTGACAATAAAATAAATTTACATATAATAGACATCGATTCATAAATTTATTATTATTGTTATCTTTTTTAAAAAAATTATTGTACAATATTTTAACAATATAGAGATTAAGCCGTATATAATTGTGTGCACAAAACGGTACTCATTTAACTGTAAAACAATTGAAATGATTGAACGGAAAAATTTAATAAACTCTAAAGTAGGATGAAGTCAATGGAGGACGTCCAAAGTTTAGTTACAATATTTTATCGTAAATTCATATACCCATAGTTACTGAACATTTGAATGTGTATAAATATAATAATAGTTTATTTGTGTTGCCCCTATCAAACCCAATTATAAGGCGTCCTTTGTGAATTATCCCTTTATTGGATAACTGTCAATTAGTTATAGTCAAATAATTTTTTATTTATTTATAAGCTATTAGTATTCAATACACTGTTAATATATAACATACGTGTAATTATTTAAATGTCATTTTGAAAGTGTTTCAGTTATATTTGTTAAATAAAAAAATAATAAATGATTTGCATAATTTTCAAATTTAAATATTAGTTAATAATTTTAAACTAATAAGGCTATAAAATATTTTTGTTTGTGATTTTTATTTCAATAGATAAAATTTGGAGATTAATGAAATAAGTTTTATTTGATAATACGTATAATTTTTATAATAAATAAAATTTTAATGAAATTTTAAAAATGTCATTTGCAAAACAAAAATTATTATAACATAAAAACAAATTTATAATTCATATAAATTTTTATTATTGAAATACCTTAGTTAAAAACATGTTTATTAAAATTAATAAATATTATAATTAAATAGATACATATTTTTGTTAGTTTTATGAAATTTTACTATAAATTAAATTAAATATAATAATCAAAAATATATTTTAATAAAAACAAATGCTTTTCAAAAATATTATATATATATATATTATAATTTTTAATTTATAATACAATATACTGTATATATATATTACATTGATAAATTAGTTATTTAAAATATAACTTTTATAATATAGTGTGAATGAATATTTACATAATAATAGCAAAATTAATTGAAAAATGCAACTATTGTAATAAAATAATAATAAATTTATTGAAATATATATATAATAAATGTAAAAATACTTTGAAATCAATTATTAACGAATGAATAGCCTGAATGTATTACAAGGTATTAAATCAATTGTTTGAAATTTATATATAATTATTAAATATTAAATAAAATAAATCTCATGAAATTGTAATAAATTATTTTAAATACCTTAAGCCATAAATCCAGAAACAGATCCCTTTATTTATGATGTAATAGCAATGTTTAACATATCAACTAAATTAATAAAATTATTATTATATAATTATGTATACTCTTAAAGCAATTATTATTAATTTTAGTTTTTAATATATTTTTAATATATGCCTTTTAAGCAAATTATATGCCAATCCTTAAGATCCTATAATAAATTTTTAAAATATAATTCACGTGTGTTATAATTAATGAACATTTTTATTAATATTTTTATAACATTTGTCATAATATAATATTTTTACAATAATTTTAATTCTTTTAATTTAATATACTGTGTAACTAAATAATATAAAACTTTAATTAAGTTTTACATTAATATTTAGTGGTCATATAATTTGCAAAATATAATATTTTGGTAAAAATTGATTGATTGGCTATTAATTTTTAAAAATGAAAATAAATAATTGAGAAAAAAAAGTTGTAAACTTATTTTTCCCATGAATTGAATGATTAAAATTAAGTGACTTTACTTGACATTTAAATTTTTCGCTACTATAATCTAAAACTAATAATTTTTTTATTATTATTTATGTTATATATATGTTTTACGGATTAATTGGTTTATTTATTTATTATATTCAAATACAATCTGTTATTATAAATTTGAATATTATTTAACTGTTTACTTCATTATATAGGTTATCATTAAATATGTGTGGCGATTACACAAAAAAAACAAAACAATCAATAATTTTAACTTATCTTTTTGATTGATATATTTATATTTATAACATAGTGTTTATTACAATCGACACATATTTATAAGAAAATTCAAATGTGGTTTTAATTTTTTTGTTTTGTTTTATTAAAATATTTATATTTTAACTCTTATTTTATTACTTCAATCTATTTGAAATTTAAATAAAAAAATTTAGAGTTAAAAATTTGTTATTTTTAAATAAACCAAATCTACTGTTTTAATTTCTGCATAGAGTTAATTATATTAATACAAATTTAGTAATTTACTACATATATAGTTAATAAAATGCTAGAAAAATAATAATTATTGAATATAATTCATTATTATAATAATTATTTAAATAAGCTAATTATTTTTTTACTATAAATGTTGTTTAATACTTTATACATTTAGTAGTTTATAACAAATGGGAGTTAAGTAATAAAAAAACAAAAAACAATCTAATATTATACAAATAAAATAGTTTTAGTTTTAATACACTAACTGAATAAATATGAAAGGGTTGGGCGACTATACCTTTTTAAAAATATTTTTTTATACACACTATTATAATAATACAGTAATAATCATTTATATGTACTGTATTGTGAGTAAAAATTAAAGTTTTCAATTCAAATAAAAAATAACAATAAAATTTTATTTTATTTTTTGAAGACCTCACTCGGTTTGTGCATAAAATCATTGAGTAATTTATATGAAAAAATATTTTTGATGATCAAACACACCAATTTGGCACCGGGATAACAATGACGTTATGTTTTTCAAAAATATTTTTTTTCAATAGTAAATTATTTATTAATAATTTATATACATATATTCTGTAATTTTCTCATATTAAAAATGTTATTTTTATTTTTATTAGAAAAAAATTATTTTTGATTTATAATTACTAATTATTTTATAAATCATTATTAATTATTTTATTTTCTTATATAAAGTCAATTATAAATTTAAATTTAGTCATCAAATTCATGGATAATTTTGTTTGTTTTTTTTGACAATGAACTTAAATATATTAAATTATAAGTTAATTAAGCGAAAGAACAATTAATTTTAGTAATAAAATATGTATATTATATACAGTATATATAATTTATTATTTAAAAAAATATATTATTGCCAACAGAGCTTTTAGATCGATTAGATTTTTATATTAAAAAAATATACACTCTATTTACAGATACTTTATGCAAAAATAATTATAAGCTTACAGTAAAATTTTTATACATTATTACTATCAATAATTAACATTATAATGTTATGCATATGTTATTGATAATTTATAAATAGTATATAAACATTTTAAATAAAACAATTAGCAAAATTTTAATGATATTTTCTAATATATTGTTTTTAATATATATATATATATATCTATGTGTTTGTATATAATTATATTTTATTATTTATCAAGTTCACAGTTTAAAATAATTATTTTTAAAAATACAATTTTGTAGAATTATAATTATTATTGTTTCATACAAATATATTGAATAATTTTTAAAATATCAATAAAAAACAAATTATAAATAAATTAAAAAAACATAATCAAATAAATTATAGTTACCTAAAAAACATTAACCAAATCATTAAAAAACAGGTGACCACTAAATTAGATTCATTAATTTGTATGTTATTTTGTGCTAATGATTATCACATTATTTAAATAAATATATCAAACTTTATCTGATAAACTAATTTATCAAAATAATATTTTTTCTCTATCATAAACATCATAGATTAATCAATAATTAGTTTTATATTGATAATAAACAATTTTTTTAATTAATTTGCTAATTTATGCTATTAGTTATTGACGCAATGAAAAATATTTCTATTAATATATACTGTGTATATATAATAAGTTATTAATAAATACAGACGTATAGTATATTTTTGGTACTTATTTTAAATTTTACTGCATTTTATCATAATATTGTATTAAGAATAAAATATAATATATTTTTAATAAAATCAATTTATAAATAACATTTAGCAAATGTTTTTCAAAACTGACAATTATATAGACATAATGTTTGCAATTTTTCAAAACGATTTGGAAATAAATCTAATGTTGTTATGTTATCTAATCGACAAAAATAAAAAATAAATGACTTATAAATACAATTAACTTCTATTTTTCAAGGGATTAATCAAAATGATTAAATTAAAATACATCTAATAATAAAAATCTAAGTTTATAATTAAATAAAAAGATTTATAAGCTTTTTGTACCATTTTATTGTAACAATTCTTTATACTGTAATTATAGTTTATAATATAACTTTTTTTTATTTATATGAAAAACAATTTATTTAAAATTTTAATATATCAGCAATTTATATGAATAATTTTTTAAATAATATATTAATCTAACTATAAATATACTTTATATATAATTTGGAGATTAAAAAGGTTTTAATTTGTAAATATTACAGATTTTATTTTTGTTATTGAAAAATGAATCAAATGCTATAAATAAATAAAATAATTTATATTACCGTAAATAGAAATCTATAGAAACTAATATTGTTATAATTAATTTTTTTTAAAAATCATAATTCAATTATGTACAATTCAAACTATAAACTATATTATGTAAATTCATTGACTTGTAATGATAATATTCAAATATAAAAAAATAATTACAAATATTATAATAGATATTTAGCTAATAATTGAAAAATATTAAATAAATAAAATATAATCTTTAATAAAATTCATAATTGGAGATATAAATCGTTTTAGTGACTTATCTCTAACAATATAATCATTAGCTGTATTAAAATAGAGATAATTTGGAAAAAATGTCTTAAAATAAGGTTGTATTAAATAACAACATTTCCGGTAGTGGTGGACAACCATTTGATTGGGATCTAAATATTTTATGGGATGAGATCTACTGTGACTATTAAACAATCGCCAAATATTATGAATACCCAATTGAGCGACAAATTTGGCTCTCATGACAATCACTTTGGACCGCAACTCGTGTGGCCAAACAGTCTTCTGACGGTTATAGTAATTGATAAGTAATGGAGAGGACGTGTTGTCCACAAAATGATTAAATTCGTGACAAAATATAACACTTGGCACTACCAGTGCTGACCAGATGCTAACCTCAGGAGATAATAGAAACTCTTTGACTGTATTGAACCTGTCGTTTGGCTTTAGATATTCATCGAAGTCTACGTGAATCTGTATATAATTAGCAAATCGATAGAGACAGTCATGATTGGCAGTCAACTGTCCCCATTCGTGAATTATTTTTCGTTTATAATTATTTTGCGGTATAACTAATGGCATCAGATTCACGAATGGCATTGAAGACAACACCTGTAATGTTTGCCTGACGTCTGAGATCATTGTTTCATCAAATGAGTGATAAAAGACTATTTTGTCGATTGAGTTCAGCCGATAGTAGGCAATGAACTCAAGCAATCTGATGAGCGATACATTACCGAACAGTGGTCGCACACAAACCACCACTTTTTGGTCGCCAATGGCATCGGCAGTGACTTGAGATTTGTTATCAGTTTTAAGTATTTCGATGAATTCAGATTCAAATGTTTTGATTCTTGTCTTGTAATCCGTTTCAATGACTTTTACTTTATTGATCGGCCATTTTTGATCGTAAAGTTTCGGTTTTCGGCACTTGATTTTGACGGCAGAATAATAGTATCCGTGGCTTTCTTTTATATATTCTATGACCGCTTCGCTGTTGACCACTGAGAGACCATTAAAGCCGCACAGATATCGATAATTTTCACTGCGATAGCTATAATTGTAATGATAATAATTGAACTCTTCATTAACCCATTCATTCTTCGCCAAACCAATTAAGACCACAAAGTTATCGTTGGTCTCGAAAGCCGAGTATATGAACACATTGTCCGATATGTTGGCAAATCTGTATCGACTGTCCATTCCTGACCAACCACTTGAACTGTACGTCTCTTTAACGATATAATCAATGTCTTGGTTGTCATCGACGGACTGCCGGTTATGACAAACATCTTTTGCTAGCGAATGGTCGGCGACCACAGAATATCCCATAAAGCCGTTCAACACCAAAATGGTGGCCAAAGTCGCCGAAAACATTACCAACAGTACCAGTCGGTAGTGATGTATGTTTGGTGTCATCGTCTATAGCGTCGTCTCATAGTTACCACAATAAGAGACTAAAATAGTCTGGTTTTGGTCGACAACAACACAATATATCAAAATTACATATAAATGGCAATGAATTTCATATTAAATATTAATATATTTACAGTATATTACAGTCTATTATATTATTACTCTAATTAACACATAATTGTCATCAAATGTATGTCATATTAATATAATTTAAATGTAAATGTATTTTGAATTGTATTTTCAAAATAATAATAAACATAACATAACTTTTCATTGATTTTTTTGGTCGTCAATAAGCGCCACCTCTGGTGTCGACATGTTTTTCATTTATCGGCGGTTCTATGTGTGTGTATGTGTGGGGAAAGCCTATTGGAAAGGAAAGGGAGAGAGAGTTCACTAGAGTTCATAAACAGTTCAATCATTTATTTTTTTGGGGGAACTGTTGAATGTATGGCCGATGACCGGCACGAGAGTGTGAGTGTGTCGATCACACCTGTTGTCCGATAGTGAACAGCACTGGCCTCCAAAATAACCACACATTTAGTTGACTGACTTGATATGTGTGTGTAGATAGCACTGGGAGGTCAGGTCATTGTAGTGTAGGCATTGACATATGTATGTGTTTGAGAGGAACGTGTTTTACAGACACCGGTTGTTCAGTCAATTTACACAATAAAAAACTCTAAAACCGATATCATATCTAACTATATAATCGATTACAAAACTGACACTCAAACCGGTCAGACATGTCATTTGGGAAATACATAACAGTTCTCTCAGTCAGTGATAACTGAAGACAGCATTCCTTAAGATTCAGCACTTCTTCTCTCTCTATCCACTCATTGAGAGTTATATTCTGTCAGATCTAAGAGTTTACCGTTACTTTCATTACTGTATTTATTATTAGTTAGAAAAGTTTGAGACGAGAGAGAGAAAGAAATCTTTAAGAAAATCAGTCATCACTTCCATTGTAATCGAGAAGAAAAACTTATTGGAAGACAATATTTTCAGAAATTTTTTAGTTTTGCTTTTTTGATGAAAATGGCAAAAATAGCGCTCAGTTTTGTCTGTTTTGTCAACTTATTGATTGTCACGGAATTTGTTGTTTCGGCATTTGTGGTGACCGGAGAAGAACCAGAAGATCACAAAACAAGAATCAGATCAGAGTTTGAGAGTCTGATGAAAGACAAAAACTTTAAGGAATATAATGACAAACTAAAGTCCAGAAGAAAACGTTCGGCACTTTTGTCGTCGGGTTCGACATCTATCGAGGGATCCATTGATCCGATGCGAGTGTTTCGCGATCTCTACAAGAGATACGACACGACTAACGACGAAGAGAATCGTTCGCAACGTAACGAATGTCGTAAACGAAAAGTCCGGATGTGTTCACAGTATTTGCCATTTAATTCAACTGTCTTTCCGAATATAATTGGCGATGAATCAGATGAAGAAGTTAGCCAATCGATACCATTCTTCAATTTGATTGGAAAGTCTGGTTGTAATAAGCGATTGAAACAGTTGTTGTGTACATTTCTAGAGCCTCCGTGTCATAACGGCCGACCCATACCTCCCTGCAAGAAGTTCTGTAGGGTTGCAATGGAAGGCTGTGCCGAATATATTCCGGCAACACTCGAGTTGTCTTCGGTTTTTGATTGTCGACAATATCCCGACTCAACTGATCCCACCGTTTGCGTCAATCTAGCTCTGGGCAGTCAGTGCGCTACCGATGAGTTTCATTGTCCAGATCTGACCTGTATTTCCAAGCGATGGGTAAGTCGTTAAATATTATTAACATTTAGTTTACATTTTGTGATATAAATTTATATTTTTAATTATAATTACATTTTATTTATTGTTTAATTTTAGGTCTGCGATGGTGTTCGGTATGTTATTTGCATTAATATTGATTTAAATTGTATAAAATATAAATTATTATTTTTTAATGAATATTAGTGATTGTATATTTGCTGCGGATGAGGCCAACTGTGATAATGGACAGTCGGAAGGTATGGTAGTTGATTAATGTTGAGTATTATTGATCAGATAAAACTAAAAAATAACAATTACCTCAACAGTTTGCTCGAGTGAAGAGTTTGAATGCGACCGCAAGTGTGTACCCCTTGCCTGGAAGTGTATGTTATATACTGTATATATACTGTACATTAAACATATGGATCTCTAAAATTTCTTAATGTATCAAATATTCAGGTGATGGTGACCGTGACTGCCAAGACAACAGCGATGAGATAAACTGTACGACCCGACCTCAGTGCGGACCCGATAGGTTTAAGTGTGCCGACGGCTTTGGTTGTATCCCACGCCGATGGGTAAGCAAATTATATAATAATATTTATTTTGTTTAGTGGGAAGTCATAAAAATGCCTTCAAACCAATATTGTATTGTTTACTATAACCTTAATAGGCTTGCGATGGCAAAGAGGAATGTCGTGATGGCTCGTAAGTTAACAATTTGAACTTAAGATTATGACTTACCCTTTAAGCACTTACACCTTTTGTTTGTATTTATATATATATATAATCAAAAAACAGGGATGAAGTAGGATGCGCTCAAAAGGGTATGAATATGTCGATTGTATTTATTTTTAAGGAAATGTATAATAAAATAATTGTAATCCATTGACATCGCCTACAGAGTGTTCCCGAGGAGATTTCAAATGTGACAATGGGGTCAGTTATCAGTTATCTTATTATCAATTATTTATTTATTGCCTTTTTATTGCTAACCACAACATCTTTCATTTATAATCACAATTTATTTATATAGTACTGTATTATTCCTATGAATAGATTAATAAATATTTGATTTTTGCGAGTTTTAAAAAATTTGATATTTTCTACAGATATGTATACCAAGCATATGGAGATGCGATGGAGCGTCCGATTGTAAAGACCAGTCGTATGTAACGGGTTTAGTGATTGATTTTTTTAAAAATTAATTTATTTGTATTTAATTGTTAATTTAAGAGATGAGAGGAATTGTGGTAATGAATTGAAACAAATTATAGGACAACCCACTGATAATCAATTACCCAGCGGACTATCGCAACCAATACCAGTGCCCATACAATCGGTCAACAATATTGTCAATACAGTCCCACAATTAGACAATCATAGATGGAATTAAATTATTATTTAAACAATTTTAAGATAATATTAATATTATCATTCAATTTGTTTTGTTGTAAATACAAACCAATGTGTTGTATTAAATATACACTTTAATTTAGTATACAATTATAGACATTGTATTTAAGTACAATTATGTTTATTATTGTCATTTATTTTATACAAATTAAAATTATTGACAATAGTTTTAAATAACATAACAAAAAACTACATTTACCATCCAATCAAACTATTTTTATCATTAAATTAAAAACATTTTATTTATCTAGTTTATATATATAATAATAATTTTTGTTTTAATAATATGATATAATTACAAACATGTTATATTTAGCTCATAAGTGAAATTTTTTAGAAAAAGTGCAAAAATAATTTTTAATAGATTTAAATTAGTTTAAAACTATGCATTTGATTGTTTGTGTACACATAAATTGTTGTTGAATCAATTTAGTTATTGTTATGTATGTATGTATGTGTGTGTATCTATATATAAATTATATATATATATTGATATATATGTATTTATTTATGTATGTATGTATGTATGTACAGTATTTGTGTGTTATGAGCTCACTTATAATGTTATAATAAAAATGATTATCATAAAATTTTCTAATACATTAGTAATATTGTCAAGGAAAACTATCTATTTATCGACCATAAAATAAACATTAATAAAACAAATATTTATAGACTTATTGTATTTTTATTGTCAATGACAATTAAAATTGAATCTATTTCAATAATAAAATATACAATTATATTTTATTAAGTAAATAATGTGATGTTATGTGAATGTTTAATTTATCTCATTTTGTTAATTAATAAAAATATATTGTATTTTATTATGTAAAAATATAACTTGTTTTATTAATTTGATTTATTTATACAATTATTAGTATAATTAAAGCATTTAAGATATAAACAATAATTTCAATATCAACTTAAAATATTTTTCATATTATGTCTAAAATAGACAAAAATAAACTTATTTTTAGATTGATATATCTCTTAGAATAAAATAAGTACTTTAAACAAATAAAGCTTTAGTAGCAATTTGATTACAATTATTTTTTTATTAAGATAAACAAAAATATTAACAGAAACTTTTAAAAAATTAAATCATTTTTTATAAAAATAATAAAATAGTAAGCAATTTGGGGTTAAACTTAAAACATAATATAATCGTGATTTAAAAAATAATTGTTTCGTTTGGTTAATCAGTTATTTAGGATTATCTATACAAAACACCGGATTACTCATTGCAGTGAATATATTAATAACCAAATATTTTTTTATAACAAAGTTTTATGACTTTTAGTATAATAAACAAACTTTCAATTGTAAATTTACTGTATTTATAAGTGATTTATTTTGATATAGCAATTCACATTTATTTTATTGTTTTTGATTTTTTTTATTTGCTTAGAATCGTATAAAATATAATCATTTAAAACAAAATATATTTTATTTTATTAAAAAACAAAACTTTTTTTAACTACTATTCTATCGTTTATTTTTGTTTTTGTATTTTATTTTATTAATATTAATTTCTGTGAAACATATAAAAACAATAAACAAAACAAAAACTTGTTATTTATTTTTTGCTAAACAATTGTTTATTCCAGTTATCAAATTTTAAGTTATTTGTGTCGTAAAACTGTATGGATTGTCGACAGTCAACGTTACGGCTCCAGTCACACACCGTTAGCTTTTGGTTAAACAGCAAACCGTAGGGACAGATAAACGTCGATTTACGGCCATCAGGTGTACACACATGAAATACCTATATATATACCCATAATCATAGCACTCATTAAATATTTTTTTTAAAAATCAATACAGTAGATATATAAATAATTTATTGAAAGAAAACTATCAAGGTCATTTAGTAATTAATTAATTGCATATTTGATAAACAAAAATAAAACCTTATTAAACATATAGGATATAAATAAATAAAAACTATGAAACCACAAAATATTAATACTATAATTAAACTATAAAATTATATGAAAATTATTTTTATATATACTGTATATGAATCTTATTTTTATGATTATAAAAAAATTAATTATCAATAATAACTTACTCTGCAATTTGTATTAATATCGGCATAATATCCAAAATATCGCATATATTCACATCTGAAGGTTGAATTAGCCGTTTGATTGCCGATTGTCTGTAATGTAAAGTTTCGTACTGTTGGCCATTCATTGCGGACCAACACCTTTGGCCGATAAACAGGAAAATTTCGGGTATTGTTAACATTGTAGCTAAACAATGGTCGCTCAGTGACTATCCGATAACCGTAACTATAATTTGGCACAAATGTTGTCCACTTTACTGTATTATTATTATTATAATAATCCTGTGTATAGTTTTGCCTATAAGTAAAGGTATTGTTAGCGCCATAAATGTGATCATAGTTTGTATCATAAAATTTTCTGTTAATTGGACTAATAGTAAAATTTGTATCATAATTATTAGGGATATAAGTTTTATTCATATTATTTTCGTAAATTATGGGCCGATAGGTGACCGGTTGGCTAATATTCCAGTCGTAACCGTAGCCATGATTGCGAAACTCAGCCGCCGATCGTCTCAAACCGTACGCAAACCGAGCTCTTTGTCTTCGGAATGGCATTGAAGTGGTTGTAGGTTTGGGTGTTGACGTATGGGTATCATTAGGTCCCGGCCAGGCATGCGGGTTGTATAGTGTGACCAACGTTTCCAACATAATTGGTTTCTATAATAGTAATAATAATTGTGGGGAAAACACATTTATGTAATCATCTATTATTAAAATTCAATGACTCGTAAAAATGCAAACTTTTTTATTTATTTTTATTAATGAAAAGCTTAGTTAAATTAATTACAAATTCATTCATAGGATTTCTAGGAATCTACTGAACCATAATATTTGTGAATGAATTCAAGATTTAATTAAAAGCTGTTTTAATTTTCTTTATTTCCGATTTAAATTACCTTAAAATATATATAAATGTTTATAATATATATAATAGATGTAAAAAAGATAATATCATTAATTTGAAGAATGAATTAAATTTTATAAACAATAATAGCAATTAAAAATGGCAACAAATTATTAACAATTTAATGCATTTTCTTAAATTTATTACCAATTGTTAATTTATAATTTTTTAATAAAATTAATTTAACATGATAATTTTATAAAAAATAATATAAAAATAATAAATATATGAATAATTTATAACTAATATATATATTATTTAAACTACAGTATATGATATATAATAAAAGATTTTAACATCATATCATTAAATTTAAAATACTTGATGATTTCATTTTCAAATAATTAACATTATTATATTAACAGTATTATAAAACTATACTATTAATTATCAATATATATGGTATTAAAACAAAAGATAATTATTGTTTAAATAAATTAGCATTTTATTGATTGTAAACTTACATTAGTCGCTATATTAACTTTGAAATATTTATTGAAATCAAAGTGAACATCATTATCCTCGGCAGTAATCAATTGACAATAAACTAATAGATTAATAAATTAATAAATATTTTTAAAATAATTCATTAAACGATATTTAACGGAATATTAAGACACAGAATATTGATGTAATAATTTAATAAAAATATTTATAATTATTTATGAGTTTTTATTTTAACTAAATGATATCCAATGTTAACCGATAACATTAAACTTCAATAATTAATACCTTTAAGTATTACGATAAAACATGTTAACAATGAGTTAAGTGTGAAAAGTTTCAGTTGTTTTAATTCAATCATTTTATCAATTATTATATAAAATTATAAAACAGAGCAAAATATTTGGTACATTAATACGATAGCAGGAAAATGATGATTAAATCCGAAAAAATAAAAGCCATAAAAATTATTGGCAAAACTTTTTTGCATCCAAAATGAGTCTCTCAGATGATTTAATTTATTATATATGAATTAATTATAAATATCTTGTATAAATCAATAGCAAAAATAGATACTGAATTCAAAAATAAGAAACTATAATATAATAAATGATGTGTTGGTTGTTGTGTAGAAATAAAAAAATTTTTTGTGAAAAAATGTTTGATGTGTTTGTGGAGAAAGTATTTTGTAAAACAAAAATATACAAATAAATGTGACATCAATTTCAATGACATAACCCGTCAGATAAAATGAAAATACATGTGAAAAGATTCCTATCATAAGTGTCTTAAATACCAAATAATAGACACAAATCACAGAATCATAAATAATATTGTTATTATTATTATTTCTACTTTTACTATAGTCAGCACATGCACACACACACACACTCACACACTCACACACACACACACACACACACACACACACACACACACACACACACACTCACACACACACACAATCTATTGTCATTATGATAAAGACTAATCAAATTTTATTATACAAGTATTTTTTAATTTCCTTGTATTTTCAATTGTTATTACTGTCAAAAATCATGAGGTGTTTTGAGTTTTTCACTATTAATATATTGATATATAATTGAATGAACTTATATTAACTAAAAACCTAACAGCTCTGTCACAATCTCTGTGAAGGATAGCCCTATGGATAGTATATAAACAATTAAAGCAAAAGGATTATCGGTATAGTTATTAAAGTATTAAACAGTAATTTTATACACTTATGTTATTATTATATAAATATTTTTTGTTATAATAACTTTTTTTCACAAAAAAATTACATCACAATTTACCTTCAAAACAAAAATAAGTGATAATTTTGTAACATAAATATAATAAAATTAATAGCAATATATAACTTTTGTTTTCATACAACAAAATTAACTTTTATTGATAGCCATTAAATTGATAGTTATTTCAATTTTTTGTTTAAAATATATATAAAAAACAATAGCAAACAAAATTATGGAAAATTGCAATAATAATAATATTTTATAATATAATATGTCGTAAAATATCAAAATTATAAACAATATTACATATACAGTATTTTGTAAAATATTTTTATACAATAGTATAGTTAATTATATTTAATTACAAACTTACGTTATTTAAAAAAAATAAAAGTTAATTTTAGATATTATAAAACAATACGAAAATAATATTTAAAAATCGATATATTTGAAGTTAATTTTGTTATTTAAAAAAATGATGAGATAATGTTGTGACCAAAAATAAACGGATGTTATCGACCACTGATGACAATAATCTTTCCCGGCTTTCTTCGGGTGCCTTTCCTATAGATAACAATTGGCGGCGAATTGATGTTTGTTATGAGTAACACTTTATCCAAAGCCCGAGACTCGACTAACCGATTGTCAGTCAATAGCTGTGACCATAATATTAATAAAACAAAAATTAATTCAACTTTTTTTGATGACATTTCTTTCTTTTATATCTAAGACGTCCACTAATAAAAAAAAATTATATCACTTTTTTCTTCTTATAATTTTTTTTGTATAAAAATTTGTTTACTTAAACTTTAAGTTTTTACATATCGACACTAAATAACTGTCACAACTGTAGTTATGAAATGTTTAAAAGCTTTTGTAAAAACAATAAGTTATGACTTTTATTAAAAGTTTTTCGACATTAAAAATAAGATTTATTTTTTTATTAAATTTATATCTGAATGAGTGAATAGTAAGAGAGAGAGAGAGAGAGAGCTAATGAAATAGTGAGTGACTGTGAAATACATAACATTAAAAAGTAAACTTCAAAACAATACTATACTTGTATTTACGCTTTGATTGCTATTGCGGTCATTAAAAGTGTATTCATTATATAAATGTTATATAATATCTAATATTTTAGTCATTTATTATGATTTTTTGCTGAATTTATATTTATAAAAATAACTAATATTTTTTTCATTAATATGTGTTATGCTAAGATATTAACAACATTGTAACTATATTTTATAAGACATTGCCTTTTTATTAGTATTATTATTTATGTTTGTTTATATTTTTGGGTACTTAATGGTGTAATTTGAGGCAAATATTACTTTTTTTATTACTTAATAAGTTATATATGTGGGAATAACATATGCTTAAAATAAAATTAACAAAAAAATTAATAAATTTTATATTTTTATAAATAGATAACAAATTGCTTTTATTTTTAAACAAATAATAATCAATTGGATAATTACTTAACTAAATAGCAATCAATCATATTAATTGAAAAAATTTCATTTAAAAAATAATGTTAATATAATGTAAATTGCTTTAATATACAGTATTTTTTATTTTAATTAATCTACATTGTTATATTGAAAATTTGAAATTACAATTTGAAAAAGTAAAAATAAATATAATTTATATAATTAATTTGATTATTTACTAAAAGTTATGAAATTTGTATTTACTTTATGTAAAATATATTATGTAATATATACTGTATATTACTTTATGTAATATATTAATATAGTTTATATACAAAATTTATTTAATACATAAAATAAAATGTTTTTATTGTCAATAATAATTATAAACAATTATTAAACTTGAATTTTATTTATTTATTTTTATAATTTATTTTAGTAACACTTATATTGCTGTCATTCCCAACATATTACATACAGTATAACATAATTTGTTTCAAAAACAGTGAGATAATCAGTTAAATGATTGTTAATTTGGCGGTCAGTTAAAAATATAAGACTAATTTACTATTACACATAATCAATAAAAAGTTCATTTATGGCTAAATCAATTATTATTTTCATTTATTTTCATGCTAATACTGTATAAATTAATATTTTAAAAAGTGATACATTAGTTTATTTTGTATTAATAAGAAAATATTAGTTTTAGTAATAAACTGGGCTTAGTTTAAAACATTAACTATAATTTATCTTTCAAATAACATTGTTTATAAGAAATTAAATTATATAATTAAAATTTTCATTATAAATGCTAATGTTTTTTTGCTAAAAAAAATGAAAACATAAATATAGTTTTTTAATTGTGTGTAAATAAGTAGTAATAAATGTCTACTAATACGTTTGACATTAAAATGTTATAGTAAACTAAAAACAGAAATATTATAAAGATAAGTGCATAAAGAATGAGAATCAGTTAATTGTGTTTAAAATTAATACTTATTGATTTAATAAATTGAATATGATTGCAAATGAATTTAGTAATATATTAAGTCACAAAATAACCAAAATTAGTAATTAAATATTGTCCACTTGGGCCGCAATACACTTTTATAATCGGGAATTCATAGTCCCGATTAAACACTCATATGTTTTCTATGTATTCTCAATATAGATACCCGATTAGAAAAGTGTATTTCGGACAATTGGACAAAAATCAATTATAAATTTTTATTATTTTGTGATTATATATATGTTAATAATTTGATGTGCAATAAACAATTACTTTATTAAATCAATAACTATTAATTTTAAACACAATTAAAAAATTATCATTCTTTTTGCACTTATCTTTATAATAACGTTAATGATCTTATATCTAACGATATTATATAATTTATTTAAAAATAATTTTTGAGCTCATAACAATTCATGAATATCATATTAACATATTTTTTATTATTATTTATAATATCTATAAAAAGCATTATACAAAAAATACAAATATACAGTACAAACCAATAATATATTTTCTTATATTAAACTTTATATGCAACTAACAATTATAACTAAATAAATTTTTTATTAATAATATAGTAGAAAAATTAATTTCGAAATAATAATGATAATAATAATACACGTTTTTACAAAATAAATATTTATTTATTACTGACATAATTTCAATAAATAAGTTTTAGTTATTTAAATGTTGACTAAATTAAGTAATTACTGATTTTATTGATTCATTTCATAATTATAATAATATAGTATTTGCTTTTATAACTAAATAATTTTACTATAAATAATAATTATCCAAACTATTTGTTTGCTTTCATGAAATTCAAATTCATAAGTCAATTATATATTTTATATGTAAATTTAGAGAGCATATACAAAATATATGAATAATATAAATAATATTTAGTCTTATATATAAAAAAAATAATACAGGTACTTACACACACACACACACACACACACACACACACATTTATGTACTGTATAAATATAATAATAATAATAAATAGCATAATTTATATACATATATATATATATATATATATTGTACGTTAGGTATCACTTAATTTTTAGGTCAGGGCTGAGGACATTCACTTCTTATATTTTAATTGTTTTATAATTTATAATTTGAATCACTTTTTCTATTAAAACAATAATAATAATAATGAATATACAATAATTAATTCATCATTTACTTTAAAACAATCTAAATATAATTATTGCATTGGACAGTATTTAAATAATTGAATTTAATTAAATTTGAATAATATCTAAAATATTACTATAATACTAATTAAGTAAAAAACTTGATATTAATCTATTTAAATAAAAATAAAAATTAACTTTATCTAGATAAATTTAATTGTAATAATAAATTTTAAACAAATTATTATAATTATCGTTAAATGTAATAATTAAGACAAAAATATTTATTAACATTGATTTTGATTATGCAAAATAAAAAAAAATTATTTATATTTTTAACATTTCATTTGCATATAACAAATAATGAGAACATTATATCTCAATTGTTTTTTTATTTAGTATTTTAAAATTACAAGTTATTAGAAGTTACTATTATTAGTAATTTTTATTATAATATTATTAAAATTTTATGATTTTTTATTCAATTAGTAAATTATAAATCAGTTATAATCAATAAAGCGTACGAAATATATAAAGAAATAAAGCAATAAAATAGTAAAAATAAAAAACCAATTGAAATTAATTAAAAATAACTTTTTTAAAAATTACTCATTGCAAATGTAATTTCCCTTTAGAAAACATATATTTATTTTTGTATTGATAGATTATAATTTATAAATATTTTATTTTTGTTACATTTAGACAAAAACAAAATTGATTTAGATTTATTATCTCATACCTAAATATATAATGCTGGATGAATATCGCGTTGGGAATACCATATTATTCATAGTAACTTTTCAGTAAATTTCCTTTTATGTAAATTCTATGATTAACCATAAAGTTTATAACTATGGTTAATTATTAAGATTTAGTTATTTTTTGTCAATTTAATATAATAGTTATATTCTATAGATTATACAGTTTGTAGTTAATTAAAAATTTATCATAAGATTATTTTTTATATTATATTTCTATATTTAATTAGACATAATTTTTATTATTTTAATAAAATTTATTTATACAATTATTCTATAATCAATACAATTTTTTAATAATGACTAATACTTATGTTAAATTATTTTTACATGAATTATAAATGCAATAAATTATGTAAGAAGCTAAAATAATTTTAATTTTTTTGTTATAACTTAATTTTTTATAATTTTTTTTAACTTTAAATATTTACCTTTGTTTTTACACATTTTGCTTTTTAACAATAAAATCTAATATATCTATTCCTAATTAGACTTAATTTTTAACTATTGTTTAATAATTACAAAATATTATGAGAATTATTTTATCTTAAAAAATGTTAGAAAATTTCTCAATTTAAGTAAATATCTAACACTATTGATATATAAATTATTGACTTATTTTTTACACACAGAAATTAATATCAATTTAACTATCAATTCAAGGTAATAGTTGAGCGATGAGTTTACACACAAATAACTATACGATATATCAAACATAGTCTATATGTATTAAATTAGTGTTTTTTTATTTTAAAAAATTGTAATAAGTTTAATAAAAAAAACTCATAGCAATTAACCAATTAAATTGAAATAGATATATAAAAATTGTAAAAATATTTAATTCAAGCTCAAGCAAAAACTCATTTATCTAAATATTATTTTTGTGCTTTCAATAAACAGTAAGATATAAAAAATATTTACTGTATATCGATATTATTATTATAATAATTATGTAAATGCACAACAAAAATATGATTCAAACAATTTTACATAAGAGAAGATAAAAAGTTTTGATGATTTATATTTACAACAAAAAAAAGTTAATATGCATTAAATGGCCTCTAAGTTGTCAATGAAAATATATAAAAATCGTGTTCAAAATGATCGCTCAGTTAATGTTATTCTTATATTATATTTTATAAATTATAATAATATCTATGTATTATATATATGCATATGTATTGACATAGAAAACATACAAAAAACTAAAACATAACATCTTTTTCACGATTAATGAATTACTAATACTTTAGTTTATTATAAAATAATACTGTATGCAAATAATGTTTTTTTTAAAAAAGTTGTTTCAAATTATCATATGCTTATTGTAAATAAAATTTAATTGTTTAGAAACTACTTGAAAAAAAGTTTATAATATTAATAATAAATAACTAGATTTAAAATAGTGAAAGTGTTTGTATGTGTAAATGAAAAACTGTTTTAAATAGTATAAAATAGGCTAATATTTTAAAACAAAAGTATTGTAATCTCCACTTGTATTAAATTCCCATTGCTTTATAAAATTACAACAATAAAAATAAATCCAAATTTAAAGTATTACTTCATAACTACTGTAAATTGTTTAAACATCCAGACAGACACACATAACTTTTTTCTCACATAAATAATTATGGGTTTACAGACATAGCAATTATCTCCGATTATATTATAAATCAATAGCCAAAAAATGTGTACAAATAATTTTATACAATTTTATACACAATTAGAAAACAAAAAAAAACATAAAAAATTGTGAATTATTTCACTATTTAATGTATATTTAGAGAACACCCACACATAAAAAATTTTATTTTAACAAAAAATAATTCATTTACTAATTGATTATCATTTTAAATACAATTTAATTACTTTTCAAAAAGCTTTCAATTAGATGTATATTCAATTCATAGACTTTTTTGTTGTTGTTGTTGTTGTTGTTAGACATATCAATAAATATGAGAACATTATGAGTGCTTATTATTATAAGCTTAAACACATTCACACAAAGTTTTTAGGCATAGAAAACAATTTTCTTTTATTACAATAAATTATTAAATTTATTTCTTTTAATAATTGTGTCTCAAGTCCTTTAACAACAACAACAAAACAGAGATTCAGGTTTTACTCTTTGTTTTTTTCATTATCGGTATATTTGATTACCAACAACAACATGAAAGTGACGGCACTGAACCTCAAGGACAGTGGTATTCAGGTATATGAATGGTAAATGCAATACTTGTCTTAAGCGAAGATTATCTTATTTTGAAACAACAAAATACCAGTGCTTTTCATTAGTATAGTATTCATCAATGGGTTAGAGAAAAGAGTGATAACCAATCAAACTATAGCTAACTATTCTGTGATTTCTCGAGAATTTTTATTTATTAATATTATTATAATTATTACTAATTCTAATACTAATAATAATATTATTACAAAATATGTATTATTTGCTTAATATATAGATGTGTTGTTTATAGCACACTATTTAAGACAAAATTTTTTTTTTATTAATGACAGTGAGTTTATTAGCAAATAATTTAATCATTTAACTCATCTTTAAAAATAAATATCTAATTTAAATTTTATAGTGACTTTTATTGATGGCAAACATTATTGTCTACTAATATTAATCAGCTATTTATCAACTTTTTATTATTATTGATAATAAATAAAATATATTTTTCTGTTTAGTATTTGTGTTGTATGTTTGGGAAACACCAGAAAAAGTATTTATATGTCTGAAACATAACGGTATCCTTAATATTATTGTCATCTTTTATATCAATCAAACACTGCCTAAGCATTTACATTAATATCAATTCATAATACATAATTAAAAATCAATTTTTATCCAATTTTTTTTGTTATATTTGAAAAAACAAACTTTGATTGCTATTGATATTTTGTAATTGAAAAAAGAGATGAATTACAATAATTGTGGTTTACGGCGATTCAAAGCCAATTGTTATCATTATTTTTATTTTATATCTTTGTTTGTCTACATTGTATTGTTTGCACAACTAATACCAGAAACGAAAGCTGATCCTCAAACGTTTGACAGCTCAAGATCTTCGCCACCAATTGAAGGTATTAATGTCTCATTTAATAATTGATAAATATTTATATATTATTATTATTATTTTTAAAAATATAATTATTATTTTTTATTGTAATAATAATAACAAATTGATTTTTAATTTGATTTCAATTACATCAAAAATGTTTGCATTCTATTTAATAATATTATAACAGATTAATAAAAATTAATAAAAATGTTAGTTATATATATTAAGTAATTTTTTATCGATGAGATAATATTTTATTATAATAAATAAGTTTTAAATTTTATTTAACATATTTAACAATTTTTGTCTAACAATCCGTATATCACATATTTAACATAATTAGTTTTATTAATAATTTATTAAGATAATAATAAAAAATTTATCTAAAATAATTAAGTGTTATTTCACTTTATGCAACTATTATATAAATTAGCTTTTTAAATAAAAATAATATGAATATGAAAAAGTAAAATTTCCCACTTATTTAATTTATACACTATAAATAACTAATCACTTACTTAATATATTTATGTTTTTATTATAATAAATTAATTGCATTTGCTAATATTAAGCTAATTATTTTTTTTAAATGTATCTTTTATTTTGAAAAAATATTTTAAAATTTTAAATTTTGGCTCTTGATACTTAATATAAATATTATTACTAAAGATTATTTTATTATTTAATAATATTTATAAACAATGCTTTAATAATTGATAATCACTTTAATGTTAATAAATCTTATCATATCTTTATTTTAATAATTAAATAAACGTTTTAATTGTAAGCTATTCGTCATATCATTTGATAAAAATAAAACATTTAGTTATGTAATACAAAATTTTATTTCAAATATAATTTTGATTATAAAAGTATTATTAATACGATAGAACTATAATTATAAAAAATATAATTATTCATAACTATTATAAAAAGGAGTGACATTTGATATAATACACAACAAAATGGTTTAATTTAAAATTAAAATAATCATTTTATACACACAAATATCAAATCATTTTATAAATATCACATTTACATATATATTTAATTTATAATTGTCTATAAATAATCATCTTAAATATGTTATACAGTTTGTGCTGTAAGTGTCTATACTAATCGTTTTCGTGACACTCAATGTTTAATTCAAATTCAATTATAAAAAAATAAATAAAAATATCTCTAAACTTTTTAAATACTGTATTATATTATTATTATAGCTATCGTTATTGCGTTAAATAGCGTGAAACGTACTGAAAGTTTGGAAAAAACAATAAAATGTTTAATATTTAATAGAAATTCATTGGATATTTCGTTTAGTATATATATCTGAGAGACAATAATATAATAAAATTTAATTTAATTTTTAACAAATATATATTAGAAGTAGTTTTTGTGTCATTCAAGGACTTAATATCATAACATTAATATAGTATCATCTTTTTAGGTATAAATTTCATGAAACATACTGTCAATGAAATTAAAATTATGATATTGTTTATTGTTTATATTTTGTTGCAATTGTATGAATTTAATGATCATAAATTTTGTTATAAAAATTGTTTAATTAGTATAAATGTTTTTATAAATAAATCTAATTCAAAACACATAGGATTAGTTGAATGTATAAAATTTGCTATTTTTAATCAATAAATAATTTTAAAATAGTAATAATTAATTATTAAATTTCATAAACATATATTAGAAAAAATAAAAATTTTATTTTTTTTATGTTTAGATGAAACATTTTAATAAAAAATACAAAGTATTACATAATATTTATGAAAAATATTTTTAGCAATTATACATAAAAAATTAAATATACATAAGTATAGAAATATGTGATTTTATCGATAAATTTCATAAGTTATTGCAAATCGGGAAATACAACATTCATTTATTGATTGTATGTGAGTATAGTTGTCACTGTCTGTACTCAACATTTGATTTATTATCCAAATATCAACATTTGATGAAATATAACAACAAAAATACAAAAATTATTTATGAGTTGAGAAAACTAATTCTTAAAAACAAAAAAATAAATTTTATATAGCAATGTGTAAACAAAAATAACATTATAATTAAAATATCATAAAAATAATATTATAAAAACTAATAACAAGTTTTGAATTTATGTTTAAGTTAATTAATAAAAATTTCTATCTCTGTACAACAAAAACAAATCATTAATTTTAGTAATAAAATTTAGTATACCTTTATGCATCAAATATTTTTATAAATTAAAATTTCACTTTTATATATAACTTTTAAAAATTTATGAAATATCTAATTTATATTATGAATAATAACTTAAATTTCACTAAATTAGTGTTTATATGATAGTTTAACTTTTATATAATATAGTATTAATAATAAATAGATAGTTTATAGTAAGCGACAGTATAAGTTAAAAGACATTTAAATATTGTTTAAATAAAATAATGCTAATATTTACTAATTACTTTATATATTATTATCTAATTGTTAAATGTATGCCAAAACATGAGTATTATTAATTTTAAATCAATCTTATAGTAAAAACAATAAAAATAAGTAATAATTTTATTTGAATACATTTGCTATTTTGAAATCAAATATTAGTGCACACAAAAAAATTATTTATTTATTTAATAAATAATAATAAAAAGTAATAGAATTCAAGGCTTAATATCAATACAAGTTTAATGTTATAAAAATACAATATATTGTTTTATAATTTATATTTTATTTAAAATTATAAATTTTTTAGATATTTTTACTGACATTATATATATAAATTATTTATCAAAAATATATTGAAACAATTTAATAATACAAATATTTTATATTGTATGTTTACTAAATGTTTTATATAATTGTTTTTATCTTTACCTAATAAATTAAAAATAATTACTTAACAAAATAAACACAATTAATTTCAAGTGTCTATTTTTATTTACTTATTAAAATAAACAAATAATTTACCAAAAATTTCTCATTAAAAGTAAAAACATTTATTAAGTTATATACATTTATTTATCATATTTAACATCTTATTTTTTTGACTATAAATTTAGTATAAACTACAGTTTATATTATGAGTACAATAATTAATTTAACAAAATTATAAATCTATCTAAAAATTTGATGGCCACTGAATACAATTAACTGTACAATGAATAGCCATAAAAAGTATTTACTTATTAAATTATAACTAATTTACACTATTAAACAATATATACAGTTTTATGATGTTTATAAGTAAGTACTAGTGTTTATATGGAAATCAATTTGTAATTTTACAATCATGTGTCTTAAAAAACATGTTATTAAATAATATTATTTATGCCTTTTTTGTTGTATATCTATATAAAAACAGTCAGACGTGCGGAATCCCAGTTGAGGTCCGGCTATAATGTATCTGATGTTAGACGGGATGGAAGGACACGACCGCCCGATCCATTGAAACCCATTGAATATATCTATAAAACACTTAACGAGAGGGGTCTCATCAAAATGTGTTCACTAATGCAAAAGGCAGACCAACAAGAGCTCAATAAATTACTCGGTAATCAATTATTATTAGTATTATTAGTATTATTAGTATTATAAGTATTATTACAATTACTATAATTACTATTGTATTATACATTACTTATAGTATTATGCAATCAATAGTTAAATACCATTAAGTAATTGTTAAATAAAATAACTATTGTTATTGCAATTACAGTAACAAAAATAAATCACCTTTTATAGTATATAACAAATAAATTAAATTTTTAATTAATTGCTAATCTATAAAAATAATAATATTATTATTATTTAACGATACTTTTTTTAAAAATTGTTTGACTTTTTTGTTTTGTTTCGTTTAATTCGTTACATGATTCACGACTTTCTTAAAAAAAAAAAATTTTATTGAGAGAAAAATTATGTGCACAATATTAACACAAATTTATATAAATTATGCCAAAAATGCAGTCAATAAAATCTCTTAATTATTATCTCTAGTAATTCACGTCTCTATAATTAGTAGTGTTCATAAAAACATATTTGTTATTAAAAAATATATATATATTATTGCACCCACTAATTGATTATTTTAAAAATATGATTATTGTATTTTAAGCAAATAAAACAATAGAATTTTGCAATTATAAAATTTTCATTAATAAATTAGGAGAAAATTTTATAACCACTTTATGATTTCATTGTATTGTATGCAAAACACACGGGGCTAACAATTAATTTTTTATTATCATTATAGATATAGTATTATTATTTAATATTGTTTCCTAATATAACAATAGGTCAGAACTTTACATTACTGGCACCGAGTGATGAGGCATTTGGACTGATGCCGGGCTCGCAATATGAAGAACTTATTAGTGATCCAACAAAACGTAATGAGTTTATCAAACAACATATAATACCCGATCGGCTAATGTTAAACACTTTCCGGGCATTTGATGAACGAGAGCTTAAAAATGCCAACGGATTGACACAACATATCACTGCCTATCCAAATGGGGTCAGTATTTGCATACATAATATAATATTTATATTTTTATAGTATCTTTAAATATCTAATAATTATGTGAAAATTATAATATTTTATCATCAAAAAAAATCAATCATTATTAATAATTGTTTACTTCAAAAGATATTATCAGTTAAATCAATAATCATATGTTAGAAAAATTCAAGCCCTGGTATTGTCATTGTCTATATTGATTTAATTACTCACGTTTTATAACGCTTATTAAAATTTTATATATACACTACAGTATCTCAAACAATATCTGCACATATATTTAGTGTCCTTAAAATTCAACAAAATTAACATTATTAACAAAAGTAACTTTTTTTTATTTATTTATATATTTCTCCGATTTGATGATACTTATCAAAAGTATCTCTTAATGCTTAATATGTCAGCTAATTATTATTATTATTATTTTTTTAAAGTATTTTATTTTACTGTATCGCCCATAAATTTTATGCAAATTGTGATTGATTGTAATAAATAGCTTAATAAAATAACTTAAAATAGTGATCCCTTGGATTATTATTTTTATTTTTTCTGTAAATAAATACATAAAAATAACAAACAATAGGTGGGCTTTCCTTGAGTTTTTAGAAATCACTATAGATTTTGATAATCAAAAATAATTTTCAATAAAAATGACAATTGATTTAATTGTTTTGGTTGATTTTGAGTAAATCAATTCAACACAATTGATGAATTAAATAAAGGCAATAAAAGGCAATTATAATTTATTATAACAATACTGTATAGATAAACATCCATATTTGGTGTAACTATTTATAATTTTTTTGGACTTTTTCATCTAGTATTGATTATTAACTACATTATAATCAATTGTATATACAGTAATACAAATCAAGCTAATAATTATTTATATTAAACAGAATATTATTATTATACACCCACTAATTTAAAATAGCAAAGATACTTGATAACTTTTATAAATTCAATTAATGTATTTGGTTAATTATAGTTATATATCATTTTTTAATAATTAATTGAAAATAATATAAATAATAATGCATTAATATAATACCAATAAAATAGTATGAAATAAAAACAATGATATATTTTTTAGATATTAAAAATTATGTTTTTGTATTTAACTTATTTTTTTAATATTTCAATAGTTTGTAGTAAATGGCGCCAATGTAGTTGATGGTGACATACAGATCCCCCGATCAAACAATTTGATACAAGTAGTCGATAAAGTATTATATCCACAAAAGTCACAAAATCTATTGGAAGTACTCGAAGACAATCCACATTTGACACAAATTTCATCATTTTTAGCACTTTCGGGATTAGATAAAGAGCTAAAGGGTTAGTTAGTCTAAATAGTATTGGTTATAGTTTTAACATTTTATTACAAAAAAACTTAATTATTCTGTTAGGTAACGACTCGTTTACATTTTTTGCACCAAACGATGAGGCCTTCCGAGCGGTTCCCTGGCCTGTGACACAACAGATGCTGTCCAACAATACATTTCTCAGATGTACGACTTGTTTTGCTTTACTATCATTAAACAAACAAAAAATATTTGTAATATAAATTAAATAAAAACATTTGTTTATTTAGTACTTCTGGCTAATCATGTAATACCTGGCAAACAATATGCCACCGGTTTGTCCGGTCATAAACTGTACTCAATCGGTGGTAATGTCTTGAACTTTACTACTAAGACAGGTATTTTTTTGAAGAAAAATATTTTAGTAATTAGATAATTATAATTTTAAAATTTCAAAAACTTTTACTTTCAGTTCAATCGCATACTTTAGTTTTAGTCAATTTAGTACCGATAATAGATAATGATATGATTGCAAACAATGGTGTAATTCATGTCATCACACGAATTATTTTGCCGAAAGAACTGATGGATGACTGTAAATGTTGGCCAATGATTACCACAACTACACCATTGAATGATACAACACCCGCATCATTAGAAAACGGATCGACAACAACACTGGATCCGTTTAAGGATATGTTTAACATGGATGAGGATTTGAATAAAATCGACCGACGCTATGGTTTGGCTCCTCCTCCCCCTCCTTCACGCACACCAAACGGTGATCACTTTACATCCACACCGAAACCTATTTCTTTCAAAACGTTTTGGGACGACATCTTTGCTACGACGGGCGACACATCAAACACTACAACAAACGGCACTCAAACACCTGCAGCTAATCAAACAACAGTTCCCACTTCGACAACAACTCTAAGTCCTAATATCACAGAATTTCCATTGCTTTGGGATTTTTTAACAACTGAATTGCCAGAAGCGGCAAATCAAACAAGAGATCAGCGCCTTAACGACAGCTATAGAAATCAGAGACAATACACACCAGGAGTGGTATACTTGGATGAGTTGAATATCACAACTACAACATCTAATGGAAGTGTAATTAATGAGACGACTACTGCCGCGCCAATGACGTGGACACGAGCTTTCTATAGGCCTGAAAGGAGACGTAATTTTACCGAAACTGGTGCGGATAACACCACGGATATTACGACCCAATCCACAACTGTGAGCGCATTTTATAGACCAACTTTGAAACCAACTTTAAGACCAACCAACAGAAGGCATACATTTACGGCTCAGCCAAACATCGAATCTAATGTTACGTATGCTCCTTATGACAGACGATATGGTATTTTGAGGGATAGGCCGTCAATCAATGAAACGGATGATGGGTTCGGTAGACGAAACTTGCGAATACAAGAACCTATTCAACAAATAAGAGATGAGGAACAGTATGTGGAACAGGAGATTGAACCACAAAATCGGACACAATATCCTTATCATAGGGACTCTAATATTATTTCGCAATCCGATGATCGTCCCAAACAACCGCCGTATGGAAGACAAGATTCTGCACAACCGTTCGTTAGGAAACCATATGATGGCAACAGAAACGATTCATCTCAAGAGTCGCCCGAAATAGTGCAACAAAAAGCAGAATCGCCGACCACTTGGACTCATCAGCAAAATGTATCGCATGTGTCACCAACAAGACAACAGACATCACCTCAACGTTATCCACAACAGCCAAACAGAGGACGACAAAATTGGTGGGACTCTCGCTACGACTCAGATGCTTATCCCATGAGAGCTTACGTTCCGCCATCAAAGACACAGACCAGACATCAAACACCATACGATCAATCGAAACCTTTCCAATCGGCGCACTCCAGACCCAGAGATTATAGACCAGGTGTAGTATATTCAGAAGAACCTCAATATTATAGACCACCGGATCAATCTAGTCGTCCTTATTATCGTCCTTTAAATGACACCAAATCGGTAACTGGTTATAGACCGCAACAGCCATTTGATCCAAAACGTGGACAATACCCGACAAGTGATGTATATTTAAAGCCGGAACTTGTCGACCGATCCTATGTTCCGGCATATAATCCTTACAGACAACCAGCACCGCCAATGATTGTCGGAGAATATCCATTCCAGTCTTTTCCCAGCTTTGATCATCCGTACCATCCAATGGGTCAGTTTAGACCAATGATGAGAGAGCCCATCACCCGAGGCCATAGAGTGGATCCTTATGATAGGCGAAGTGGTATCAAATCAATCTATGATACAATCAGACGAAGTGGTGATTCTCGGCCCTCAAGTCCTTCAGATGATAAACAAAGCCCAAAGTCGGCGGACTTAAAAACTGTAAGCGAGATAATGGATTCACCGGATCTGATGGTCGGCGGAAAATTCAAGACATTCGACAAATTAAAAGAGTTTATCAAAAACTCTGGTCTTTGGGAGACATTGAACAGACCGACAACTTTTATAACAATGTTTATGCCAACTGATGACGCATTTGATGCTATAACTGATGGATCAGTAGATGAAATGAAGAGAAATCCAAAATTGGTTAGAGATTTCCTGACACAACACTTACTCGGATACAGTCTTCAGCCGCAAAATGTCAGAAATAATATGAGAGTTAAGTCGTTGAACGGAGAAATGCATTTGATTAATGTCATCGATGGTGGAAAAGTAAACAACTAATAAAAAGTTACAATATTTTAACAGATTTTATATATTTGTTTTCATACATTAATTTTTAAAGATCTTAATCGATGGTAACGAAGTGATCGCCGCCACTACAGCCAAAAATGGTAACATCTATGTCATGGATAAAGTGCTTGAAAAGGCCGGTCGTAGATCCCGATCCATTGTAGATGAGCTGAAAAAGAGACCAGAATTGAGTGCTTTTTCTAATTTATTACAGAGAAGTGATCGTTTCAAGCAATTAACTCAAGGTATTAAATATTATTTATTTTTAATTATAATTTTAATATTTTTATTTATTTTTTTTATATATAATATCTATATTTTCCAGAAATGGGACCCTTTACTGTTATGGCACCAACTAATGAGGCACTAAATAATGCTAATATTAGAGATATTATTAAAAACCAAAATGATTTAAATGGTAAAGTAATTAAATGTATAAATTAATTAAAGTATTGTTAAAATAATTATATTATAACAAGAATTCATGAAAAAACATGTCATGGATGGAGCTGTCTATAGTCAACAGTTGTCCGATTCAAGTGATCCACAAGATTATCGAGATATTAGAAGAATTGGTTTGAGTTCAGGTTATTATAAAACTATATTTTTGGTGACAATTGATTGAAATTAAAATGTTTTTTTTTGTTAAACAGATTCTTCCATTTCGATCAACAATGAAACCAAAGTATTATCTCCAGACATAACCACTGAGAACGGTGTCATTCATGTAATTGATGGCATATTACCCGAAAAATTAAATATAACAGAAAAGCGTCCACAAAATACTGGTAATTAGGATTGTATTTAATCATAATTTGATAAATTTTTTATATATTTGAAATTTTAATATACAGGCGGAGGAGAGGAATCCCAGAGGAATGCAAAGCAGACATCAATGTCAAGATCGGCACAGAGTTTAGGAATCAGAAGATTTACTAATTGGCTCAATAAAAGTGGTGTTTTGGACGAAGTAATCCGCGATGGCCGACAATACACAGTGATTGTGCCCACAGACAGAGCTGTTGGCAAATTACCGCTTAAAATACAATCAATTTTGAATAGCGAACCAACACGACTGACTAGTCTTCTGGAGTATCATATAATTCCCGGATTTGTCGACACAAGAACTTTGAAGGACAACGAACTGTTGACCACAATTAATAACAAACAGATTAGATTCAATAGATTAGACAATGGAAGAGTTCAATTGTTTTCTGGAGCGCCGGTCAACAGACAGTCAACGGATCAGAATCTATTGATAATAGCCGTCGACAATGTCTTATACCCACCGCAGGGAACTGTTATCGAATTAGTCGCAAAATCTCCTTTACTTAAGACGTTAAACGAGATCATTAAGACAGCAAATATGACAGAAGAGCTAACAAACAGTACAGACATTACTTTGTTTGCTCCCAAAGATGAAGCACTCAAACGATTGGAACCGGAAGTCTTGGAGCGATTGAAAACTGATCAAAACTATAGCAGAGGTTTCATATAATTTGTTTTTTTTCTGAAAATTAATTTATTATTAAAACTAAATGATTGACATTTGATTTTTTGTTACAGAATTTCTTCGCAAACATCTTATTTCAAAAGTATTGTTTACGACTGCTCTTCAAGTGAGCAATGAGTCCAATATTACACATAAAGAACAGGCGATGTCTGGAGAGACGCTTAAGATCTACAGAAAACCCAGTAAGAGATCCATCAATTGATTGTCACAACTATTGTCTATATATTTCGCTAATCATATCATTTTAAATGTTTTTATTTTTAATTTTCAGACTGTGTTTCAGTCAATGGTATTATCCTATCGTTTGCCGACATCACTGCAACCAACGGTGTTCTTCATATTGTCGATCATGTCATCTAAGTTTTCATTAAGCTTTCAATTAAATATAATATTATATATTTTTACATATAATATAATATAATTCAATAAATCTAGAATTGTTTTATATATAAAAATAATTGTAAATCAATAGATTTTTAAAATCAAATTACCGTTAATTACCATTTTATTCTACAATTTTAACCTTATGCTAGAAATAACAAAATTTATTAATTAAAATAATCTTATTTTTCATATTTACGTTTTGACAATAATGCCTAACCATAAACATATAATAAATTTCTTTATTAATTAATACGTGTACATTGTTTTAATTGTATATTACATCAGTAAAAAATATATTTATATTTTAATCATATTTTATAAATTATAATTTTTGTATCTTTTTTATTTTGAATAATTAATAAATTACTTAAACCATTGGAAAAAATAAATTACTAAACTCAATTAATCAATTATAATTATAAATATAAATATTTATTTTAGAAAAATTTTTAAAAAATAATATAAAGTTTTACTAACAGTATAAAGTGCCGTTTGGTGACACACCATTACAAACGCATGTTTTGAAATAATAATATATTTCATATCATTTGTTTATTAATAATTTTGTAAATTATTTATAAATATGAGTAAATTTAAGCCAAAATTAATTGTTTCGACAATAATCTATTTTAAACAACTTTGAAGAACAGATTATTATTTAATTTCAATTTTTTAAAAATATGATTTAAATTTACTAAAATTGAACGATTCAGAGAAACTTATGTTTAAATTCATTCAAAGTATTAGCTATTATTGCGGAGAAAATATTTTCATTTCAAGCGCACCAATTGAACGCATTTTTTCAAATGAAGCTAAAATTCATATAAAAATTGTGTAATAGGTTTTCGTATTAAAAAAGTTTAAAAACTTTTATCTATTGACTTTAATTCTGTAATTATTACACGTATTTAAATATATTAATAAAATTTGTAATATTAATTCTTAACATTTTATTTTTAGTAGACAACGATTCTGATAACTATATTAAAATTATGTAATAATTATATTATTAATAAAAAATTTTACTATTATCATTGTTTATATATTAATTTTCAAACAAAAAATGTATAATACATTCTGTACATTGTTTTATACTGAAAACCTTGTATTTTTCCAACCCTTGTAATAATATAATTAAGTAAAACTTTTATATACATCAAAATTTAATGATTAATTATTATTTACTTTATAGTTATTATTATATGATTAAGTATTATGATTAACATAAATATATGAAGTTAAATAAATATATTGAATATATTTTTTTATTTATAATTTTTACATAAATGATCGCAAATCAAGATTTATTTTTTGTCACTTTTGGTGGTTTTCGATTCAACAATAATTATACTGATTTTTAGCGCATAATGTATTTCAGTAACAAAAAAATCATAAAATTAAAACAACACGCAATCAATTACTATCAAACATTACATTACTATCAAATAACACATTTTGAAGGCATTGCCTTAACTGCGGTGAGACATGGGAAGCTTGCGGTCAATAATTATCTCGAGAACCGTTGGTCAGATCTTGCGGTCAAACATATAAAAGTTCTAGAGAATAAAAAGTTAGAAACTAAGGTCCACTTGAAAAAATTTTAGGTCCACCAGGGGGCCCACAAAAAAAATAAAACATGAAAAATTTGTATTAAATAAGTGGCGGTCAGGGAGTATCTCGAGAACCGGTGGTCAGATCTTGCGGTCAAACATATAAAAGTTGTAGACAATAAAAAGATAGGAACTAGGGTCCATTTGAAAAAATTTAAGGACCTCCAGGAGGCCCACAAAAAATTAAACATTTTTTATTAAAAAAAAGAGATTGTCATTATCTAAAAAACCAGTGGTCAGATCTTGCGGTCAAACATATAAAAGATGTGAAGAATAAAAAGTTTAAAACAATGGTTTAATTAAAAAAAATTTAAGTTCACCAGGGGGCGCAAGAAAACATTAAAACATGTAAATTTTGTATTAAAAAAGCAGCGGTCAGTAATTATCTCGAGAACTAGTAGTCAGATCTTGCGGTCAAACATATAAAAATTGTAGACAATAAAAAAATAAAAATTATGGTCTACTTAAAAAAATTTAAAAACCCTCAGGAGACCCACAAAAGAATTTTAAAAAATCTATGAAAAAAGTGGTATTCAGTAAATATCTTGAAAACCAGTGGTCAGATCTTGCGGTCAAACATATAAAAGTTGTGAAGAATAAAAAGATAGAAACTAGGGTTGACATTAAAAAATTTTAGGTCCACCAGGGAACCCACAAAAAAAATAAAACATTAAAATTTTGTACTAAAAAAGTGGCGGTCAGTAATTATCTCGAGAACTAGTGGTCAGATCTTGCGGTCAAAAATATAAAAGTTGTAAACATTTATAAATTAAAAAAATGGTTAATAAAAATAATTTTTGGTCTACCAGAAAACCCATAAAAAATATAACATTTTTTTATTAAATAAAAATATAGGTTTTAATTTTTTGTGAGGTTCAAAAAAATTTAAATTTTTTTAATTTAAATTATTGTTTACTTTTAAATTTTTAAAAACTTTTAAAGGTTTGACCGAAAGATCTGGCTTCTAGTTTTTCAGATAAACAATGATCAATATTTTTTTAATACAAAATTTTCATGTTTTATTTTTTTTGTGGGCCCCCTGGTGGACCTAAAATTTTTTAATGTCAACCCTAGTTTCTATCTTTTTATTCTCTACAACTTTTATATGTTTGACCGCAAGATCTGACCAATGGTTTTCCAGATATTCACTGACCGCAGCTTTTTTAATACTATATTTTCATGTTTTATTTTTTTTGTGGGCCCCCTGGTGAACCTAAAATTTTTTCAAGTGGACCCAAGTTCCTATCTTTTTATTGTCTACAACTTTTATATGTTTGACCGCAAGATCTGACCAACGGTTCTCGAGATAATTATTGACCGCAAGCTTCCCATGTCTCACCGCAGTTAAGGCAATGCCCATTTTGAATCAACAAAATAAATACAAGTAATTTAATTTATCGGTTTACTGTATAAACCAATGGCAATAGATTAAACATTGCATCAATAATTATAAGAGAAATTATTGCCACAATAATATATACTGTTTGCTATATAAATAAAACAAATGTTGTATAATATAATAAACAGTAAAAATACTGTATATCTTTAGTAAGCAGTGCGCAAACCAATTGCCGAAACTATTGCTATTGAAACTAAATGACCCAAACATACAATTATTATTTTTTGTGACGGAATATACCAGAATCTCAAGCAATTGTTTACTATTATAACTTATTCAATATATAGTACAGTAAATTGCATATACATTATATTATATTATATAATTTTATTGCATATCTAGTGTGTTACTCATGTGTTGCATCACTTGAATGCAATCATCATTTTGTGACCAAATTTGTTGAAAACACATATCAAATTTTACTACTATTTAGTTTCGAGAGAAACTACTATTAATAAATGGTTTTCTTTATGATTATCCCGGATTTACAAAAATAAAATTATACTTATAATTAACAGCAACAAACAAAAAATCTTCAACTTTTATAACTATTATTATTAAGTGCTTAATAACTAGTGAGAGAATCAATTGGTTTTAAAACTAAATTATTTTTTTGCAAAAGTTTTTTCTACGCCTAACAACAAAAATTGTGTACAGGTAATATTAACAATATTAGATATATATATATATACGTATTTATAATACTTTTACATTTATTTAATTATATTTAATTTAACTTAATGATTTTAAGATAATTTCTACATGGCAATCTGAGATAATAAAAAACTTATAAACTAAAAATGTTATTTACAAATAACATTAACGGTAATATAATTAAATATTGTGTAACATGTTTACATGACTGTAATAAATTTTTCCTATCATTTAATTTTTAATACTTTGACAATTTATACATGTATTTATTATATTAATAACAGATAATTGCCTACTGTTTTCAATTTCAAAAATATAATTAAATACTTTTATTTAAAAAAAAATATTTAGCAAAAACTTGCTATAAAACAGGTAATAGGTTTACTATTTTAAAAAAAATACAAATCACTTATTCAATAATTTAGATAAGTTAAAGGTGTGGGTGTGTTTTCATATAAAATTATTAATTTTATCATTTATTTAACCTTATGACATCAATATGATGACTAATAAAATTGAAATATATATTTGCATACATTAAATAGTTTTCATAAAAATATAATAATATAGAGGTGGGGTGGGGGTGGGGGTGGGGGTGTGCAGGAGGCAATTCAATCAAATCTGTAAAACAAATAATTGCAAACATATTTAAACATAATGTTAGACAATAGTGTATGACATAAAACATGTGGTTTCAGAAATCGTTTCCTTATAAATAGGTTAAACATTCACTAAAAAACTTGTAAATAGTAAATAAAAAATAATTAATTCTAAATTTTATTTTATATTTTGTTTATTAATTTTATTGTTAGTTCTGTCATTATTTGTCATTATATTAATTTAGTTTTTAAAAATTGTAATTAAATATGTTATAAATATAGAAAATAACACTACATAGTATAGTAATTATAAATATTAATAGCTATAATAAATAAAATTTAGATTGTTTTTATCTATATTTAAATTAGTAAACAATTTTAATGATGTGACCAACAACATTATTTATAACTAACTTTAATTGTAAGTCATTTAATAAATTAAATTAGTTTCTCTTTCTCTCTCTCTCTCTCCTCTCTCTCTCTCTCTCTCTCTCTCTCTCACACACACACACACACACACACACACACACACACATAGGTAAAGGTGATTAATGTTAACAAAAATAGCACTTAAATAGAAAAATAAATTTTAAATAATTTATTCTCAAATAATTATACTGTATGCGTAAATTATTAACAATAATATTATAAAAATTTAATATATTTTATAGTTTGTTTTAATATAATTGCTATTTTAAAAAGTTTTATATTTAAATTTCATTAAACATTATTTTTTAAAACAAATGTTAAACAAAAATTTCACTTAAAGATTCATACAATAAATGTATTGTTATATAATTATTAATTATAAATATGATAATCTCTTTGGACACAATCATATATGATATGAATTTAAGTAACAAATAAGTCTTATTTTTTATTGTTAATTATTTACTGCATTACTATTTTTAACTAACAGCTATTTTAGTTAAAATCGCATGAAAATTATTAATTAATATAAATTTATTATTTATTTATGTAAAATATTTTTATATAAAATTTTTTAAATGTGATATATTTAAATAATCTAAGTATAAATAATTGTTTATATAATATTGTTTGATACGTAGTCTACGGTAAATCTATTAACTGATAATAGTTTTTTAATATAACAAATGTATGATTCATAAGCTATTAATGGCATTTTCACAAGCGATCAAATTTTGAGATATTTTTTTTATTAAAAAACAGTTTTAAATTATTTCTGTTTAACTTTACATCAATTTATTGTTTATTTTTAGATCAAAAGATTATATTGAATTGAATATTTTGAATATAATTACAGTCAAGTGATGGGTAATAGTTTGGATAAACCAAAGACAGATAAGGACAGTCAAGAGGGCGATGGCAATGGGCTCAGGTATGCTCTGAGTTCAATGCAGGGATGGCGGCTTAAAATGGAAGACCGACACTGTATACGTATAGGTCTGGATCAGCTTAAGGACTGGAGTTTCTTTGCCGTATTTGATGGTCACGCGGGTGTGCACGTGGCCGCTCATTGTGCCGAAAATTTATTGAATACAATCATTAAAACTGAAAAATTTAGTAATCATATGATTGAATTAAATAACGATAAAATCACTGAACAAACCATTGATTTTGTAAAGAAAGCCATTGAGGATGGATTCTTGGAGTTAGACAAACAAATGCAAAATATGCCCGATATTACGTCCGGTGAAGATAAGAGTGGTACGACTGCTATCTGTGCGCTCATATCGAAAACACATATATTTTTGGCCAATTTGGGTGACTCGCGGGCACTGTTATGCCGTGCGGGTAACGTTCAGTTTGTTACCGTAGATCATAAACCAAATGATCCTTTAGAGAGACAACGTATTCAAGAAGCCGGCGGTAATGTCATGATATCGAGAGTCAATGGCTCGCTAGCCGTCTCCCGAGCTTTGGGTGATTATGAATATAAAAATTCAAATAAAAAGCCATCCGAACAGTTAGTTTCACCCATACCTGAAGTGAGCGTCACTAAGATTGATATAAATGATGAGTTCCTTGTGCTGGCCTGTGATGGCGTCTGGGATGTCATGACAAACGAAGATTTGTGTGCTTTTGTCAGATATCAGATGACAATTGAGTCCAGTTTGAAGACTATTTGTTCCAATATTATCGATACCTGTCTCCACAAAGGTAGCAAAGATAACATGAGTGTAGTTGTAGTTGCATTTGCCGGCGCACCCACTGTTGACGCCAATGCCCAACAACTAGATAAGCAACTTAACAGTCAATTAGTAGCGAAAGCAGAAGAAATAATGAAAGAAAAACCAAACCATAGTTTTCAAAATCTTATTGAAGATATAAAACAAATTCAATGGTCACCACTACCGGATGGCGTCGGTCTTCACGCTAAGTATACTATTATTGAAGAGATTTATAATAAATACAAACCAATACAACCAAAAATGTCATCATTGTCTTCATTGTCTTCATCACGATCTCCGGATTTTCATAGTTTTGATTAGATTTTTTGATATCAGTCACTCACTTATAAATAAACTTATTTCTTTCATCAATCAATTGGCACTTAACTATTAACTATAAGGTCAATAGATACTAAATACCCTAAATTGCATATCGGATTGGGAGGACTGACACCAACTACAATAACACAATATGATTTCCCCTTAAAAAAAAGTCACGATAAACATCATTAAGTAATTGTCTCCTAATTTTTACAAAAATAATAAGGAAGTAAACTGCTTTCGGCTTAATTTTGTTTTTGTTGTTAATCTATAGTAATAATAATAATAATAATAATGATTAATTATTTGTGTATTTTATATAATAATTTCGACATAATTCTATTAAATTTGAAATATTTTACTAAAAAACCATGAAATATAATTAATTTTTATGTTAAAATATGATATTTAAAAAATGTTAAATACTAACATAATTTATATTAATTTATTGTGCAATTAAAAAATAACATACAAACACAGACACACATACATACATACATAGACACATACAATACTTAATATAGTAGTAAATTATTAGAAGTGTATTATTAAGTGTAATCATCAAATTAAAAATATGTACTAATTTTTTTAATGATTATTTAAAATTATCGTAATTTGATGCATTTGACTGCAATGGGTGCTAATTATTGAACATTTTATGCAAATTATAACTATTTTAATCGTTTAAAAAATCAAATATTTAATAGTTTTAACATTGATTTTTGTGAACGTCAATCGACTGATCCACTGAATTGGACTTAATTTTTTTGTTGTTGTTATTTATAGTGAACTATCAAATTTGGCAAAAAAAGCATTTTTTCTCAGATTATATAAAAATATGAGAAAAAATTATTCATAAAATTAAATGAATAGAAAAAAACAACAATAAAAAAATAAAAAGTGTCTCTACAAGGATAGAAGTCCAATAAGTTAAAGTAATCTTGATTAAATTATTAATAATAAATTATCTTAATTGAAAATTATTCACAAAACAAAAACAAAACTTTTTTTTTAACAGTGACATTAAACTTATTCAAACACTAACAGACCCTGACTTACTTAATTAAAACAAAAAACTATCCAAATTATCGGCAAAATTGTCAAAATAAAACATTTATTAATATATATATGTATTTATTTATATTCGTGAATGTATTTTTCCAATTTTTTGTTGTTGTTGTTATTTTTATTTTTTTTACTAATATTACTATTTTTGAAGTCACAGGTAATAGTAGTACTGTAGTAGTAGTAGTAATAATAATAATTTTTTTGCATTACCGTTATTATTACACACACTTTTAATGATGTAAAACTTTTAGTTATTTTTTATTTAAAATTATATCAATACTTATTTCCAATACTGTTATTATAATAAATTAAAAAATTATTTTTTTAAAAAAGTGTTAAGCAATAAATTTGATTTTTCTGATATATTTAATATATTACTTAAATGACTTTATTTTGTTTTTATTGACTTTTTTTAATTAATTCACGTCATTGGATTACTATTGAAATTAATAAACAATTTATTAGTTAGAAAAAAATTTCAAAATCATGTTAAATATACAATAATCCGATTGTTGTCGTAATTGATTTTGTCATTTCCACATAAAAAATATTATATAAATACAGATAATATGATACAAACACGTGATAGTAATGTACTAGAGATAGGAAGGGAAGGAATGGGAGAGAGAGAGAACAGAGAGTCGGGATTCAGGAATGGGAGTCAAATCAAGAGAGACATACATTTAGATAGTGTGTGTGTGTGTGTGTGTACTGTGTATTAATATATAGATTTACTGTATAATATATGCCAGCAATTTGTATGTCTCGTCAATCATATATAAATATGCCGTTTTGTGCAAAAATTCAATGCTTATGTTGTAAGCCAACAGTAGTTGAAACACAATGATGTGGTTGTAATTTCAGCTAAAAATATAATAATAATAATATAAGTCTGTCACTGACTTTGTGTTGAGTTTTTGCCAATTATTTTAATTTAGTTTTTTTATTACTATTTGCTAAACTCATTATTTGTTTCATTTATTAGTTAACACGGACACTGCCATTACAGTATAAAATCAGTTTATAATAATTTATAAATTACTATCAAATATAAGTTATAATATTAATAAACCTTTTAGTTTACCTTTTAATTAACAAGTTAGTCAACTTATTCTAATATACTGTATATATATGTATATAAGTATTATAAAACTAAATATTCTGGTATTCAGTAAACTATTGCTTAGCTATTGAACCCATAGCTTATCTAGTTTTTTGTTTAATAAAAATAAGTCAATCGTCAAAGTATCTGTGCTCTCAACCATGTCGATGGTGTCCAACTATAGACGATTTATTATATTATTGTGCGGTCTCATCGAGAATTTGATATTCTCGGGAACGGTATTTGGTTGGCCGGCCCTCTTCTATATGCTTAAGAGTGAAGGCATTTACGAGCACTGGTGTCTCAATGTTGACAGTGATAGTCACCATCAGGTGTCTAATAAAAGACATTTGTTGGATAATTTGACGACACTTTTGTATGACGACACTATCAATGATATCGATTCAAACATATCTGAAATAACAAAACTGGCGAACAATTTGGAGGACTTTTGGTCGCCAAATGAAACCATTTATAAGACTAATGATATTCAGGTATGTCTTCAAAAAACTTTTTTTGTTACAATTTTTATTATGTTTTCACCAAAAAAATATATTTTATAAACTAAAAATGTTTACACATTTTTTAGCAGACGCTCTAACCTAAATTATTAAGTGTATGTACAGTACTTATATATATATATAATATTTAATATATATTATTGTAAATATCAATTTTATTTACACGAAAATAAAAATCTCAGTTAATGCATTATATATTACATATACATTAGATAACTATATATTTTGAACCACAACTCAAAATAAGTTATTTTTCTCCATGTACTACAACTACATGTAATTAATTAATTTGCCTTAAATTCAATAGCAAATAAATAAATAAATATTTTCCATTAAACAACTTCAGTGTTGGTTAACATTTATTTATTTAAAATTTACTTACATTTTAAGTAAACAAGGTTTAGTAATATTTTATTTAAAATAAAAATTAAATTTATGTTACGGTAAACTAAATATTTACATTATCATCCGATAACCTTGCTATCATCAACAAAATATGCTATTGTTTAAAGTTTCAGTTATTTATTTATCATTAACTACTGTAGATTCAAGTTGTAGCTCATTATAAATAACTCTAAAATATATTAATAAATTTATGTTATTTTTATTATTTAAAAATATCAAAAAATTCATTTTACTGAATATATTAACCCAATATTTAAAAAACTACTTCAATATATTGTAATTGCAAAGTCAGTAAAATAGACAAACAATCATCAAAACAAAAGTATTTGACATATAAATAATAATTTTTTTATTAATATGATTTTTATTGCCATTTAGATAATACAAGACTGTACGGCACAGGAAAACATCCTAAACCTGGCCTATACTATAGGAATATTCTCTATGGGTTTTACATCGTTTATATGGGGATTCCTACTCGAGACATGGGGTCTGAGGATAGTTAGACTATTATTAAAGTAATTTGATATCAATATATATATATATATATATATATATATAATGTTTATAAATAATATTTTATTATCTTATAATTATTTCTATCTAACAATCATTTTTTAGCGCACTTATTACTTGTGGATGTATTTTACTATGTTTAACGAGCAAAGGTATATATAAAAAAATAAATAAAACATTTGTATTAAAAAAAAGGGAAAAGTCATCATCTTTTTTATTAGTTAAACTTAACTATCAGTGACACATAAAAATATAAGATTATTAAATTAATGTATTTATTATTACCGGTACATTTATTTTACTTATTTTTCAATTAGTTTAATAAATAAATAAAATTATTATTAGATTAAATAGCTACCGTAAATTAGGGTACAAATATTATAAATTATAATTTTGCAATCAATGGCACAATTATATTTAGCAACACATAAAATCGGCTAATAATGTCTAACTTTCTCATATAAAATACCCTATATATATACAAATGTAAATTTTAAATATAAATTTAATATAAATATGCAAACTATATAAACTATATAAATATGCATTAACTATGCAAATACCGTATAAATATAAGACTAATAGTATTATATGCATTTAGAGCGATCATACCTAATAGTGCCGGCCATCATATTGTTAGGTTTGGCTGGAGTTCCTCTACGTATAGCAAACATGCAAATCGCTGACTATTTTCCATCCAAGAGGTCGACTGTTATAACCTTCTTCAGTGGTGCATTCAGTGCGTCTCCCATTGTATTTGTTTTACTCAAATACATCTACGACTCGGGCGTCTCCTTCTTCACTGTGATATTGATTTTAGTTATTTTAAGTCTATTTATGATTCCCTTTACGTTATGGCTATTGCCCGCCAAAAGTGTCAAAAGTGACGATAAAATTAAGCCCAATATTGAACTCAATTCATACAACCAGTCATTAGAAAAGGAAAACTTAGCCAAACTGTCCAAAGAGACTAACGGTGCCAATGGTGTGACTAATGGCAAACATTCGACTAATGGAAACAAAGATGAAGAAGAAGAGGTATTTATCAAATCAAATGATAGGCCTCTAAAAGACACAGAGGATACCAGTGCTGATGTGCCGTTAGGTGTTTCCTTGTGGTCACTATCCTTCACTTTTCATCAATTGTGGTTTTCTTGGCTCAACACTTATATGGTATTATATTCGGGATCAATGAACTTATGGTTAGATAGAGTGACCTCAGACACGGCAATTGCCGGTGGTTTTACCGAGACGTTCGGTATCGTGCAAACCAGCGCTCTGGTCATCGCACCGATTGCTGGCCTCTTTATGGATCGCAACATCAATCGAGCAAACAAAGAGTCGGATCCGTTTCGCCGCAAACTGAGTCGCGCACAATCGGGTTTCATACCAATACTGGTCACCTCTATTATGTTGACCTTATCAGTGATCTGTCGATTCTTCAATACTTCCAGTGCTGTCTATAGTTCTATTGTTTTTATAACTTTGTTGCGATCATTCCTCGTGGCCGTCGCCTCGGCTTACATTAGGATCAGGTAGTCATCACTTTTTTCAAGACATGTTATATTACGGCTACCGGTAATAAAAATAGACTAATTGTTTGTCTTTCATTTAGATTCAATGCAAATCATTTTAATCGATTGAATGGCATAATGTGTACAACGAGTGCCATCTTCTCATTACTACAGTTCCCACTCTTCATATGGGAATCGCATTCACATCAACACGCCTTTTGGGTAAACCATTTAATTTAATTTAATTTATAGTATCGTTTAATTATAATTACTTGTTATGTCACTATCACCATAAACAGGTCAACATGTTTTGTGTGATATCCACAATAATCTCATTCACAAATCCATTGTATCTCATCATAACTCCGCTCCAGAAGTTTCTATTGAGAAAAGAAGTAGAATTGGAGGGCAAGTCTAGAGCTCAGACAACATGTTAAGGACATTACCATCAGATGATGGCATCGATATATCATTGATAATCACTAATATATAAATATATTATTCATTTAATGTGTTTTTCAAACAAACAAACAAATAGTTGTCAAAAAAAGTTGTTGGACTCAACTCTAAAAAATAATGTCTTTTATTATCTGTTATTAATTAATCCATTGATTAATTGACTACCAATTGGTCGTCAAATTGTTTTGTTGTTAAATATATATATATATTGTTATGTCTTTTATTATTATTATTATTATTATTATTATTATTATTTTCAATGAACCACTTCTTGATTATATTGTTATCAAATAAGATATTGAATGAAACAAAACAAAAAGTCTTTCAAATATAGGTATATATACTATAAAAATAAATATTAATACAAATTATCTATATTTATATATTAATTAAATATATTTATATAGATTTATTAGTTCATTAGCTAATTAAATAAAATATACTATAATATTAGTAAACTAAACTAAACTAAACTAGGTCATTTTATATTATAGATAAATATTACCTGAATAAGTAACAATCATTATAAGTGAATACTACTGTATTATTAATTTTAATGTTATCAAATTGAACATGCACAATTATTTTTGTTTTGACACATAAAGTTCTAATAGTATATTAATAAATAAATATACATTTAAAAAATGATGATGGTCATATTAATAATTAGTCATCCTATTGGTTAACAATGTAATGTATATTAAGTTACTGTAAATTACTGTACTATTAATATAAACACGTATTTTAAAATCACGTGATAACCAGTTATACAGTATTTACATATAATTAATGGCTCTCTGATTGGTCCAAATGTGTCAACTGCTGTATCACATGACTTACACACACATTGACAGTGCATTCGATAACGAAAATGATTTGTCGAATGTATTGATTGATCGAAATTTGACCGAAAAATAAGTGAACGAAACTATAAACCATTTGAAGGATGTTTTCCACGCAATACTCTATGATGTCATCGATGGTCAACAACACAGTCACCACATTCGGTGATCGCATGAATCATACACCACGTGGTCGGGGTAGAGGTAGAGGTAGAGGTCGCGGAGGTATTGATAGCAATGTTAGCGTATGGGATGAGTCCGGCGGCGGTATTAATGATCAACGATCTAATGGACTGGTGATGAACAACCCGTACAACGGCGACAACGGTTCTGACAATGATTACCGATCGAGACAATGGACATCGGGTGGCAATCGATCCGATCGACCGCAACATCGAATAACGTGCTTTAATTGCGGCCGATTCGGTCATAAGCGCAACGATTGTCGTCAACAACGCGGTCAAAATCGGCGGCACAGACCTGACCACATATCAACACAAGTGGCCAATGAATCGACGGAAGTGTTATTCGATGAAAGTTTTAAAGATTCGACTTTTGTCGACAAGTTATCGGAGGACAAGTTGTCACTTATGCCGCAACTTAAACATTACTATTTGAATGCCAGTCTCAGTGATCTAATGATTCGCATCGATGGCCAATCATTTTCGGCGCACAAGTTTGTCGTTTCGGCCAAAAGCGATGTTTTGAAAGATATGCTCTTCAATGGCGAAACCAATGAGTTTGTTGCCGACAATGTAATCGATTTGTTGGACATTAATGTCGACGCTTTCAAATTGTTTCTCAAATTTATGTATTTCGAAGATCTGACGGACGAATTGGTCGACAATCACAAGATGATCGGCGAAGTACTCAAACTGGCCGTTCGTTATAAGTTCGGTCGATTGGAAAAGTTTATCGAAGACATGATTACCAAAAACGCGAAGATTGTGTCAAATTTATCAGAAAAGTTACATCAATTGGTGACCACAAGTGGCGACAATTATATGGCCGACAAAAAGCAAATGATCGATGAAATTATACAAAAGTTGAGCACAAATATCATCGAAAGTGTCTTCACCGACGACACACCAAGTGAGTCGTCGGGTGGAATCAATTCTCTTGTTGGCAAAGAGTTTATCGAATCGATTCCAATTAGCGATATGTCCATTGAAGACATTGTGGTCTTGAAGCGAATCGGTGTTGTCGATGAAACATCGTTTGCAGACATTATCGTTAAAATGTGATCAACGACTGCACCAATAGTTTGTTTGATCAGTATTTTGATCACAATTTTGTTTTTCAGTCATTTATTGTCTTAAAAATGTAAATTTGGTTTTTATTATATAAGAATTTATTATTTTTTGTCTATGAATTTCTACTGCTTTTTTAATAACTAAATTATACTATATTTTGTATTAACCGATAATATCATATTTATATACTGTATATTAATATTTGAAACTTCATTTTAAAATAATAATAATTGATTGTCATTTTATAATATTGCGGTAATTATTTCAAATAACTGATCCATTACTGTAACCATCGGAAGTGAACAATAAATCTGATGAGAACTCTGTTAACATTAAACACAACGTATTCGTTGTAATCGCCGTAATGTTGTGACAGCGATGTCTTTTTGTGAACATTTTCAACTGTCTCACCCATCGGTACCTCAATACTGTCACCAAATATAACCGGATCATTAGGTTCGGGTATATATTTACCGACACCTTTAATACTATTGTAACCATCGGGTGGTCTCGTGTATGGTTTCGGACATTCTGTTTCATACCTGTTTCAAAAAAAATTTAAAAATTATTCAAAGATATAAGTGATGATAGAATTGAGACATACATTACTCCTGAGGACACTTCGCATAACAAAAGAAAGCCATTGTTCTGTTGGTCACAATATTGACCACTTTTGGTCGCTCTATCGGCAAAATAAATGCCTTTTCCAAACACAAGTTTGTCATTATCGGGAAGTTTGAAGCCATTGGTCAATATTCCGACTATATTTGTACATTTGGTTCCGTGCCATAGGAGTAACCGTTTTTGCCGATCATATCCGCGCTCAACAAATCTTTTTTCATGATCTTTACGATAAACGCTATATATTTTCACTATTTTGATTAATCTCTGCACAGGTATGTCTTTAACCACAGTTTTTTCACTATTGACTATATATTGATTGACGAATTGACTTTCACGGCAATCACTGGACATTGTCATCAATTGATTCAAACGATGCAATATTTTTATTTGATCTAAATTAATGAACAACTGTTGACTTAACTCATTAAGTTGTATATCATTTAAAACTGATTGTTTGCTATATGTTTGTTGAAATATATTTTGATGATTAGTACATACAATAAGTCCATTAAAATCACCGCAATTACAAAGTTGTTTATAATTTGAGATAATACTAATGTAATTGTGTTGACGGTGTTGACCATTGATGAAACACTTCTCGCAGATAACCAGTTGTTGGTTATTGACATCACATGTCAAACATTTGTAAACTTTTGCATCTTTTTTGCATATATTATGACACGAATTGTTATAACTTTTAACTAATTTTTAATTGGAAATTAATAAACAAAAAATAACATTATTTTTTTAAATATTTTTTTTTAATAATTAAGTTAAAAAATATTTTTTACCTATTATTGACATTTTAATAATTACAAATATTAATATATATATATTTAAATGATACAACTTTTTACACTAAAGCATAATATATTATTTACATTTGTTATTTTTAAAACAATTATTTTAATTATGATATTTTTAGAGGTTTCATAATAAGTAATTTTGTGTAAAACTGTATAAAATTTCATCAATCAAAAGATAATAATTAATTTGATTATTTTGCAAAATAAATACATGATTGCAAAAATAATTATTATTCAATATTTTACACTTTCAGTAATACAAATAACAATTATAAAATTAGTTATATTTATTATGAAATATAAACGATATTATATTGCCAATTATACTATATTTTTGTATTAAATTAAATATTTATAAACTAGATTTTACTAAATTATGAAAATATAAAATAAATAAAAGTTTTTTTAAAGTAGATATTTGATATGCTACTGTATATGTTATATAAAATAATCATGATAAATTATAACATATATTAAAAACATGTTTTAAATATATTAAATAGTTATAAATATTTAAACATAATATTAATCAGTTAATGTTTTATGTCAATCAAAATTTTATATCTTTAATTTAGACATTATTTAATATCTAATATCTAATTAAATATCATTCTTAGAAATAAAGTACTAATCAAAAGATAAAACAATTTTGAAAACGGTATAAAATTTGTTGAAATAAAATTAATATTAAATAAAGTATAAAAATCTGTTTAATAGCTTATAATTTTGTTGATCATATTATTTGCATTTAATAATACATAATAAACTTAAAATCATTTTTAAATAATTTAATGCCATTTTTTAAATTAAAATAATTTTATTAATGATTATTTAGAAAAAATTCGATACATTTGATAAAAATGTATTTAGAAAATATTAATATAAAATGTAAAAATTATTTTATAAAAATTATAACTATATGATCAAATCTATAAATTTTGTTTATATTTATCAATATAAATTATAAATAATAATTTTAAAGTTTTTTAATAATATTAAATTAAAAATGTAAATTAATTATCAATTTAGTGTAATATTAATGTCAAAAAAATGTTTAAAACATTTTATCAAATGATTAATTTTGTATCATTCGTATGATTATATACTAAGTATAGTACATCAAAATGATAATCACATAAAAGTACAGTCAATTGCACTAAGTTATAGGTATAGTTGTCAATATAAAAAAAATTACACTTAAATATAATATAAAAATAATATTTATATTGTATTTAGTGTTTTTGAAATACTATTTCTTTTACCAATTGATATATCATTTTTTTTTATACGGCAATCATACTTATGATTTAATGCATTTGAATTATACATTTTGTAGATATGTATTTATAATGATAGGATAAATATCTTTAATAGATAAATATATTTATATATAAATTTATCTATTATATACTGTATATATAAATTTATATATGAATATAATAATAATATTTAAGGTAATTAATAAATAGTAAAAATGATTTAATTAGATATAGGTTTTGTAAACTTTTGTTTGAACAAAAGGTTTGTATTCATCGGGAATTGGCGGTGATTTATATCCCGGATCGGTGACCAACTTTGTCGAACTACTGTCCGAATTAGAATACTCGATGTGTCCGTTTGGTGTCATATCAACCGATTTGGCCAACAATTCTCGGAACAATTTGTTTTGCTGATCGGGATTCAGTTTCTCGATTTGCTGGTTCAGTGTTATGATATCATTGCCTTTGTTTGGTCTTTCATCCAACCGATAGTCGCTTTTGTTTGGTCTCTCATCCAACCGATAGTCCCCTTTGTTTGGTCTCTCATCCAACCGATAGTCGCCTTTGTTTAGTCTTTCATCCAACCGATAGACAGAAACAGGCAGTTCCTTGACATAAGTGGTAGGTCCAGACTCTCCGTCTGACTCTTTGTAGTCAACGCGGCCGTAGTGTGGCATCGGTGGCATTTGTGCCGGTCGGCCATGAGATAAGTCTGGTGCTGAGAGTTGGTATAGTGCTTGTGGATGTGATACAGATCCAATTGGTTGGTCATATTTAAGCGGTGGTACCGGTGCTTGAATAATATTGTGACGCAGCGGATGTGGCTCTGGTGGAGGTAACTGAGCAATAGGTCTGTTGAAATGTCTTGCTTGTGGTGGCAGCTCTTGTCGGGGCATTTCTAATATAGGTTGAGGCATATGTTGTTGTGGTTCGTTGTGCATCATTGGTGGCAACATCTCTCGTGTTTCGTGAATTGGTGGACGGGGTATGGATTTGGGAGCCATATGTTTGTGTTCTTCAGGCTGTCCCTGACTAATGGTATGAACTACTGGTTCCTGTCGACGACTTTCAACAATGCGTTCCAATATGTAGGGCTGTTGTTTGACTTGTCGTGAATGTATTGGTTCTCTTTGTTCAATTGGCTCTTTAGACATAATTAGGTGTGGGTTGTGGTAAGGAGGTGGTGGTGGAGCATAATTTGGAACGGAATGTGGAGGTGGTGGTGGCAATGGATAAGCGGGTGTCAATGGCTGGGAATGTGATTGCGAGTGCAAAAATGGCATGAATTTTTGTAGAGGTTCCGGTTCTGAGACCAGTTTGATTCTATAGTTTGGTGTTGAAATTTGATGAACAGTTTGTCTTTCATTTTTGTTCAATTGCTGTGCATGTGGTGCAGATGCTGGAGGTGGTGGCGGCGGTGGCTGTAAGTATCCCATCTGAGGTCCGACCGGACGATCATAGCTTCTGTGCTCTTCTCGAGAATATGAAGGTCGAGAGTGTTCAACACTAGGATATCCTTTGGGAATATTCGAGTGTTTTTCTTCATAAACTGGGATCAGATTTGGCTCATCGTATGGCTTTTGGGAGGACGGCTGTGATGTATAGATGGGTGAGTTTGTGTCACTTCCGTAAGACAATGTATTTACAGGACTGGGAGCATATTTAGGTGAAGGCGGCTGCCATTGATTGGTTGGAGAATCCTTTTCCAGCAATTGATGTTTTAGTAGATTCAGAATAGTTGAACCCATTTCTGGCGATTTAACGTTAAATTTTCTACTATTTGGTTGATGTGAACGCATAGGCATCGGTTGAGACGGTGGCGGAGGTCGAGATAACTCAGCCGGACTGTTGTGTTTGTATTGAGACAAATCGCCAAACATTTCCGATTTAGGATTCGTCTTTGGACTGTCGTGTCTGATCTCATAGACATAGGAATACTGACAGTTCAGACATTTGGCTAAACTTAAAATTCCGATAATTAAATACCAAGACTTCATTTTTTTCGTGGTTTATTTGATTAACCAAAATATTCTGCAAGTTTTCAATAAATATATATATATATATATATATATATAATGTTTTTTAAATATTAATAAAATAATGTAAATAAAAAATATTTTACTAAATAAATATTTAATATTTTATAAGAAATATATATTTAATTTAGAAGTAAATATCAAACAATAAATTCAAATTTGCTTCAAATTCATTGAACGTATAGTCAGAAAATGATATGACTTTTGATTCAAACAAAAGTTTTCACTCACTTTCTCTTTGATGATCTTCTCGTCAATTGTTTTATGAAAAATAATAACTAATGAATTGAAACGACGACTCTTTGGCACAAAAAAAACTTTTAATACAACAAACAATAAACAACAGAAAAGAGAGACGATTGAGATGATTATAGGTGTTGTTGTGTTTTGTAGTGTTTTATTTAATTTGCTTTATTATAAAAGCAATAATAATAGCGGTTTCTCTCTGTTTTGAATAAAGAGATCACTTTCTCATATTATCACGAATTAGTTCAGTGTTTGAGCCGAGAATGAAATTATTTAGACAACAATCGACTCATAAATATTATATTATATACCATCAACTCATTGAGGTTTGTCTTGTATTTAAATATTATATATAAATCTCCCTAAACTTTAAACAAAAACAGTTAATTAGATTTAACTCGGATTTGTTTGTCCCCTCCACGTGATAGCCGACGCCAACATACCTGTGCTTAGAAAAGTTGATTTTTATGCAACTTTTACTCTCTCTCCTTCTCTCTCTCTCTCTCTCTCTCTCTCTCTCTCTCTCTCTCTCTCTCTCTCTCTCTCTCTCTCTCTCTCTTACTTTCTCTTTCATAAAATTTTTAAAAAAAAACATTTTTTTAATGATATCAATCGTATCCGATGTTATCTCTGAAGTGAATAATAAAATAATAATAATAATAAGCATTTTGAATAAATAGTAAAATAATATAAAAAGAAGAGAAATATAATGATCTCTTTATTTTATTTGCATTTTAATCTCTCTTTTTATAAAATTGAGATTAATATTAATTTACAATAATTAATAAATATTTTTTATTTATATGTTTAATTTTTTCTTATTTAAAAACATTATTTTGATTTAAATAAAAACAAAATTTATTTTTTATTATTTTTTTTATTAAAAAATACATGAGATTTCCTGGTTATATGGGACTCACTATACTGTATACATGTTGTTGTACTATAATCACACTGTTATTAGTGTATTACTATTGTTACTGGTGTTATCATTAACAACAATATTGTAAAATGCACCGTATGTTATATATGTTTTAGTGGTATCATATATTTAACTTATTTTATTATATATACTTATATAAATTTATATATATTATCCACCCATTCATCCACTGATGTACTGACCCTTTGCCTTCAGGCGCTGTGACATAACAGTTAAGGTTTATCACTAAAGTCAAAAAAGTCATAATTTAATTAATGACACAATAGTTTGTGTGTGTGTGTGTGTGTGTGTGTGTGTGTGTGTGTGTGTGTGTGTGTGTGTGTGTGTGTGTGTGTGTGTGTGTGTGTGTATGTATGTGTCTATATGTTGAAGTGTTTATTAACATATCTACATTTTTTTGTCTAATTGTTTTAATGTTACTAATATTGTAGTCATCAAACCATTAGACCATTAGTTGTGGTCATAAAAATTAGGTCATATCTTATGAGTTCCTCTCACTATTACTTAGTGAACATTCCCTATAATTTTTTTTGAAATTTTATTTAAAGAGATAAATTTATAATTTATAATTAGATTTCATAAAAATTCTATTTTTTTACAAATTATTATTAATACTAAGTCATAAACATTTAATTTGTTAGCAATATTATCATTAGTTAAACTTTTACTGTTATAATTAAATATTGGAATAAAATGATAGAAATGGTCATAAATTACAAGATTATGATAAAAATTAAAAAGATTTTTATAATTAAATTTATTTTTAAAGTTATAAAATTATTTTTAATTACAAAACTAATTATTTTTAATTACAGAACAACTAATTAATTTCCTAAAATTACAAATTTAGACCAAAACATTAGTCTTTATTAAAATTAAAGTAACATCAAAGCTAAAAATAATAAATTTCAATGCATTTTATTATTATATTTTATTTTTATTATAAATTAAATTATCCATTGCTATAAAACATCAGCATAAAACAAAACAAAAAATAAAATGAAAATGTTTAAAAATAAAATTATTAATTATTAATAATTATTATATTTTTTTTATTTATACGTTTGTTTAACCACACAATGTGTATCAAACTATAGATAATTGTATTGTAAAAGATTTAAAATATTGTATTATCTGATGTTACACACCATTAGTAAATTTATAGTTTATTTATTATTGTTATATAATCTTTTTATAATTTTAATTTTATCTCTATGAATATAAAATAAAACCCACGAAAATTATAATACATTAAAAATGTTTTTATTATTATTATTTAAACTATATTTTATATTATATTTATTATACAGTAAATATAGCATTAATTATTGTATAACGATATAAATAAAATTAGGGAAATATTAAAATATTTATATATTTATATTGACTTAAAAATAATAATAATAATAATAATCTACAATAAGTTGTTTTAACAGTACAGTATTGTGCTTTAACTAAATTATAATTTTTTATTATTATTATTAAATTAATAAAAATAATAATACAATTATTTCTGTTACAATAAATAATAATTATAAATAATAATAATCTGGTCATCAAAAAAGTGAATAAATAACAAATAAATAAAATACAAGCCATTCATTATTAGATGTGTTAATATGATTATTAAGCCTGATATCATTAGACAATAATTTCTAATGCAATAATTTGTATTGTATTTACTCCACACAACAACAAAAATATTTTTTTATATATCCAATAGTATAATATAAATATTATATACATTAATTGAAAATTATATTTTTTATTTAACACTTGTGTCTCAAAAAAAAAAGTAAGCCGATAAGATTATTTTTGAAACAATACTCAATTACATGTATATAAATCATAATTAATTACAAAAATATTGTCTTAACTATAACTTTTTTATGTAATTCAATTGAATTGTATATATATACTGTTATGCAACATATACTATATGATAATAATTTATTTAAAAAGCGTATAATTTATTTACAATTTATTTATAATGATTTCAACAACAATTTTAAACAATCAACAACTATTGCACTAATTACCTATCAATATAAAGTACCGTATGTTCTGACATATTGTTGCACTTTATATAACTTATAAGTTGTGTTTTTAAGTTTATAAGTTTCTAGATATTAATTAATATATGCTATAATGTAAATATAGTAATTTTTATCTAAAGTTTAAACTAAATTCAATAGTTTATTTTAACTTAGTTATTAATAGTTGGTAGATATACAAAAAATTCAATAGTTGATTAAATTTTACAAGTTATATACAGTTTATGAAAATAAGATTTAATTAAATAAATATAAAAATTTGTTTTAGTGGGTAAAACGGTATTAACACACACTTTTATTATTAAAATTACAAATATGATGATTATCCTTAATGAGCCTAACATCCTAAATTTATCTAGGACAATTATTTGGTAAAACATATAAATTGTGTATTTATTTTTTAAAAATTATATACTATATACAGTATTTACCAATTTAATAAAAAATATTAACAATTTATTTTATAAATTACATTTATTTAAATGTATATATTTATATATATATATAATCTATTTCAATATATCAAATGTTAGTTTAAATATGTAATCTATTTTTATTATTTTTAAAATTAAAATAATATTATTATTAATACAATATTAATTCTATATGATTATTATGGTTTTTATTTAATAGTTATTATTTATCGATTTAAATCAATTTACAGTTTTCATAAAAATTATTAATTGATTACATTTTCGTGTTTCATTCAAATAAACTAAAATAATTTTAATCATATATCAATAAATTATATTAAAAATCTTGTTTATAACAAAAATAAATAAAATTTGGATCAAATTGAATTCAATACACCCAAAAATTATTAATTTATAATACATATTGATATTTTATACAATATTAAATTTATATTACTATTATTTTTGGTATTATTACTTTTTTGAATAAAAACAGTACAATTATTTTTATTATTATTATTATTATTATTAAAGACAATTTTTGACACAATAGCTAATTAAAAATCTAGTAATTCAGTTCAGATGTATTAGAGTTACAATATATTTATTTCCTAAATCTTATTATTTGTAATATTATTATTATTTTGATTAAACTAATAGTTTATTTAAATGTATTGAGAATTTATAAGCGCTTAAATAAATTGCATTAAATATTAAATATTTTTGTTTAATTACAATATATAGTACTGTATATAATAAGATCGTTTGTATCGATATTATAATTAAAGATTACGTTATGTCGGGTCATATGGCAATTATTAATTAATAAGTATATAATCTGTTCAATAATCAATGGATACTATTGATTAAATTAATTAATTAATATTGATAGATTATTGATAACTTGTTTATTGTGCAATGAATGTACTGTATATAAGTGATTTTGTAATTAAATAAAAATTTGTGATTAAATATCAATTTATTATATTTGTATACAAAGTATTATACTGTACTTTATTTAAACTTTAAATATACTGTAATTTTGTGAATTTTTATTTGTATATAAAATCATAAACATTATAATTAGTATAATAAGTAGTATTAGTATTAGTTTTTATAATTTTTAAACTGTTTAATAGTCTCTCAATTCAAAAAATAATTTAATTATTAATTTTGAATTTAATTTTATTCATATTATTTTATTTTTTAAAAATATAATGAACTTATTTAAAACTTTTAGAATATTATTTAATTAAAAATTTATCTGATTTAATAGCATTCAACTTAAAAAAAGTGCAAGATTTATATTATTAAATTTTTTTTTTAAATATAATGTTAACTTAAAATACAATTTATGTTTCTGTTTATATTTTATTTCTTATTATAATATTAAAAATAAATTTTGTTATTTGCATATAAATATTTTTTATATATAATTGTATTACTTTAAATTTGTATGGAAATAAAATTTAAAAATCTTATTTTTCCCATTAATATAAAAATAAAACATAAATGTAACATTATTATTTAATAATATATTACATTAATATGATTTAATAATTTTAAAATCTAGTAAACAACACAAAAAATTAAAAATTTTGAAATAAGTAAAGTTATGTAATTTAAATTGTTGATTAATTAACTCTCATATTTAATAAGCAGTGTAATAGTATAATAATAATGTACAAATTTTGTAAATATATGTATTATAATACAATTTATTATTATTTATTATCTATTATTATTTTATTAAATAATATAAGTTATAATTTATAAATATTATAGATAAAAAATAAAAACTTAAAATAAAAACATTTAATTGAATAATATTATACAGTATTATTTGAGACATAATATTGAATACTTATTCTTATACTATAAATATATTAATATATTACTTATTCAATATTTATAATTTCACTTATCATTAACAAATAATTTATATTAATAATTAAAAAATAATAATTTTAAGCATATGTTATAATGTTAGCAAATAGTAGTAAAGTAAATAAAAATAGCACATATTTAAGCATTATTTTATTAATAGCATATAATTATAGAAATTATTTGTTTGTTTGCAATAAACAATTAGCAAAATTTTATTTTAGTTATACAACAATACAATAACAGAAAAAATGCAATTCACGCGCACCTTATGTCTCATTAATTATCAAACAAAATATTTTTCCGGTGTTTAGCAGTAATTTGTTTGCAAATTAAAGGAAATCGTGATTTCATGTCTACTGGTTTTATTAGAAACAAAAAATCATAGATATGTTTGCATTTATATTATTACCATTGCTTTTCAACCCAATATCATAAGATATAACACGAAAATAATAGCATAGATAATATGATTTTTGTTGCTTTTATTATTATTACTACATAACAGATTATTATCGATAACAATACTTTAATAAATAAATAAATATATATATAATTTGATAAAAATAAACTTATATATATATAAAAAATGGGCACAATTTATATATCATATTAATAATGTTGACATTTCATACCAATGGGTTCAAAGTAATTATATTTGTATAATACAAACACCAACTATTTAACGCAAACAAATGAAATGATATACTGTATACATATGTATCATAAATATAATTGCAATCTTACAGGTATTTTCGTATTATAAATCACTTGCAAAATAGTTATACAGTATTTGTAATTTGAAACATTGAACATACGATAGAAATATAGTTAAGTTATGCAAAATGTATTTTTTTATTTATTTTAAATTGAAATGCAAGGACATCACTGCATATTACACAGTATTTCAAATACATTATATACTGTTTATTATAAGTTTAACATTCAATCAAACATTAAGCGCACAATGAAACCAACACTTTTAAAACAAAACATTGAAAAAATAGTATTACTGTCTATGTGTTAGAAATTACATGATGTCATCAATCGTATAATAAACTATACAATTGTTGGTATGAAAGTGTTGGTATGATTGTGCGCTTATTGCAAAAATGTTGTTTTTTATAAGTGAAAAATATTAATAAAATTGAATTGAATTGAATATTTAAATAACAGACAAAATTTAATTTAACATTACTTATTAGGCAATTAAACACAACTAATATTGTTATGTTATAAACAATTTACTTTCGTATACATATATTTTAAACTTTGTTTTACTATTAAAATCCAATTAAATTGTTTGTAAAAAATTTTATATCACTCATTACTCGTTGCCAAATAAGTTACTTTTAATAATATATTATTATCACAAATAAACTCTTTTCGATTCATTGGAAATATTATATGAATCTCATTGAAATTTATTTGCTTAAAATTAAATGTAAATTTACAATTACCGGTAATAATAAAATGCATCAATTATACAATTATCTATTCGGCACTTGATGTATATTAAAAACAAAAGTGTAAAAATCAATAATAATTATCATAATAATTGCAATAATGATCATATAAAACAATTGAGATTTTCGTAACATAATATAAAGTGTGTTATAACTTATGTATACGATATACTGTATATATAAACTAAAAAAATCAAATAACAAAAAAGAAAAAGTTATATACTGTACAATATAACTAAGAAAAGTGTGTATAAAATTGTAATCAAAAGTGAATTAATTAAGTAATAAAATATATAATAATTTTCATGTAATAAAACAAAAATTTAAAACAAATCGTAAATGCATTTCTAAACATTTGGTTATTTGAATGCAATAAAACAAAACTCTTATTCACAAAGAGAAGAGGTCGTCGTCAGCGAAAAACTTCTCACTGTTTTGACTTTCGTTTACCTCTTTTTGGACCAACTCTTGTAATTGTTCAAAGTTACCAATGTTCAGATTATTTCGCAATTGTTGTCCATTAAGTTTGTTGTCGTTAAATCTAATGGTTTTTTTAAAAATAAATAAATATAACCAATTAATAAACAGTAACAACAATTAAAAGATTTTATTTATTAAAAAATAGTTTTTCGTTGTTTTACTTGAAGAGGTTGTCGTCAAAGCTGGCAGTGGGAGGTCTGATGTTCTCATCAGTGCTGAGATCAATGAGAGGCCTTTCTGTAAAAGACTTTTTGTTCAATTCATTGCTTTCATGATTAGTGTTTGTTGTGCTCTGAGAAGTGCTATTATTGTCTCCATTATTAGCTATTTGTTGCCATTTGTCGTATGCGATACTGAATGCCTGGGAAATGGTTAGAGCCGTCGCCTCCGCGATCTTGCGTTTAGGGGTAAGGAATGCATGACATTCATGGGTCTCATTAGCGTTGGTGGCGATGAAGGCCACCACTCTATCGAAGGTGGCATCGGCTGAACAATAGGAGATCCTAATCATCCATAAATAGCACATTAGCAAAAAAAACAATATAAATATATATATTTTTAAATTGCTATTAAATTTACCGATAAATGGACAAATTGAAGAGCTCTTCACCACTATTTGAATCACTGGCACTGATGCCAACAGGCTTTACATTAATGGATACATTTCTTAACTTTTTGCTACTGACTTTGGCCTAAATATAATCAAAATAATTACATTTTAGTCAATCAATCACTTTATTATTATTATTACCATTTGTATGATTCGTTTGATGGCTTCGGCGGTCAGTATATCGCTGGACGGCTCCTCAATGACAGTACTGCCTAAGTATTTACAATAGAAAGTAATGCCTTCAATCACTGGCGCCTTACAGTCGGTCCAGTCTTCAGGCAGTTCTTTGGACAATCAAATAACAGCAAAAAACATATTATTATTATTATTATAATCATCAACTGATCCAAAGATAAAATTAATTGCAAACAACTTACTCTTATGTTTAGGCTTTTTGATGCCAAACGTCCTCAAGATTGCAGCCATTGTTATGTGTAAACCAAGTGATCAATTAATTGGATGCAAATGAATGCCTTTAGGCTGTCATAAGCTGTCAATGCATTTGATATTACATTTGATATAAACTATTAATACATATATTGCTTATTAACAATATTTAACTAATAATAATAGTTTTAAATTGCAATTATATATAAGTGTCGCACAAATATTAGTATTTAAAAAACACAACAAACATATAGTCAATAGTTTGAACTCTTATATCACAGTTTCAGAGATAACTGTCCCTTAAAAATATGGACCAAAAATGTTGTCCCAATTAATGTCAATGTCTTCAGCTTTTTATTACAACAGTACTGTAAAAGTATAATATAATAGCTATGAATGTGTTGTTAAATGTTTGTGAAGTCAAACACAACACTACTGTACTGTTATTATACAAACAGTAATACAATAATAATAATAATAATAATAATAATAGACTCGAAAACAGTCAAACATTAAATGCATTGCAAATTGATTTACAATAATAAAGTGTTTTTTAAAGTACAGGAGAACATTTGGTACTTTTTCTAATGTATTGTTTAGTACTGATATACATGATTTGTTGTATATATTAAATAATACCAAATTGTATATCAAAACAATTTTCCAGTTTATTTGTGTGTAAAACAAGCGCTTTAACAGTGAGTTACATAAGTGAGTGACAAACTTGTGATAAAACAATCGTTTATCCGATTTTTATTGGTGACCACTCAACACATCCGTCGGTAATCACATTTCAAGTGATATCACATATTACCGATTGTGGTGAACTGACATGAGTGGTCATCAATTACCACCGTTGCCAAAGGCGTTGACCGAATCGCCGCAGCAATCCGTACACGCGTTGATCGACAATCGCGGAACTGCCGCCTCCGCTGCCAATCAATACCCATCCGTAGGACACACACTGGTCAACAATATTGGCAACAATAGGTTGGACGAGAAGTTGACAGTACTCCGGATGGAAATGATTTCCTTAAGACAATTAGACATTTCATTGTTGGCACAGTTGCAGACATTGCAACAGTCGATACAAAATTATAAACAATTAGTTAATTGCGATTACAATGATTACGACCAACAAAACGGCGGACAAAATATCTACGAGAACTGTCCACCAGTGAGGCCAAGGATAGACAGTGCGAGACAACAGCGCGACGACAACAACGACAACGACGCTGATGATGACGACGACATCGAGGATGAAGAGGCCGGCAATGGAGACACCGATGAGATCAGCGATGAACGCAAAGATAGTACCGACTCTTTGGATTCAAGTGTTTGACTATTTGAATGACAATATTTTGATTTTCAATAATATATTTATTTATAACATTTTTAATAACATATTTTGTATCATATATACAGTATTTTAGCACATTATTAATAATTTATTACTAAAGTAGTTATTAATTAAGTTATTAAATTCACAATTTTTTCAAAAACTTATTTACTTATAAAAGATATAAACAATTTTATTTGTAATTATATTTGATAATAATTTATTATTAAATTTATAGAAATTTTTATTTATTTATATATAATAATAATTATAAAAATAAAAATAATAATAAAGTTTTATTAATATTATTACAAATGTTTTTTTTTATAAATTAGTTGTGTGTATTGCAATTGTATATATTTAATAAGATTTATACATAAAAATAGACATTTAATTGGCTGTTAATAATAATAATAATACGCAAGACATTGAAAATTTTAAAAGTTGTTTATATCTGTTTTAATCTGTGATATCATACTATTATTAAAAATAGACATCAAAATGCATTTTTGTCGAGAAAACTATTTATAAACATTTTTAAAAATATTTAATACATACACACACTTCTCCAGACACTTAGTGATTAAAACATTAGAAACTTTTTATATACCGGTGCAGTATTTTTTATATACAAGTGCTAGTCTTCTATAGAGAGTGAGAGGAGTTTATATATTTATTGTGTCGTAAATCAGTAGTTTTAATATTTGTTATGATAAGTTTGGTCAGACGTGAATCGGGAATTGTTCCCCAACTGGTCAACCAATACAATGACATAATTGAGCAGAAATTATATGAAAGTATTCAATTGAATCAATCGCGAAGCAGTGTCTCACAGGATGTCTGTCCTGTCCTAAGCGATGATTACTCTGTGAATCAATCACTACTAGAAGAAAAGGAAGAAGAACTGATTGTTGACAATAATAGTCTGCAAAATATACAAATCATTAATCAGGAAGAGGAAGACGATGAAGATGAAGATGAAGATGAAGATGACGACGAAGATGAAGATGACGACGAAGATGAAGATGACGAAGAAGATGAAGAAATAATAGAAATATTTCAACAAAAGGATAATCATATCAATGATATAAATTTAGGTTTATATTGTTTTTCGTGATTTTTTGGCATATTTTTTAGATATCAGATGATAATTAGTTATTAGTTTTTGTAACTATTTTTAAGCGATCATTGATCTAATTATTTAATAATTTATGTATTAATAACTAATTAATTTTCCTAAGAATTTGATGAGTAGTTAACAAAAATTCCGGACAACAAAAATGTTGGATTCATTTCAAACTATAATAGAAAAAACATAAATACGGTTTCTATTTATATTAATATATGAAACAGTATTTAAAATGTATAGTATAATCATTAATCTTTATTTAATTAAATATTATGACTTATTAAAATAAATACCTTAAACATTAGTTATTAATATTATCTAACAAAATATTTAAATGGATAAATAAATTTATTTTATATTTTATATTAATATTTGTTTTTAATATAGAAAGTCATAACAATTATCAAAATGATAAAACTATAAGAGTTATAAAAGATGATGAGGAAAATATTGATGAGACCATACAAATCAGTGATAATGATAAAGAAAACAAGAAATTAGATCCAATTAAAGTTCAAGAAAAGCCAAGTTTATGTGAAATTAAAGTAAATCCGGTGTTAGAAGTGTTAATATTCAAAAGGAAACACCATTTTATAACCAAAACTACCGTTTCCAAAGAAGAGTGTCGAGTTTGCAGCGATTTTATTCAATTTTCCGATAAATACATTCAATGTGTTGATTGTGTAGCAATTATACACGTAGGCTGTTCCTCAAAACTGCCGGTTCCCTGTATTAAATACACAAATCCCAATTTAAGACCCGGTCGATGTTTAAGCAATTATGTCTATCCATCCTCTAAGCCATCAATTCCGGCACTTCTGGTACATTGTATGCGAGAAATTGAACAAAGATGTCATGAGAGCACTCCTAATAATATCTATATAATGAACTCCGAAAGTCTAAAACAAGTCAAAGATCTTTGCAATGGTTTAATTAATTGTAAAAATGGCTTTCCTTTGCTCGACAAACACAATATCAATATTATCTGTGGAGTTATCAAAAAGTTTTTATCAGATTTTAACGATTCTCTTATAGGTAGAGAAATGTGGAAACAATTTTCATATAACATGAGTTTGTATTTTGAATGTTATTTTTTATTTTTATTTTAAATAATACATTTATTAATTAGTTTTTCTTTTTTTTAATTTTCCAAAAGAGAAGAAAAGTGACGAAGAATTAGAGTCAATGGTTAAGCAATTGATTGAAGACATGAATACCACAAATAGAGACACATTATCACTTGTAATACTTCATTTAAGACATTTGATAGACAACCAAAAGTATATCTCTTTGGAGGACTTCACACAAATATTCTGTCCCATAGTTTGCGGCGACACCGAAGTCAACCGTAAACTTCGGCTCATGTCTTGTATATTCAACGTTAAGACCGACTTCTGGATTAATAATCTTATGACACAAATCTAATTATAATATTAATAATTGATTTATATACAGAATCTAATAATAATAATAATATTAAAAGTTAACAATTTCAAAAAGATTATCAAAATTAACTTGATAAAATAATAATAATAAAAATTAGAAATTAAAATTAATTAACTCATCTATCATATAAAATTAATAAATTGTAATAATCGTAAAAATCTAATAATATATAAATAATATATGTATAATATATACTGTATAATGAAATCAACTTTTTAAAGGTTTATCACTGTTAGCATACTAATGTATGTACCCTGTATAGATAAAATACAGTATAATTCAATGAAATACTAATAATAAAATAAAGAAAATAATTCCTATTATTAAAATAATTGTTATTTTTCAATGATGTATATTCTAAGGTTGTCTTCTATATTGAGAACCACTTTGTACTACAATTGGCTTCAAATTTGATTCACTAAAAAAATAATTTACAATAATTATAAACATTGATATTAATTAAGATATATTTATAGAAATATATGAACTAAACTCATCCAGTAATGCCTGTGTGGCGGCCGATGCCTTCAAGTCTTCAATGCTCTCCGGTTCAGATGGTTGTCCGAAATAATACTCACAAATTTTGATCATTGCAGTGGCAATTATAAGTACAAATAACGAGGTAAAGGTATATAAAAATGGAAATAATATTGTTTGGCGAATAAACTGTTAAATAAATAATTATATAATTTTTTAAAAATATATATAATAATTAAACACTAAAAACATTTAGAAAATTTAAGCTTACATTCAATGGAAACGACAACATTATGATAGTAATAGCTGTTCCGATATTTTTGACACCAATTTCCACTGCAATTGTTTTCTTGATCTTATGATTCAAACACAACAAACTAGCCGTAAGATAACCCACTGCCAGACCAATGATTGGCAAAACAATGTCGGCTAACAGTACTTCCAGTGGAATGTCGTCAAAGATTGTGGGAAAGATGATTACTTCCAGTGTTTGACAAACAATGATTATAGCAAAGCCAGCCATTGAACCGATCTATTGAACAGCACTTATAAAGCTGTCTGTAATTTTGATCTAATGAGATAACCGAAAAAACTACCTTGGTTATATAGGGCGAGATTTTACTGAATTTAACGTTTATAGCGATACCAAAGAGTACGGGTATTGTTATGAATACCAGTGTGAATGTCATTTGCATATAAGGAATAACTAGAGTTTCCGTTTCCAGATTTCGACCGTAAAGCCATAGATTGAATGGCATCGCCAGTAAAGCTATTATTGTGGCACCAGTTGTCATCGTTATACTAAATATTATTACAATTCATATATATTTTATTTATTAATTTATTGATTAATTAAATAATAATAATAATACCTCAACGATATATCTCCATTCCAAAAGAAGGTAAATATATTTGATAGGACACCCCCTATATTTGATTTATTAATAATTTTTTAGCGTTATATAAAAAAATTTATATATATATATTGATCGATAAAAATTATAAACTAATTATTTTTCTAATAATTATTTTTATAACATTATATATAACTATAGCACATACCGGGACAAGTGGCCAATATTAGAATTCCTGTAAATTAATATAATTAGTAAATAAAATTTGCTATAAAATATGTTTACAATAGATTTACTATCAAAAAAAAAAACTTAAAGACCTGTTGCATTGAGACTTTCAATCGATAAAAATTTAATAAACATAAAAGATATGAACGGAAATATCAGAAATTGACAGATCATAGCCACGATTACTGGTATCGGTTTTATCAAGTGATCCAACACCTGGTATTCAATTGAAATTTGTTGTGCTTTTTAAAAATATATATAAATATAATAATAAATTTTTGACAGACCTGTCTCATTGTGACCGAACATCCCATTGCAAACATAACAACAACTAATAGTATAACAATCAAGAAATCGTGAATTTGTTTAATTAGTAATTTATTGGTTTTGTCGTCAATTTCTGTATTATTATTAATTATATGAAAATTTAATATAATATTTTCACTACTATTTTGAAATATATTTAATGAATCTGTTGTTGAATTCATTTTTATAAAGAAATTTCTTATATTTAACAAATTGATTGAATTAGAAAAATATAATTTAATTTTAATCAAACACTTTATCTACAAATGTTGTAAACTATTAGAAATAAAATAATAACTTTTTCGTAAGCTTTCAAACTTTTATCAGTTTATTAACTTTTATTTATAATAAAAACTTTTTTCCAATAGTGATGACAGTAACATAAAAATAAATTGTTGCATAAAAATTAAACTTTTAAATATTTATATATATAAGCAAAATAAAAATAAAACAAAAAATTAGTTAAACCAAATCATTATTCCTTAAATAATGTCAAGGTTTTATTTATTGTAATTAGATTTTTAGTGAATCATTAACTTTAAATTATTATTAAGTGTAGACACATTATCACATACTTGTTTATAAATTTCTAATTTAATTTTTTTTATTAATTTCTAATATAAAAATAATAAAAATCTTTTTTTAGTGACTCCATAATTAAAATTCATAGTAACTTGATTAATTATATTAATAAAACATATATTACAATATTTATTAGTAAATTAAATATATATATAGTTTTTTGTACTTTATATTCAAGTTTATTAAATTATTATAAATATCTTAAACCTTGGATTAAAACAAAAAATTCTAAGATTTGTAATAATTTTTGAAAATATTGATATATATTTATACTGTAATCATAATAAATAAACTAAATCATATGTTTGTAAATATATAAATAATATTATTGTTATTATAATTATTATTAGCAAAAATTGTTGTTCAATATTTTTATGTTAATTTTTTATGTTTACAAATAATATAATATATAATTTTAAAAAACGACAAATATTTATTCATTTAAAACAATTTTATAGACAATATATATCATGAATCCTACAAATAATTTAAGGTATCATTTAGTGAAAAACAATTAGTGTATTGTTTTGTTTGTCATTCAATTTTATTGTATAACTATATATTAAAATTTTAAACTTCCTTTAACATTGATTTTATTGTATGACACAATGTATATATATTTGTTTTAACTTAATTTTATTGTTTAACTTAATTAAAACATTTTTACAAATATTTTAATTATTGATAAACTAATTAAAAAGCAACAAAACAAATTTATGCTTCATTGTTATAATGGGCTAAATGAAAAATTATGCAAATATAAATTAATAAAATATTATATCATCATTTTTTATATTTTAAAAATTTCTCAAAAAAATTAGTTCAGTATATAAAATTTATTTTGAAATATTATTATCAAAATCTTGTTTTAAATTGTGAACTTAATTATAATTAAATGCCAATTTTCCCCATTTTTCTGGTTATTTGTCAATTGATACATATAAATCGTTAATAATTATCAGTATAAAATCTGAAATAATAAAATTTGTTTTTTTTCAAAATTTAAAACTTTATATCATTTTATTGTAGTAATCATTTAATAATATTATGGTCACCAGTTTTTACAAAAATTAAGTAATCCAGTAAAGTGTTAATTAATGTGTAATTTTATATTAAAAAATTGATTAATACTAATTTAATTAAAAATTTGATTAATAATAATTTAATTTAAAAAATTATATTAAGCCATAAATTAAAAATTTTATTTTTATTAAAATTTTAAGTACTTGTTTAACAAATAATCAAGTTTTAAATGTATTGTAAATAAAAAAGTGTACATGTAAAGCACATAGTTTTTTATTTTTATTATTACAACTAAATTAATATTTAATAAGAAATTATAAATTTATTTTTTAGCATTTACAATTAAAAATTAAAATTCATGGTACCATATATAAAATAAATTCAAATGTATAAATTACTATTTTACTCAATAAATCTATTTTATGATAAATAAAAATTTCATTTAAAATATCTTATTGTATTTCATTTATTGCAAAACATTTAAATATAATTCGTATATAAATAAAACTATTATTAATTATCTTATGATAATTGGAAACAAATTTTCATAATTTTCTAATTAAATTTTATTTATAATGTTTAATAATAACACAAAATTTGGTGGGTTTTCTATAAAATTGTTTGTAACTAATAATTAATTATAAATACAGGTATACTAACATAACAACAAATGTATTTCATTATTTATTGATGTAATTATCAAAATATTTCTATAATTGTAATTTCGATGCGATTTTATGGGTAAAACGTGAATATAGTTATTATATGTATATAAAATAAGGTATTGTAGTTGTGATCATAATTTGCATATTAAACCATTATTTAAAAATAAAATTAATTTTAATGTGTTAATTTTTTGTGCGGGTGACACATAATTATAGTTTATAAATATATTTATATATCTCATTATTTAAATAGACATTTATTTATCTAAAATTTAAAAAAAATTCTTTATAAGTAATTTTATTATTAAAAATATATTGATTTTTAACTAAAAGAAATTATAATCAGAGATGACAGTTAACTCAAATTTAATTGTAAATTTTATGTTCAATTATATATATATTTAAAATTATAATTTAAATAAATCCCAATAAAAATAAAACATATATATATATATATCAATACAAATGCATCAATTAAATAATTTACAATTAATGTAAATTTATTAAAATAAAAACTTTAATAGACTCAAAAAATTCATTAAAATTTCAAAATTATTTTAATGTATTGAACAAAAATTATTATTATAATAAAAGATTATTATCTATAAAAATGCAAAAATACAAATCTATACTAAATGCTAATTTATGCTAAAATATAACAATTATGATTTTTATTAATATTATTATTAATTATTTTATTGATTTATTTTTTTATTTAAAAATTTAATTTATTATTCAGTGCTGTAGTAATAGATAATAGAATTTTAATTTATATTTCATATCAATAGCACTAAACGTTATTTGTTTGTGAATAAAGTTATTATGAATAATATTCATTGAATATAATAGTAAAGTAAACGTAAGCCTCAATTGTATTCATCAATCAATCAGTGGAAACATTGATTGAAAAACAAACTGCAAATCATTGGACTATTAATAAACACTTTGTTTAGTAAACAATCAGTCAATCAATTGTGACCGCAATTGTCGGCAAAAGTCATGACCTGTTTTTTCCACCAATTGGTGGACAACTATTGGACGCCGACTAACATATTTGCATCGGTTCTCGTATTTTCATGGATTGTCTTCATATGGGATCTGTATCTCTCCCGGCGTCAGGTATTTGTGACCATTGTATTCATCTTTTCGTTTAATAAGTTAATTGTTTTATGTCTTGAATTCAGTACAAAGTATATAAAAGTGTTGTCGAAGTGCCGACCGAACTGATCGGTGTCTTAGACAGAGACACACTGACCAAAGCACGAGACTATAACATTGATAAGAGTCGGTTCGGGTTTTATGCGTCCATTTGGAACCAATGTCTTAATACCGTAAGTTCAGACATCCGTATTGATACCGAAATATGTTCACCATATGGTTGTCATTACTTTTTTTGATAGGTTATCCTATGGACAGAAGCCATTCCTTTGTTATGGCGCTATTCTGGTGTTGTGGTCAGTCGTGTTGGTTATAAAGACAATGAAATATTACAGACGTTGACATTTGTTTTGATTGGTTCAGTCATATCGACAATCATTGATCTCCCGTGGAGTCTGTATCACACGTTTATTGTCGAACAGAAACACGGCTTCAATAAACAAACGCCGGCTTTCTATGCAAAGGTTACCAATTAATCCGATGAACTCATACAATGTCATCAATATTTTTCTTATAATTCTGACTTATAATAACTTCCGTTGTTTTTTAGGACAAATTGAAAAAATTTGTTATAACTCAAGCTATAATATCGCCGATACTATCGGTGGCCATTTGGATTGTCAAGATCGGCGGCGACTACTTCTTCGTCTACTTGTGGGCCTTTGTCTTTGTGGTGACATTGTTTCTGATGACGGTTTATGCTGATTATATTGCGCCACTGTTTGATAAATTCGAGCCATTACCTGATGGCGAACTTAAACAACAGATTGAGAAGTTGGCCGCAAGTATTGATTTCCCACTGAAGAAGCTGTTTGTGGTCGAGGGTTCCAAACGGTCTTCACATTCAAACGCTTACTTTTATGGCTTCCATAAAAACAAACGTATTGTCCTTTTCGATACACTTCTTGAAGATTATCACAAGAAAAAGGAAAGTGAAGAGAAAACCGAAGGTAATCTTCAACTATATTATAATTTTATTTATCATAAAATTACATATTTATTATTATTATTACTGAAAAATTAGGTGAAAATGATGAGAAATCAAGCGGTGATTCTTCCAAAAATGAACACAAGAAGGTTGGCTGTAATAACGATGAAGTGTTGGCCGTTTTGGCGCACGAGTTGGGCCACTGGAAGTTAAACCATATCCTCAAAAATCTGGTGATCGCTCAGACAAATCTATTTCTATGTTTTATGGTATTCGCTTTGTTATACAAAAATCAAGTTCTTTACGATGCGTTCGGCTTTCATAAGACACAACCCGTTTTCATCGGAATATTCATTATATTTCAATACATATTCTCACCCTATAATGAGGTATATTTAATCTATGGATGTTATGTCAGTAATGAATATTATTATTATTATTTTATTGCAAAACAGATTCTGTCATTTTTGATGACATGTTTGGGCCGTCGATTTGAGTTCGGAGCCGACGCTTTTGCCAAACAAATGAATCGTACGGCTGACCTGAGAAGCGCATTGATTAAGTTGAATAAAGACAATCTAGGATTTCCTATCTATGACTGGCTCTACTCGAGTTGGTATCACTCTCACCCACCATTGCTCGAAAGAATCAGAGCCCTGGGAAAGATCGACTAAAAAAATGAAATTTTATTTCATATATTTTGTCAACACATTTAAAAAAACCAAATTTCCATTTTATTTATCCGACGACTAATTTGAGTTTATTTTGTCTCAAGTAATTAACATATTTTTTTATGTCAATTGCGTATAAAGTTTTTAATATGTTATTTACGGTAATTTTAAAATGTTTTGTTTTTTTTTGTTATTGAAATATTGTTTTCAGTTTAAACAAAATAATAATATTTTTTATCGTAAACAATAATACCCTAATAATACTGTATTTTTACCTGTACTCTGTATTTATAAAAAATTAAACACAAAATTACGAAATTAAAATTTGTCGCAAAATATATTTACTATTTATTATTACTGTATTTATTAATGATAAATCAATGATAATTTATTACCGGTAATAATAAATTTTTTTGAAAATTTTAGTATACACTGTACAGTGATTTAATTATATTTATTATAAATAACTAATATTATATAATAATTTTTCTATAACATTAAATCAAGTGCCAGTAATCATATTTGAGTTATAACTATAGCAACTTTATTATCATAATTAATTAAATACCAAATGAAATAAATTAGAGTTAAATATTAATAGTAGAGAGTAATTGAAAAATACTGTATTAAACAATAAGTGCCCCCAAACTGTGTGCCACACAATGTAAATGCAATGCAATACACAATAAACATATAATGATTATGTTTTGTATGCATTAAGCGCTACAAAGCCTACAATAATACCAATTATTGGTTACGTTATATGAAAATTGTTTTCAGATTTCACAACAAAACTGACATCAAATTGAAATACTATTAATTGAATGAATGACTCATAGATTGTTGTCATTTGATTGTTGTGTTGTTGTTGTGATTGTGAGTCAAACAACAGTTTGATTGTAATTATTGTAATCATCAGTCAAAACGAGAGACCAGCAGATAGTTTGTCCGTTGAATAAGATTATCACTTGAATTGATCCACAAAATGGAGAGTAAGTATCATTAATTAATCGTAAGCTCTGACAAGTTGTTTGACAGTTAATTCAGTAAATTTAAGATCATTTTCTTTAAAATGTCAAATGAGATGATATGTTGTCAACTGAAGACATATCAACTGAATTGTCATAAATAAGAGATCAATTGATTGATAATATGATTGATTTCTTTTTCAGAGCACTTATTTAATTTGAAATTTGCGTCCAAAGAGTTGGAACGGAACTCACGAAAGAGTGAAAAGGACGAGAAGACTGAGAAACTGAAGCTCAAGAAAGCCATTGAAAAGGGTAGGTCTGGTATCATCTGATGGTTACGTGAATTGTTTGATGACTTTTATTATCGACCAATAGGTAACTTAGAAGGCGCTCGAATTCACGCCGAAAATGCCATTCGCCAGAAGAATCAGGCGTTAAATTACCTGCGAATGTCTGCCCGAATCGATGCCGTGGCCTCTCGCGTACAGACAGCAGTTACCACCAAACGAGTCACACAATCACTGGGCGGCGTCACCAAAGCCATGGACTCGGCCATGAAGTCAATGAATTTGGAGAAGATATCACAGATTATGGATAAGTTTGAGAAACAATTTGAAGACCTCGACGTCCAGACACAGACTATGGAGAGCGCTATGTCGTCCACCACTACTATTACTGCACCTGAGAATCAAGTGGACCAACTTATGCAACAAGTGGCAGACGAAGCCGGGTATGACCACTATCTCGTGTTTTGCTTACCAGTAATTCTAATCTCTAATCAATTACTTTTTAGTCTCGAGTTAAATATGGCACTTCCTTCTGGAGAAGTCGGTTCCATTGGAACAGCGACGGCCGCGTCTACAGAACAGGACGACCTATCGAAACGTTTGGCACAACTGAGACAAATGTGAAGAAGTTATTTGATTGTTAAACATTCTGTTTCAGTATTGGTTTAGAAAAGTTATTTGTATTATAAAAATCTATGATTTGAATATATTTACGGTAATCATCAAAAATTTGATTATTAGATATAATAAATATGTAATAATACAAGACATTTGATTTTTATTTAAACGATTTCACTTTAATATATCTTTTTTATTCACCAAATAATAAATAAAGTTAACAAATGAATAAAATTTTTAAAACAACAGTATAAACATATTTTTTGTTTGTTTCAAAACAGAGAGCTTTTACTTGAAGTTATCAATGGGTGAGTGTATTGTTATGTAACCATAACTGATGTTTTGTTTTTTAATTACAGTAAAATGTATTTAATTAAATGATTTTTAAAAATTAGTAGAAATACTCAAATTGTTTGGTAAGTTTTGGATCTCAATTACAGTAAAATATGGATTATATTTGGATCGCATATCAATGTCAGCAAACATATGATAGTAACGGACTTTCGGTCGTTTTAACGCCAATTCAATTAACGCATCAATTGTTTTATGTGTAATGTTTGGTCGCGAGAAAAACTGTATTGACTTGAGTTGTGAACAGTTATCTATCAATTGACACATTCCCTCATCGATTCGTTCTTTAGATATGATGTGACTCTTTGAGGCTCTTATTATAAGAACAGATATATTCTTTAATTTTGATAACGAATTCATAGTTTGATTTGTAATCAAATTATTAAAACTGATATTCAGTTGACTTAATTGCGGCAAATTTATATGGATATCATTGAAGAAGTTGTCACTTAAATTAAGTGACATTAGAGATAAATGAGTCAATTGTTTAGATGATTGCAATAATTTAACAGAAATTTCTTCGTTTTGATTGATAATAAAATTTGATCCAAAAGCCGATAACTCTAATTGTCTTAAATTATTATAAGTTGTTATACTTTTAAGCAAATCTGAGACAATTAATGACTCAATTTGAGCGCTAAAACAAAAGTTTTTAAGTTTAAGACATTTGATGCCTATATTCTTAATTTTTACAGCCATTTGTGGCGAATATTCTTTGACTTTAATTGACGTTAATTTCAATTCTTCTAAATTCTCAATTTTTTTTATATTCTTCAGTAACGAAAACAATGTATTTTCATTCCAAAAGATTCCGTTTAAAATATGAAGACTTTTAAGACAATGACTATAATTTTGAACAAACAAATCAATTAATTTTTCGTCACTTTCTTCATAAAACATTTTTAAATTCTTCAGTTTGGGTACTAATACATCACTTTCATCAATAAAATACGACATCTTAGCACCGGTCAGTGTAGTCAAGTTTGGACACAATTTGATTAGTTTTTTATAATTTGTATCAAATTCAGTGCTAATAATCTGCGAGTAACTGCTGGTCAAGAAGTTAATGGCAATCATTTGATTACCAAACTTATGACCAAAATCTTTAAGTATATGTTCGCTAATGTCGTGAAAATTAAGTGAAATCGACGACAAATGATAGCAGTGTTTGGTTATTGTCTTCAATGCAAACTCTCTGTTATTGAACTCACAACTGATCGCAATCTCACGGATGGCTTTACACTTCTTCAGCAGTGATTCGAAGGCTGTCTTATTGATGAGTATTTGTTTATCATTTGAATAGTAGTCTCGTTTGACCATCAATTTGAACAGATTGTCTTTGCCCGATGACTTGTTCTCTACTCGGAGGACACGTTGTCTATTGTAAACTAAATGGCGAAACCTTCGGCAGACAAACTCCAGACGAATCTTCTCTTCAAATGACAGATAAGACAGCAATAGTTCACACAAATCATCGCAAATGACATCATTGAATGTATGGCCGTTTTGATGACCACTTCTTAACATTGAACTCATTTGGTCACTATTTTCTTCAATAACCGATTAGTTGTTATGAATAATACATATATAGTAATACATATAAAGTACAGATTATCACCAAAATTGGTCACCAATTGGTGTTTCATCACATCCTTTCATTGATTATATAATTAAAAAAAATAATAATATAATAGTTACACAATGTGTACATAAATTACATAACAAATTCATAAGTGAGTGTCGATTGCATTAAATTGTTGTAACATTTAATACATTTATATTTTGGAGGCAAATGTTTGTCATAAATGGTAACGTTTTGTGTGAATGACTTCACAATTGATATATCAATACATTATTGTTTGGCAATAATAGTGTGAATCGGTTCCCAATAAGTGATGTCAGCCTTTGTTGAACCACCGAAGCGATGGTCACACATAAGCAAAGTAACCGAAAGAATGGGACCGTTTGTTGTCGACGGGTTTGTGGCCTCACCTCAAGTGCTTGAAATGGTCAGAGAAGTGAGAGTACTGGTCATCGGCGCCGGCGGTCTCGGGTGTGAACTGTTGAAAGACTTGGCACTCATGGGATTCAAGAATATCGATGTCATAGACATGGATACCATAGATCTCTCTAATCTTAACCGACAGTTCCTGTTCCGTACCAAAGATATCGGCCAACCGAAAGCCTTAGTGGCGGCCAAAGCTATTATGGAGCGCATCAGTGGCTGTAATATCATTGCACATCACAAACAAATACAAGACTTCGATGAAGACTTTTATCGTCAATTTCAAGTGATTGTCTGTGGATTGGACTCTATAGTCGCCCGCCGATGGATTAATTCTATGGTCTATAGTTTGATTCAATTTAATGAAGAGACCGGCGATGTTGAGGCCACTGTTCCACTCATCGATGGCGGCACTGAAGGCTTCAAAGGCAACGCCAGAGTTATTCTTCCCGGTTATGGCACACCTTGTATTGAATGCACATTAGATTTGTTTCCACCGCAAGTCAATTACCCGCTCTGTACTATAGCTCACACACCGAGACTTCCAGAACACTGTATTGAATACGTGAAAGTATTGTTGTGGCCAAAGGAGCAACCATTTGGTGATGGAGTGGCCATCGATGGAGACGATCCAAATCATTTGCAGTGGATCTTTGATAAATCACTAGAAAGGGCTCAAGAGTTTAACATTGAAGGTGTTAACTATCGTCTAACACAGGGTGTAATCAAACACATTATCCCAGCCGTGGCCTCGACTAATGCCGTGATAGCGGCCGCGTGCGCTACCGAAGCATTTAAAATAGTGACCTCATGTGCACCACATATGAAAAATAATATGATTTTTAATGATACGGATGGCATATATACTTACACTTATGAGGCCGAGAAAAAAGATGACTGTCTTGTGTGCAGTAATGTCACGAAACAACTATCACTCAAACCGAGTGACAAACTGGAAGATGTTATACAAGTGCTTATCGATGACTATCATATGAGAGAACCGGGAATCGTTACCATCACTAATGAAGGAAAGACAAAAACATTGTATATGAGAAACGTTAAGGCAATCGAAGAATTGACAAGAAGTAACCTCAAGAAATCATTACAAGAATTGTCATTAAGTGATGGACAACAACTCATTGTCGCCGACGTTACGGCTGTTAATTCAAAGACTTTTACTATAAAATACAACTAAAAACTACAAATATTTATGTATTTTAAGGTAAATTTTTCCGATAAATGTAATGAATTAATAACAAGTGATATATTAATATTAATTATATAACAATTTTGTATTACATGTGATTCTGCAATAAAATTTAATTTAATTACTAAATATTTACTGATTTACTTAATTATGTTACCATAAAATAATAATTTGAATTTAGCGCTAATTTTCAATATTATCAATGATTTGTCAAACACTACACTATTTATTGACAATCTCTCAAAAAGGGCTTAACTTTTATATTACAGAAACTTAAAAGTTATGTCATTTTACAAAATATTTTCAATAAAAAAATGATGAAATTTTATGAATAACGTCAACAAATGTTGTGATAAAACTGTTCCCCAAAACAATTGAATCCAATGTTATTATACTGTAATATACCAAACGGTTCACACATTGAGATTCACACTATTTTATGACATTATTATTGTTGACTTAGAATATGGCGCCAAATGTTTACAAAATATTTTGTCACAAAATCGGCGCAAATCTCGTATTGAAGTGTCGTTTGAATCAAACAGAAGATACCATTCATTCAGTTTTTGTTAACATTTGTCGTCAGTTTTCAAGAGATTACACAATGAATACATCGATGAAAGAGTCAGTCAGTAAACTCAGATTTGCCCGATTGTCGGACAACGCCTTTGTTCCGACCCGTGGCTCGGAAAGAGCGGCCGGTTATGATCTGTACGCTGCATACGATGCTGTTGTCCCGAAACGCGGCAAACAAATGGTTAGACAATTACCGTCCGCTTGTCATCATATTTGCCACAAATATCCTCAAAAATTGTTTGACTAAACCATTTGATGTTTTTTTTTAATTATTTTCATCGATAGGTGAAGACCGATATTCAAGTGGCCATTCCTAGTGGTTGTTACGGTCGCGTAGCGCCCCGTTCGGGCCTCGCTTGGAAAAACTCGATCGATGTCGGCGCCGGTGTTGTCGACGAAGACTATCGCGGAAATGTTTGCGTCATTTTGTTTAACTTTGGCGACGAAGACTTTGTGATTACAAAAGGCGACCGAATCGCTCAATTGATATGCGAACGGATAGCGGCCACCGAACTCATAGAGGAGACCACTTTGGACACCACTGCACGACAAGAGGGAGGTTTCGGCTCCACTGGTGTCTCGTTGGCCGCACTGAAGTCGCCACAAAAAGTGTGTTAAATTTAAAAATAAATCTCTGAATGAAGTAATCGTTTTTTAATTAAATTTGATAATTATATTTGATTTGATTATCATTTTTTTATGTCAATTGATATGAAAGTTTAGAAATGTTTTTGCAATTGTTATGCATTTTGAAAATATTATTGAAAACAGTATTTCTGAAAAATGATTTTTATTTGAAACATTTGAACAAAATTTATAAAAATAATAACATTTAAAAATTTCAATTATAAATACTCTTATTATTTACAAAATGAATAAAATTAATTAAATAAATTTTTTTGCCTATCATTTCGCTTATCAATTCAATTAATAAAAAATATACAAAATTAGATCCTATGAAAAACCATTAAATTTCTGGTTAACAAATGGATAAAAGTCGTTAACATTCAGTAACAATAACGACAACAAACATTAAGAATCAATTATCACTTGAGTTTGTTCTGCAAAAGACTAAACTTTGGACTCGAAGACAACCAAAATTTGTCATATTTTATATTATCTGCAAACGGATTGGGGTTTTGATGAATCTTATCATTAGTTGTATTATTGTTTTCCATCTGATGTGTCGCCAAATTGAGACCCGAATGCACGATAGACATCGGTGGCCAAACTTGTGGCGGCGGCCGACTGTAGTCAAGCGGAACCGACATTTGTGGCATTTGGTAACTAAAGTTAACTGTTATATTGATTGGATGTAATATGGGATATGAGTTGAGGTCTGTTTCTTTAGAGCTGATGAGTGGCCCAATGAGAGCCGCGTCCAGCGTTAGTGGCAAATAATAGTTGCCCGAAGGGTGTAAAGCAAATATGGGGACAAACATTGAGGCCGATTGTTGTGTTGAAAGTGATTTGCTCGAAGAGTTGGATGAATAGCCGGATGTTTCGCTGCGGTGATCACTGGCCTGAGTGTTAAGTGAGGATAAACTCGAGTTAGAGATACGTTCGTCATCGATGGTAACGTTGAGCGGTGAGATTGACTTGATTGGCGGTCCGTCGTCTTTCTGGTCGGCCTGAAAACGGTCTTTAATTTCCTTTTTAAAGTTATAAACATTTTGATCAGTGCTTTGTTGGTAATTGTTTGGCACTGGACTTGAAGTCAGTGAGATGTGTGGCGACGACTTTGAGCGTTTTGCGACCGAACTATTGTTTTCTAGCATTTCCCGCAAATGACTGGTCACTACTGGTTTTGGTGTCAATGGTTTTGTTTCGAACAGATCGCTATCCAAATCCATTTTTTCATTGGCCGAAGTGGTCGACTCTGACAATGACGGCGACCGAACTTTGCTTATGCCGTCCAGTATTTGTTGTGAACTCATATCACCATTTTTGACCACTGGATTCACTATTGATTTATTAATGTGTTATTCGTTGATCAAATGGCCAACAAATAATTGATACAAACCTTTTTGAAGTGTTGTCATATGATTGTGAAGATAGTCCATCATTCGCCGACAGAGTCCATCACCAGTGAAAAGACCCTCGATTTCGACGAGAAAGCGTATGGCTTCAGACAGACATTCCTGATATCCCAACCGGTATTGTCTAATCCTTTCTTCGTCATCCAGATTGCAATTTTTGGATAATTCGCATTTGGTGTCATCTGTACAATACTTATGCGACTGCAAGTGCTTCATGTGTTTGATGGCCATCTCAATGATCTCAGTCTTCTCGATACGTCCTCTGCCCTGAAGTGATGAAGACTACAATAGTTTTAATTGCAGTCAATTCAATGGTCTATCAAATGTCTGAACTGAATAATACCTTTTTAAGATAAGAAGTTGGGATCAGTCGACTCAGATCTGCTAAACAATTGTTCATACGATCCCTTCTGCGCTTCTCTATTATTCGATGAGATAATGGATCCTAAATATTAATATCAATCGCCAATTATATATAATATATTTAAAATCTAATATCATTATCATTAATAATTATCTAGAAATTTATTAATATTAATAAAAATTGTTGTTTGTATAATACTGGAAATTAATATATTATATAAACAATATTTTAAGTATATCTATTTAATTTAATATATATTAGAAATTGTATTTATATAATCTATAATTATAATATTTAGATATTGTATTTTATTATATAATAATTTATCAATATTTTAAATTATTTTTATTTAATGTTACCATCGATTAATAATTGATACAGTATTATGCAATTAGTAAAGTTTTATAGCACTAAAGTATATAAAATTTTCAATAACATTGTAAACTATATTATCTTCAATTTTTCCTTCACACACATTACTATTGATTTTAAAATAATTTATCATAAAAATAATTTTTGTAAATATCTAATATGTGACCACAAATAGAGTAGATATTAATACATCAGAATATATTGTAAATTTCAAATTTAAATTAAATTTACCAAATGTTTAGTTGCGAAAATAGATTACAAATTGTTAATTACATTATAAGTTAATAATAACAGGTTATTTGATATATACTGTCAAATGTGTTATTTATAATTATAATAAATTGCGTATATTTATAAATTGGCAATAGATTTATAGTTATATCAATATTTTTTATATGTATACTGTATATATATGCTGTGTATATATTCTATGAGGAAAATTATTAGCACTACCTGTGTTTTGCCGATTTATTTCATAAAAATAAATAACAATTTCTTTGCCAAATAATAAAAACGTGTTTCTAATGAAAATTGCAAAAATAATTTATTGATATAATAACAGAATGAGTGGTGTCTCAGCAATTAAAGTTGTTGGCATCAAATCAAAACTAATAGTCATTTATTTATATAAATATTATGTATATTTAAACAAATTTTTGTCAGACTTGGAGGTCGATTGAAAGACATTTTTTTGAGAAAGTGTTGAGAAAACATATTCTTTGCAATCTCTCGTGTTTTTTCAAGTAAAACACATATACATTATATCCCGGTGTGTGTGTGTGTGTGTGTGTGTGTGTGTGTGATAATGACATTGAAATTATAACTGAATTGTTTAAATATAAATATTACAAAATTTATTATTTAATTTTGTTTAAGTGTCAGATATTTTACTTTCATGAATCATATAAAATATATTTAAATTTAAAATAATATTATATTATATAGGAATATATATTATAGGAATATTTGTTGTTTAAATATATATTATTTATGAGATTTAAGTATTTGCTATCTCGTATAATAATAAAAATATAATGACTAAAATAGGTAATAACTATTATACTAACATATAAAAACAGTACATGTATTTATGAAATATTGATTGTCAGATACATTAACTCATAAAATAAAGTGTTAAATATTATTATACATTAAATTATTATTATAAATGTTAGATCATAATTATTTTTATAAATTACAAGTTTTAAAAATTAGCAAATATATTTAAAAAATTTCTTAGTTTTCAATTATCAAGATTAGATATCGTGAAAAACTTGAATCAATAATAATCTAAATAAATTTGACATATACTGTACTTTATAACAATAAAATAAGTTATTTTTACATAATTGTTTATTTACATAATTTAATTTCAGAATATTATAATATAGAATACTAGAAATTCTAAATTTTAATAAAATTTTTATCTAATATTTATAAAATCTTACAAAATTTTCTTTAATAAATACGTAATAAATAAAGTTATTTAGATAATAAAATAAGGTTTTTAGAAAATTGAATGTATGAAAAAATATATTCAATTATAAATTATATCATATAATCACGTTTTAATACACACGACAATTTCATAATTTATATACTGTATTATATTATATAATAAAAGTTAGTGAAGATAACAGAACAAAATTAATTATTAATACTATTATATAAAATAATTTTTATATTTTATAAATTTTAAAAATTTTATTTATAAAATTGGAAATCATTTGATAAGATATTAAATATCTTTATTATTACAAAATATTTTAAAAATATAATTTATATTATCTATAAATTATACTCATATACAGTTAGTTCATTTATTTATTCATACGATTATATTGTATCATTATTTTGACTATTGCTTTAATTTTTTTTTACTTTTTTAAATACTAAAAATATTTATAATTGTAATGTAGATGTAATTTAGACAAACAGTAAAATTCCTATTTTTTCAATCAAAACAAATTACTTAAATTCAAAGTAATAAAAAGTCTATCGTATAATTTACAGTAATTATTGTCTACAAATCAAATCAAATATTATAGTAATTAGCAAAGTTAAAACTTAACAACAGTTATAATAAGTAATAAACAATAAAAAAAATTATATAATTAATATTTATATAAATATATTACAGTAATTGGAAAATTTATCAAACAATCAAATTATGCATTCATAAACTTAATGTATTGTAAATATAATTATTAGTCTATAGATTTAATTACTCTATAGTTTTAATAAATAAAAAGTGAATAATTATATGAAGGGAAACACCTTGAAATTGTCACAAAAGGACGGGTAGTTATGGTAGTAGTTGTAGACATAACACTATCCTAAAGCTTATAAATTATATGCATGAAAACATCAGTACAGGTAGATTAATATGTATGCAATGCATTATTGTTTTTTTAATAAATAAACTACCAGTGCAATTTATATGGTCGTCCTTTAAAAAAAAGTTACTGAATATCTATTGAATATTACCCGTTTGGGTATTACATTAGTGATGTTGTAATTGTTATCTAAACGTGAATGTCGTTTAATAACAGTGTGTACGCGACACGAGTCACATACTAGACCTTCCCAACAACAACATACATACATACAGGTATACATACAGATATACATACAGATATACATACAGATATACATACAGGTGCTTCATAGAAGAGTCGGCACTTGTTATTTAATATGTCAATCCCTTATATTTTATTATCAAATCTGAAGAGTTATATCAAAAAGGATTTGTCATAATTTGCAGAATTGACACAAATATATAGTTTAAACGTGACTTTCAAAACATAATTCAATGAGTAGTGTGTTTGCATTATAGCAATCATTTTAGATTATTATTACTACTATTAGATAATATATAAATAAATTTATATAAATGACTACAGGCCTGACTAAAAGTACTAAACTATTCCCATTGAAAATTAGTACTTTCCCTATAAATATCAATAAATAAATAAAATCCTTAATTACATATTGCAAGATAAGCAGCAATTGAATGTCTAAAAAACATTTTGTTTGTTTGTTAATAAAATTTAGTGTTAGTTAATTTAAATTTGCAAAATTAATTAAAATAATATAAGTTGAGAAACTTTATTCATATTATTGTTATATTATAATCAATAAATGGCTACAAGGCTTATATTGGTTGAAAATATGGGTCGCTTTTATAGATTTGTAATTGTTTTAGAAAAAAACAAATTTAAGAAAAATAAAAATTAGTTTTTAATTGTTTTGTAATCAAATTATTTATCAAACAATACTACTATTAACTAATATGCCTTAAGTATGACCACAAGTGTCCCCTTCAGAGAGAGAGAGAATAACTGATAAATGAAATATTGTATATAAAGTCAAGTAAATTAATGTCAAATATGAAAAAGTCATACAATTAGACGGTTGGGGTTAAGGATTGGGTGCAACTATCGATTCAGTTATTACTTTAAAGTAAAAATTTGGATCAATTTCTAAATACAACAAAAATGAAAAATTTTTCTTTGTTTTCTTTATGCAAAAATTTTGTTTATTTCCTCAGGTATTACTATAAAATGATGATAATATATATTGTACTGTATATATATATAAATTATATACATGTAAAAGTAATAGCTATATAAATCAATAATAATTAAAATAATATTAAAGTAAATTAATTTATTGATATTGGTTTTCAACCCATTATAGTTTCTTTTCATAATTTTTATAATTATTTCATAACTCAATTGTTTTCACTCTAACTAACAAATTGACAAATATTAGTCTTATTATTATTATTAGTAAAAATGGTAATAAATCTTATAAGTTAGGATAAAAATTATAATTTTAATATTTATATTATTATAAAAATAATTTTAATTAAATTTAATTATTAATTATAATAAAAACCAATTCAATTAAATACATACACGACTCGATGACTTCTTGCGCTGATTAGTCGTGTCCTCGTCTTCAGGAGTATTATTATTATTATTATTATTTGCCATTATTTGAGTAAAGTTTAGATTACTGTTAAAAAACACACAAAAGAAACAAACGATTAAAATTTAAAAAAAAAACAATTTTATAATAATAATAATCAATTATTTCAAGCAAATTATTCAAAAAAGTAATAATTTCTCGTTTCTACTGTAATTTTTATGACATATAGTCACTCTCTAAATGTTTTAATGACATAATCATTAGAATAAATAGAGATATTATATAAGGAAAAACAGAAAAAATATATATTTAAAAATCTATGATTACAAGTAATATATCGTAATTTATTATTATTATTATTATCAACAAATAATTGATTGCTTAGCTTAAAATAAAAGCTTAGTTATTTATCAACAACAACAACAAAAGTTAATTTTTTTTATATAAATTGTATATCAAATTAATAAATTTGTTGAAATATGGTCTAAATTTATTATACATATTAAATTCTGTATAATTTCAACACACAAAATACCTTTTAATAGTGTAACCTGTTTTCCAGTCATATATATATTATATTATAGTTTAATAATGTTTGGCCAGAATTTAAAACATTTTCATCACTACATTAAACACCGGCAAACATATGGAGAATAATAATTAGTTAATTTTTTACAGTTATATACAGTATATTAAATGTTAAATTAAAATCAAATCTGTTACTAATGAGTGATTTTATTTTTGTCAAATAATCGATTATTAATAATAAAAACAAATGCAATACAAGAATTTAGTTGTTTTACTTGAAGCAACTTTTTAAAAGTATAAACAAAATTTTTAAAAATCTATTCACTAATCTAACTAAATGTCTCATTTAATTATAACATATAATTTATATTTTAAAATATTAAATTGTAAAAATTGCTTACGCAATTTAGCCAATAATAAAATTATATTTTACAACATCATTAACAATTGTATATCTAAATACAATTAATTGTAGTAAAATAAATTAAGCATTTAAAAATAATAATAATAATAAACATTTACTTTTTAATAAAAAAATTTAAGATAATATCTGTTTAAATATATATATTATATGTATTTTATTAAAACAGTGATCACGAGAGTGTTGGCTTACATTTACAGTACAGTTACAGCTGGCGTTATGTCAATCATTCAGTAAACTTATATATTGTAAATTAAATTATATATAAATATATTTATATAAATTTATAAAAATAGAAATTTATATAAACTTTATTTATTACACAACGATAAATATAAAAAATCAAATTTATTTACTAAATATCTGATGACAAATTAATATTCAATATATGATATACACTAAATAAATAAATATATATATCTATACTTTAATATTATTAATTTCTAGATTTACAGTTTCCCTCATAACAATGATGAATATATTATAATACATTCAATGACTTATAAATATAATATATAATAAACATCTATTAAAAAGATCTCTTTCAATACATGTGTCAATTAATGTTGTTTTTTATAGAATAAATGCAAATATTTAAATTAAATATTAATCTAATAGAAAATTTGCGATATCTTTAATAAATAACTTTAATATTAGTATATCACAAAAAATACTAAAACAGCAATTGGCAGCTAAACCATAAAATAAATTAGTGACTAAGCAATAGTATAGATTTTTATTATAATATTTATAGAAAAAACAATCCATTATTATTAATAATAATAATTACTTAATTAATAATATTTGGAAAAATAACTCCAACTATTAAAAATAGTAAATTATTAGAATAGTAAGCATTTTTTAATACCATATCTTTTTATTATTATAAGATTTTTCAACTATTATATATATATAAATACAAACAAAAACATATTGTAAAACAATATAAAAAAATACTGATCAGTTTAACAGCATTTAGAAAACAAACTAAAAAGTGTAGGTATACTGTATAACATTTATAAGTGAAATTTAAACATTGACTTAAATTATTATTATTGTTGTTGTTAAATATTTGAATTAATATCCAATTTAAATATTAGTATTTATATGATATATGATAAATACAAATACCCAAACATCATGTCATATAATTTTAATTATTATTGAGATAGTATTACTACTATAGTAGTGTTTTCACAGTTTTTATATTTATTGGCAAAATTCAGTTCATACCGGTATTTGACTCTCAATTTTTAAGGAAATGATCGCATGATAAGTGCAATGAATCGTTTATATATTTGTGGCAATTAAATTAAATGATTTTATTTTGAAAATACACAGTAGATATCTCTCTCTCTCTCTCTCTCTCTCTTGATAAATATCAAATGCCATTTATTTATTAGATTATCAAATTAAATATATATATATATACAGTATATAATATCATATTAATTAAATAAATAAAAATATCATTTATAATATACTGTATGTATAGTGTGTCTAACGTAATAACAAACAAAAATCTATTAAAATAAATGACACGTGTTTTCGATTAATTTTTTCAGACATAAAAATTAATTAAGTAATTATAAAATATTATTATACAATCGACTAAAAAATTAAAATAATTATAATTTAATAATTATATAACATATTTTTTAAAAAGACTAAATAATATATACTGTATATAAAGTACAGCCGATTTTAAAAATATAAGTGTCAGATATATATTAAATAAAAATATTATCATATGTTAAAATATGTTAGTTCAATAAATTTAAAAATAAATAAATATATGTGAAAATTGTTGATTAATTACTAATATGTAAAATAATTTTTCTTTCAAATTCTTCTTAACTAAAATATTTAGTCTGTATATGCGCTAAAAATATGGATATGAAATGCAAACTTATTTTTTAATAATTATATATAGATATGGATAAGTATGCGATGATTTCACACATTTTAAAAAAATTGATTCAAAATTTTTGGTAAAAAGTCTATCCTATAATCAATGAGACAAACAAAATTGTATGGAAATATATAATCATAATTTTTATACTATAATTTGCAATTTTTTTTAAAGTACTATATATTTAATTGCATTTTATTAATAATGTTGTTCACTACCCGTACAATAATCAAACAGTTATATAACATGTATCAATACAATTATTATATCATTTTTTTGTTACTATCATTTTAATAATATATACTATATATATATACAGTGTATCTTAAAAGGAAAATAACTAAAATATGTGTTTAACTCATTAATTATTTTGCAAACATTATATTATTTAAACCGTTGTTAATTGATAACAAGATTTTCTAATTTTTTCTTATTATACATTTATAATTTTGTAGTAATATTCATCGATAACTATATTTTAACTAAAAATAATAAATAACTAATAATGCTTAAATAATATACAGTAATAGTTTTCAATTTTTACTGAAATTATATATAATTTAATTACAGTATATTAAATAAAGGAAATGAAACTAAAAAAACTTGAACATTTCATTTAAAAATACATTAATATATATTTCATATGTTTTTAGTTTTTATTATAAATAAAATGACTAAATATATATATATATATATACTGTATATATAAATTGTTGGCAAAAAATTTGTGTCAATACAAAAAATGTCTTTTTCTACTTTATTTAACTTACTTATAACTAAACACTTGTGTATTGAAAAAACCGTATTCAAGAAATATTTATCATAAAAAATGTTTTTTAAAATTTTATTTTATCATTATTCTACATCTACAGTATATTAATTATTACAACACGTATAATATATCACATTTTACATAATATTAAATGCATTTATTAAAAGCAACAAAAAAAATCTATATTTAGGTTTCAAATGACAGTTTAATTTTGCATCACATGTACTGTTGTTACTGGCGTTGTATTGTCATTGAAACTAATAGACTAAGTTATCATTGAACTACCAATAAGTGGAAAAATGTATTAATACTATTGAATTGCTATTTAAGATAATCATGGATTGTCTGCAAGTGTAAGGGGAACGGGAGTATATATATATGGGTGTATATAAAGGTGTATATAAAGATGTTGTCACGTTTTCTATAATATAGCAATTATTTGTCATTCATATGTCTTAATTTTTTCCTCTGATAACACCATTAATTGATATCGAGGTTATAGTCTCGTAAATGGTTAGCCTTGGATGTGTTGTTTTCGATACGATACATTATCTACCTTTCCCTCTTTACTCACCCAATACTACTGTACTATCAAGTGATAACTGTGCAATTTATGCTGGTATTAGCATTTATGATATACATATATATATATATATATACCAGGGTTGGAAAAATACAAGGTTTTGAATTATGACTTTGTATAGTACAGTATAATGTAAGCTAGTATTATACAATTTCAAAAACTAATATATACTATGTTAAAAAAATTTATTAAAAATATAATTGATAGAAAATGCATTATTGTTATAATAATCGTCGTTTTAAATAATTTAAATGAAATAATTTAAAATAAAAATATTAAATCTATATTTATTATAAAACATGGCTTACTTTTCTTATATCAATACTTTTAACATTAGGTGACACTAAATTTTGTTTGTATACAAAATTAACAATGTATTATACATTGTATTATACATTGTATTATACATTGTATTATACAAGTACTTTGTCTCTGCCAACACTGATATATACTGTAAATTTATATAAAAAATAAATTTCACAAACAGTTTATAACATATAACCAGATATGACTTGATTTTTGCTATATGTTATCGCACGTGTTTCAATCATTATTAATAAAAATTGTTAATAAAATTAATATACATTTGCATTGAATTAATGCCAATGAATATTTTTTGCACAATAATAATACATTTAAAAAATATGTTGAAATAAAAAATAATATTTTTTTTGTTATTTTCTACCCCACAGTATCTAATAATTCGTACACAAAATTTGTTTAATCTGAGAGTCCAACAAATATTGAGTGCAAAACTATATTTTTAAAACTTTATTTTATTGGTCACATATTAATCAAACAAAAATTATAATATTTTACTTTATATATGTATCATATGTACGAATAATAACACTATTTTGTTATTTAGTTA